ATCCCTAGTGCCTCAGATATTCTATCCACACTTATAAGGTTAATCCCTAATTCAGGGATGTAATAGACATCCTTTAGTATATTTATATATCCTGAGGGATATTTAATAAGAATATCACCCTGATATTTAGCCCTTAGGCTTTTTGCTTTGCCCCATGAAATTATTTTATTTATTTCTTTATATTTAAAGAAATATTCCATTCTGTAAATAGTATTTATAGTAGCAGCACTATCAATGATAAAATCCACTTTTGATCCTTTCTGAGGAAATAAGTGTTCTGGTATGACTAGATGATCTAGTTTATAAGAGTTATTAGTGACTGCCCTAGTAATAGGGGTTTTCAGAGGTGGACGTACCTCATCTTCAGCTATATCAAATAGCTGATCATCAGGGATGTCCTTCATATTTAGCCATGGATCAGAATCCATAGTATGAAGGGTATATATTTCAGGATTCTTAGTCATATCTTGATCTGAATGATCAGATTCATGACTATTAGATGAATCATGATTTAGATAATTCATATTAGGAGAATCATTTAAGATATCAGAGTCTAGACTAGATAGGATTGCTTGAAAGGCATCCTTTTCTTTTAGTCCTTTCTGATTCTTTTGATTCTTCTGAACCTTTGAATACTTTTGATTCATCTTATTATTCTTATTCCCCTTTTTTCACCCTTTGGGTGCCTTATTAGGGAATAGGAAATAGCAGTTACTAGTATCATGACTAGTAAGCTTGCAATGTTGGCAGTATTTGCCTAAGGAATGCCTTTTATAGGATTTACCCATAGCCTTAGTATATAATAGCCTATGGCTATCATTATGACCATTTTCCCTTCCTCTTGCCTCATCTGCAAGGCTAGAAAATAGGGATTCAATGGTGTAGGCTTTTGGGTCATTCCTTAAGGACTGGGTTATATTAGATATAAACCCTTCATATTCATGACTAAGGCTATTCAGTACCCAGGCTATAATAACCTGGTTAGGCAGAATGATATCTTTTTCCTTTAGGTTATCCACTAATCCCTTAACCTTATTAAGATATTCTTCCATCGTTTGGAAATCATCCAACGTGGTATTAAAGAAATCTTTTAGGGTGAGGTATTCAGTAGTGAATCCCTTAGGATTATAGAGATCTTGAAGCCTTATCCAGGCCTCCTTAGCCTTAGCTATATTATTTATGTGAAGAAGAGGTCCATCTTCACATAATAGTTTTATAATAGCTAGTGCTTTATCATTCTTTTTGCCCAGGACATCTTCCTCAATAGCAGAGGATAGATCTTCCTTTATAAGGGTGGCCTTAGTCCTAATAGACCAGGTTATATAGTTATCTGAGCCATGTAGCTTTGGCAAGCTAATCTTATCAATAGATGCCATATTAAATATAGCTTCTTTAGACTCAGAGTATCGATTGATAATCAATCAAGTACTAGGTTAGACCTAGTATATGGAAGGGTATTGATTAATAAATAATCAATAGTATAGATCCCTGGAAGAGATCTTGGTATAGGAGATTGCCTTAGAGCAAGGCCGGGCTCATAACCTGTGAATGAGTAAGTAGTATGTAGTGTATAACTAACTAGTAGAGTTCACTAAAGCAAAGGGGAATAGATAGCTTGCCAAGGTAAGAGGGAAGAATAGTAGAAGGAAGTAGCTAAGGATATCTTAGCTGAATGTCTTAATTCCTTGATTTCTCTTAATTACTTAATTAATTATAAAACTAGGTGAGGAGTGACCTTGAGGACATATTTATAGGCAGTGGGTAGCTAGGTGATATCACTATGCTGTCATAGTGAGATCACTATTTGCCTCTTATTAAGGTTTAACCATACCATGGTTCTCACCAACACTTAAGGACTAGTTTAATTATGATAAGACTAGCCTCTTCTAGAAGCACTCTCCTGCACAGAGTCTTTTAATATATTAACTTCTAGGTTAAAAGAAAGATAAAGCACACATAACAGCCCTCTTTTATTGTAATGCGGATGGCTCTAAGAAGCTATTACCATAGTTTATTAGTATAGTAAAGAATCTATGAGCTTTCTAAGCCGCTGGTGTTAATATACAGAATCTGAATCTTATCTAGCAGAGTAACTAGAAAGCCTGGATTATAACATCAATATTTACAGAGTTTCTTTATTAGTTTGATAAGTAGATAAGTAGACAGAATGTTATTCTTCTTATAGATAACTTCTCTGCTCATCAAGCTGCTATGACAGAGATTTAATCTAGTAGCTATCCACTACAGAATACTCTTATTATATGGCTTCCTGCAAACTCTACCAGCTAATATCAGCCTCTTAATCAAGGGATTATCCACTGTTGGAAGTTATACTAGAAAAGATACTAGATTTGCTTTATCCTTTAAGAGTTTAAGCTTAATCATAATCTAATTGTCATGGGCTGCCCCCATGACACGCGCCGCCTTGTGTACGCGGCTGTGTGATCACCTGACTAGCAACTAGCGTCCAGCCTGGACACCACCACCTGATCAATCACGTGATTAGGACTGGTTATTACATTGATTAGTACGATAGCCGCCTGTACCTAGTTTCCTTCCTTCTCTAGCAATTCCACTTCATACCTTCGTGGCCTATTGGGACGGCTAGAGTAAAGCCTCGGACTGAGATATTCTAGCCCGTGACACTAATCATGTTAATGAACATCCTAAGAGTGGTTTAATGAGGAATCCAGAGCTGGGAATTTAATCTTTCTAGACAGGTAATCCAGAATTACTTTTAAAAGGCTCTAGATTCTTAACCATTATATTAAGAGCCTGTTGATCCAGCAGTTCTGGATGATATATAGAATGCATTCTCTCTCTTAAAGCTCTCTACGCCTATCCAGGATCTCATAGATATTAATACCTTTCTGAACCCTACAGAGGAAGCTATCCAAGATACTCCTAAAGATATTAAGAGCTAGATTCTAGCTAGAGTTGCATTTGGTGCGGGTTTGGGCGGGTTCAAGCCTAGTTGGCACCAAACCGCTGCGGTTTCGGGTTCAAAATTTAGAACTCACACCAAACCCGGACCCGATGCGATTTGGTTGCGGTTTTCACCGCAAAACCCGCTGCTAGGCCTAGCTAGGCCTAGCTAGGCCTATACTAACTAACCATGGTTAGATTCGGTTCGGTTTCGGGTTGGTTAAACCGCTAATTTTAACTGTTTTAACCCTTACCATTCCCCCCTTCGGGGACCCCTCTGACGCCCCTATTGAGCATGCTTATATTAAATTATGATTTTTATATGAAATATATGGTAATTATCATCATATTAATCTAGATCTAAAATATGAATTCAATATCTATAGGTTTGAATGGGTGGTGGTTAAAAAATCATTTTTAAATATGGTTATTGTCAACAGTCGGTTGCATATATATATAATCTACCACTACTTTCATACCAACCTATGACAGAGATGAAATTCCCTTATATCTCAGCAACCACCAGGTATTTTTGAATAATATTTATATCACTAGATAGCCTTTGATTCAGGCTATCTAGTGATATTAATATCAATTAAAAATATCTAGAATTCAGTAATTTCTAGGTAAAACAGTTGTGGGTTGGTTAACCTAACTTGCAAAACCGCAAAAACCGTAACTGGCGGTTTTAACTGAACTTGAAGCGGTTCCACCCTATGGAAACCAAAACCAGTGCGATTCCCTAGGCTAGGAACTGAACCCAAACCACTGCGAGTTTGGTGAGGTTCGGGTTCGATTTTTGCGGTTCGCTTATGCAACTCTATATCTAACCCACCCTCATATCCATGCGGGTTGGGTTGCGGATAACCATTCTACCCATATCATACATGTGATTTTAGTCTATACTACTTTTGGTAGGCGGAAAGACCTAAGAATCTAGACTATACTATTTTTAGTAGGTAGAAAGATCTCTCTTTGAGAGAATATCATGAATATCTATTATTCTGCCGGTCACGTGCACCCAATGGGTCATCCATATCCATATGGGTTAGATGCCATCCACCCATATCTATGTGGGTTGGATCAGGGTCGACCCCCATCCAACCCAAAGTGCGGATTGGGTGGGTTGGATATGGATTTGCGGATTGGGTCAGCCAGTCTAGATAAGGTGGTTTCTTATTATTAGACTTCTAATTATTGTGGTTTTTATAGTTATTAGGTACTGTATATGTGCTTACTATTAGTAAAAGAAGTGTAAAAAGAAGAGGCTGGAGCCTTCTAATTAGTAAGCTTCTTTAGCTTTATAAGGATGTTAAGGCTCTCCCTAAAAGGCTTTAATGCTAGGAATTTTAGTGGCCTAAAAAGAGTTAAAACCACCTCCTGAGATTAGGACAGTGGAGTTACTCCTAAATCCTAATACTTAGTAGGAGACTCTGCAGCTAAGTGATATAATTTATTTTACTTTTTCTGCTATCTAAAGGGGAGTATTTTATCTTTACTCCCCTTGATATCTTTCCAATGATTGCTGTATTTATCCTTGTTAGAAACCCCGATGATCAGTCTCTGTTTATAAAAAGCTAAACAATGAGAATATCAGAAAGACAGCCATAAGAAGAGAGACTAAATCATTGACTTTGTACGCACAGAACCAAAGCAAATTTCCGATACTATTTAGCTCTATATAAATTAGATATCTATATTTACACATTATAGTACTTTCCTCATTACTATGTTACCCAGTGCACACATATTTCCTAGACCTGCGCTTGATACGCAGATCTTCCGGTTCTGATGGCATCTGGAAGGCAGATGAATGAACTGGTGTTACTGGTCAATTGTTGATAAGTAATTTCTTAACGACCTCTAATATAATGCCGCGCTGGGCTAGTTGTATAATGAGTTCTCTAAGTTTGAGCAAGCATCAAACAGTTAGACTAAATAACCCAGATAGGATTTCTTTATTGGGATATTTAAAAAATAACTCTAAATTGTTTAAACATCCCGCCCTAGACGGTGTTGCGATAAAGTCGGGGATTATGAATGCACCTGTCATTGTTGAGCATAGATCTGCGAACCCAGTAAAGTCTATACATCTAATGATGGTCCTGCGTTAAATCCCTCAGCTTCCTTATTGCAGGTAGGCTTTGCGAATCCATGGAATCACTGGACACGAACTCATCAAATGGATGAGAGTTAAAACGATGGTTTGAGATATGCATCGATTAGCGGCTGTTGTACCGTGTAGACTACTCCCGCAGTCATGCTGGAATGAACGCAACCCTGCAACCGTTCTTATTTGACGGCCCTACGCGCATGACAGCAGTGTAAGGCTCACTGTCCCTGGCTTCAATGGCCTTAAAGCGACGTAGTATCCTGAAGATGGTGTAGCTGCACTCGGTGTCGACCATAATGTGGGCTGGGCAAATTCGAGGGCCGCCACCAAATGGCACGAAGTTCCACATTGGCCGTACCTTCTCCCATCTGTCGGGACGAAATTGTTCGGCATCAGCTCCCCAGAGATCCGGGTCACGGTGCATGAGATACCGATTGCAGTGCACAATATCACCCTTGGCGCAAAAGATGGGAGCCTTGCCGTCGTCGCCACCGCCTGTTGGAAGGGTGGTGTTTTTGACGCAAGATCGCACCGTCTGCAGGCTGACTGGGTAAAGACGGTGACCTATTTTTCAGAATATCAGCTCTAATACTTATCTCAGACTTTACTTGGATCGCACTCACTCTCATTGATGGTCCATCTCAGGTAGACTATGGATCTTAGGCCTTCAAATGTCAGAGGTTTGTCTCCATAGTCGAGGATCTCTTTCCGGAGTTTCTCAACGACTTCTGGGTGCCTTGCTAGGGCGAATAGCGTATTGCTCATAAGAATGGACGTTGTCTCATTGGATGGGATCCAGACACCGGTCAATTGCGTACGAAGCTCCAGCTTGTCAGGCAGCTGACGGGCAATCGTCCAGAGGAAGTCGTCTCGAGGCTCCCCATTTGCGTAAGTAGCAGGCTTGCCACTTTTCTCATATTCCAAATGCTTGTAAGCCTTGTCAATGTAACCGTCAAGGAAGCCGTGGATCCGTTTACAGGCTGCGAACCATTCCTTGTCACGATGCAGAAATAGGAACGAGCTCAGCTGCAGCCGAAGGCGCAGCCCGCGCATAACGGTGACCATGTCTCTATGCGGCCAATCCCGTTCTGGGTTGTCAAGTGAGTTCACTGTCTCCCCAAAGAGAAAATCGGTCGATGTATCAAGAAACTATGCGGCCGAGTCAGACTGTCTCGTCCAATGATGCAACGGCCGCTAGCAAGAGAAGAGGCCTGTTCAGGAATGTGCACTCACCCACCGCTGGAACAATGGTTGCATATCCACTGTTGACCCATCAGTCGGAATTTTGCTCAGCAAGCGATCAACGTGTCGACTAAGGCGCTCGAGATTGGAAAAGCCTACACGCTCGAAGTACGGCTTGACCAAGTCACGTGAAGATTGCCACTTCGCACCATCGGATGAGCTGACTCCACGGCCTGTGAATGGTGTTATTGCGCCGTTCGCAACGCGGATCGGCTCAACGGCAAAACAGTCCCTTTGCAACGTTGACATAGCTTTCATATTTTCGGGCTCAGAGCTGTAGACCATGCGGTTGCCCATGAAGTTGGCCGTCCAGACTTTGGAGCCACGGGCGGAATAGGTCTCGGTCTGGAACTCGAGAAAGCGGTCTTCTTTGAGCGCCTTGAACATAGCGTAGACGTAGTCAAGGCCCAGGATTCTGTCCCAACCAGGGTAGCGCTTAAGCGGCGGACAGCCAAATTGCGCAGCGGTACGTTCATAGCGGAGGTAATTGAGGTAGACGCGGACAACCCAGTACAAGAGAGTAATGGAAAGGATTGCGATGGAGAGAGGTGCAGTAAACATGGCAATGCTGATAGATCATGTGTCTTGCGTGCAAACCGCGCAACTTTTTGCAACTGTGGTGAGCAGGTAGCCCTTTGAGTGCTGTCCATGATATGGCAAAGAGCGGCTTGCCTGAAACTTGATGCACATAATATCATGAAGGTTACCCTGGTAGTGAATTGCGTGGCCGACACCGGTGCTAATGTGGCCTTGCGGCATGGCTGTGGTGGGTATCGGTGTATTACTTCCTTCTCTGGCGTGAATTCGCCGTCACTGACAATCTCACTCTGTCCAGGATTTGAGGTCTAACAACGCTACGTCTCCTCACTTATGCATGAGCTACATAGAGAGGTCGCTGATTCGTCTATAGAGGATTTCATAAGTTGCTAATAGCTTGAAGGTCCATAGACTGTGAAAGGAAGAATTTGAAAGTGTTCCAAATTTCATTTGACATTTCATCACCTAACCTTGACCTCAACCTGCCACTCACCTTATTCTCACGCTGCATCATACATTCTGCACTCATCCCTCTGCTCACCTGCACCCATCTTCTAATCGTAACTTTCCAGTCCCTTCACATTTCAGCTTTGACTCGATGGCAATTCAGATTTCGCCTTCCATCCTCGGCGTTGTAGCGTGTGTGTTGTTTGCCGTGGCTGCCTGCGTATATCGTGCCCTGCTTCCCAAGCCAATTCCTGGCATACCCTACAACAAGGCCAGTGCCAATCGGATCCTCGGAGATGCGCCAGATGTGAGCTATGACTGCCAGTTTGGTAAAGAATCTTGTGTAACTGACAAGATGCACAGCTTCTCAAGTGGCGTGCAGAGACAAAAGAGATCTGGAGCTATATCAGAAAGCTTGCCGTCGAGCTCGATTCACCGGTGATCCAGATGTTCATGCGTCCGTTTGGAAAGCCATGGGTGATTGTCACCGACTTCCGTGAAGCTCAAGACATCCAGATAAATCGACAACACGAGTTTGATCGCTCCACTTACATTGGCGAGGTTTTTGGGCCTCTGTTGCCTGGAAATCACGTATGGGTATGTTTTTTCATGGCTTCTTTTCATAACTGAGCCGGAACAGATAGCCTACGCAGGCTATCGCTTCAGCCAGAGACATCAACGTCCAAACACTGCGCTTGGGACGCGAGTACTGGGAATAACTACTCTTGGTCGCCTTAGAGACTCAAAACATGCTAATTATAGGCTTTTAGATGCCCAGCAATGATGAATTCCGAGCACACCGCCACCTCATTCGAGATACAATGTCCCCATCCTTCCTTTACGACGTTGTTGGCCCTGCAATCCACTCCTCGACACAAGATCTGCTCGCGCTTTGGCGCGAAAGGGCGCGCTTGGCCCAAGGGAGACCTTTTGAAGCCGGTCAAGACATTATCAGAAATTTGGTGGATGTTATTCTAGTAGCCACTTTTGGGTTCGAGGTTGGCGCCATAGCATCGCAAACAAAGCTTATCTCTGGAATCAACAAGATCGACCTTCCCTGGAACGTTGACGTACCTGCAGTCTTCCCGACCGCAAAGGATCCGCAAGCATTTACATCAGTCAGGACATTGGTAGACAGCCTCCAGATTGCGCTGAGGTCTCCAGTACCAAGACAACACCTCACCTTCGCTCTGAAATTCTATCCCTCTTTGGTCTCCGCTAGGAGATGGAACGAGAGAATGATGGGTGACCGGTTACAAGCCGCATGGAAGAAGTTTTCTGATAACGCAGACCAGGATGATCAAGTCAAATCTGCTGTGGACCTGCTGGTGCAGCGAGAAGCACAGATGGCTAAGAGGCAAAACCGCGACGTAATGTACGATACTCGGGTTATCAGGGATGAACTCTTTGGCTTTTTTTCAGCTGGCCACGAAACAACCTCGACAACGATTTGCTGGGCCGTCAAGTACTTAACAGAACACCAGGAGGTACAGCAAACACTTCGCTCATCGTTGAAGTTGGTGCATAAGCGCGCAGCCGAATCTGGAGAACTACCCACTGCACAAGAGATTGCGAAAGCCGACATTCCTTACCTCGATGCCTTCATCGAAGAAAACCACCGCTTGGGCAATTCTATTCCCACCGTCATAAGAATTACGACCAGAGACACTGTGGTCCTCGGCCACCGAATACCGAAGGGGACTGACGTTTTCATGCTCACGAATGGACCCAGCTTTCAAACTCCAGCTTTTGCAGTGAACGAGTCTGCGCGCAGCAAAACCAGTCAGGAATCAAAAGACAAATACGGTGTTTGGGATGCTTCCGATATCGAAAGGTTCAGACCAGAAAGGTGGCTTGTCAAAGATCATGAGGGCAACTTGAGATTCAATCCTCGTGCTGGACCTGTGCTCCCTTATGGGTTAGGGCTGCGTGGTTGCTTCGGTAAGCGCTCCTATCTTAGCCATTACTCGCTACGCTCAGGTGGCTTTTACCTTGTCACCAGAAGCTGACTTACTTGACTTTACAGGCATCAAGCTTGCTGTGTTAGAATTGAAGGTTATCATCACGCTCATCGTGTGGAGCTTTGAGCTGCAGGAGACACCTCCGTCATTATCTGGGTTTGGAGGCGATGACATGAATACTCACAGGGCGCAACAAATCTACCTCAGACTGGCAGAAGCGAAATGACCTTGGATCAAATTAGGACAAGATTATTGGGCAATTGCGAATTTGCCAGCGAACGCTGTCATGGCTCTGCAATGCAAACGAACGTTGGACTGGCTAATTCATAAATCTTGCCCAAATGTGGATAGTATTGATTTGATTCCTCTGTGAACCTTCGCATTAGGTAGAGGCCTTCCCGATTGTCAGCTAGCAAAATCAATGTTGACTAACTGATGTGAGAGGTTGAACACATCAACAATTTTGCATTGCCCGCTAATCTCCCCGTTCATGAAGAAAAGGTGATTACTAGTGTAACACAGCTGCAAGCAATTCTCGCAATTTCGTATGCATACACTCCTTCTGATCCCCCATGTTACACGCCAGTCCAGTTACCTGTGCTTTGCCTGTATGTTTGAGTTTTCGAGGCTGTGGCCTTGAGCCTCGGTTCTTGCCTAGACATTCAGGTCCATCTAAGGCCCTCAGCGCATTCGCAACTAGCATTATAAATCCGCCAGGGCATCGCTACCACCAGCCTCTGTGATGCAGGGTGATGCGGGGACTTGAAGCCTGGGCGGCGCTATGGAAAGCAAAGACAGGGCAAAGGTGAGATCAGTCAGGGACGCGCCAACGGTATGGTGATCCCTGGTATCTTGCTCTCAGCCACCGATTTGGGTGTTCATTGCTCAGTGTGCTTGTCCAGAATCAAGTTCAAATTTGTGTCGGCACGACTGGGATTTCTCTTCTGGACAGTGAAGAACAGGAATCGGCTTCGGCAGCTGACCTCCCTTTTTCCGAGCAGATATCCAGAACTTTCACGAAAAGGGAAACATGAATGTCTGGAGCTTTTGGCTAGACCTGACCGTCCAGAGTTCAGCAGTGTACTTGCTAGCGTTTTCTTTACGCTACAGGCCCCCTTACAGCGATAAAAAATCAACAGATCCTCCACGTGATATCCATAGAGGTTGTTACGGCGACTGCACCAGGTTATGCTGCGGGACCAAACGGTGCGACAACAGCTTTCAACGGGCATCGGGACTCGGGCAAGAACTAAAGCTAGAAGGATGCAAGATTGCAGGTGTATGAACGACGTTGGTTGACACAGACTGAGACTTAGTTCACCACACTATCACTACCTATGGCCAAGGCTTTGTCGAAGACGCGCAGAGTGTGCTCCCAGACTTTTTCTGGCCATCCGCGTTCTCTATATTGTTCCAGCACGCCGGGTGCGGAGATTTGGTCACTTTTGGGGCTGATGCGCCAAGCGCCTGGACTGTATCTGTCACTGGTCAGGTGAAAGGCTTGTCTCTCGCCACTCTCTTCCGCCGACATGCCAAAAATCAACATCACCACAGCAACAAGGCCGCGGATTGCTGCCAGCGTTACCCTCCATGCTACTCCAGATGACTCTGGCGCAGTCAGCCGGGCGAAGATGTCTGTCCTCACCCAACCAGGAAAGGCGTGCAAGAAGGTTATCTGCTTATCATTCTCAGCTAAGTGCTCAAACGCCAGGCTGGTCATAGTGGTGGAGTGGTTAACGACTGCGAGCGGGGACCAGTGCTGCTCAAGACAGATGTCTTCATCATGCATGGACTTCTCTCTGCCTCCGTTAAGCACGGTCAGCACTCGCGGCTGCGGTGACTGACGAAGGAGTGGCAGAAGATTCCACACGAGCCGCATCCTGGAGTAGTATGAAATCGCGAAGCATGTCTCAAGGCCCTCTTTCGTGTCTACGCGACCTGTCAGCGTTTGAAGGTTCAGGACCTGGGGACACGTACATTGTGGTCCGTTCAGAGGGATCAGGCCAGGGCTCATATATAAGCAATCCACCTTCTGCTCAGCAGCCGTGATCTGCTTGCACACGGAATCGACATTGGAGAGTAGTGAGACCTCAGCTTCAAGAAACACAACTTTGCAGCTTGGATTGAGGCTTTCTAGCTTCGCATGCTGGCTTGCAAAACGCGCCGCTGATCTCCCGAGGACATAGAAGGTTGGTGCATGCAGCATAAGTGCCATCCTCTCGAGCGTGCTGGCGCCGATGCCGCTCGTGGCACCAGCGAAGACGCAGACGAGTCCTGCATGTTGCTCACTGGCGAAGCGCGCGTTACACTCCCTGATTGCCGTAGTCTCCACCATGCTTTGCGTCAGTTTGAAAGGGGCTTCGGTGCGCAACTCTAAAGATTGGCAATGGGAGGGAAATTTGGGAGTCGACGGGGTACCGTATAATCTGCGTGGAGTCGTCTTTGCTCTAGCAGAAAATTAAAAACAAATATCGTGGAAAGTTTGGGTTGTGGGGGAGAGGGGGGAAAGCGCAAACCATCACGCACATCACAGCGCGCGAAATGGGCTTCGCCCAATGTACAATGGATGGGTCATTGATCGATGGCATTTGATAGGTCTGGGGCTTAGCGCCCGGTCGTCGGACTTAGCCAAAGGATTAGCGACACTCGGCAAATTACTATAGCTCGTTTCTCCGTGCGAGTCTTGACGGACGCAGCCGGACTATTCATCCCATTTCGGGCTGGACAAGGATCATCACGGAAAATGTACTCCGGTCTATCCAGGTACTTTTGTTAGTAGAGTGGAGCTTACAAGGGTCACAACCTTGTCAGGTGGTATGTACATAAATCTACCGCCTTGTAAAAAATGATTTATTAAAGAGCTCACTGGTTAATGTGTAGTAATTTCTGGCAGAACCTAGCTTTTCTCATCCATGCCTAGCCGCTAGATAAATTACATACTAACAAGATCCACCTGGATAGACCTGAGTACGTGACTGTTACATCCCAGGTGAGCCTGCTTAAATCCGCTTTACGCGGAGGCTGCTCCGAATAGCCCTGGTCATCTTCATTTGCTTCTTCCAACGCGTCTCCCGCTCGGCGCAACGTTAGATTTCTTAGCGCCGACAGACACCAAGCTCTTGACCATACCGTTATGCTGTTCGGTCTTACGGATGCCCAGCTAGCTTCAAACGAATGGATCAAAATCTCTCGATTGCTTTGGCATTTTTTGCGATCAGTGTGTTAGGCTAGCTTTCGACATCGTCAAATCAACACCACTTTCAACATGTTGGTCAGGTTCGTGAACGACGTCAACCACGCCGAAGCCCCCATGTGGCTGAGGGGTTTGCTGTATAAGAGCATTTTGCTTATCTGCATAAGTTGCGTTGGCGTGTATGCGATCACTAGGGCTTTGGTGACCTTCTATCGCCTCTATCTGCATCCGTTGGCAGCTTTCAAGGGGCCAAGAGCGGCAGCGATTTCCAGAAATTGGGTATACAAAGTTCTCACGGGTCCAAGCCTACCAGAGACAGTCTTTGAGAAATTGCATACTGAATACGGTCAGTCCAGATTGTTCACGATATCCCCCAGGTTAAGGGGAAATTGCTTAACTTGGATTGCAGGTGTGAAAGCGATTCGAATTGGTCCGAATGAGTTGCATCTTACTGATGTTTCGCTGTACAAAACGATATACAACCAAACGACTCCCTACCTAAAGGAGCATGGCTTCTACGATGGATTCTTGACTCCTCACACCATTTTTGCGGAGACTGATCCCCAACTGCACAAGGAGCGGAGGAAGATGCTAAACCCTATGTTTTCTAAGATGGGGGTCAGAAAACTGGAGCCTGTGATACAAAAGAAGATCTTGACTTTGGGCAAGAAGATCAAGGCTATTGCTTCCAGTGGACCTATCAACGTGTATGATGCTTACAGGTCAGGTTCTTCTCGGAATTCAATTGCTCTCACAACTAAGTCACACTGAATAGATGCATGGCCATTGACATCATGATGAGATTTGCATTCGGCAACGAGTCAGACGCCATCAATGAGACGCCAGGAACTTTCATAGCAACCTTCCTGACAGCATTTGATGCTGCCTCCCACACCCTGGCGGACACACAAGAAAACCCGGTAAAGCGATTTGTCGCAGGCAAAATTCCATTATCTCTGGTTGCAAAGGTTGACAAGAATATAAGAGTCATCTATAAGCTACAAGACGTAAGACATATCAATTCGATGGAGTTGTCAAATCCTGGTTAGAGAAGCTGACACGAGAAAGATAGACGGCTTACCAGGGCATAAGGCGTCACAAGAAGCTTACAGAGTCTCCATCACATCCGGTCATTTTTGATAACCTAAAATCCCTCACTGACAAAGCACAAGCCGCACAGTCGATTGAAATACTTCTCATTGGCTCTGACACATCGGCGTTCACGCTAAGTATGGGCTCGTTCCATATCTTATCCAGTCCCGAGTGTAAGGAAAAGCTCGTGGCGACTCTCAATGAGCATATTCCGAATCCGGATGCAATGCCATCGCTTGTCGAGCTCGAGAAGATTGATTATCTCGTAAGTGAGACCCAAATGGCTCTTATGACCGTGACTGATGATGGTCCAAATAGTGGGCCGTTGTGAAAGAAGTTCAGCGAATGGCTATCTCTGTTCATGGGCGGCTACCTCGGGTGGTACCTAAGGAAGCTCCGCCATTGCTCGTTGATGGAAAGGTTATTCCACCAGGCGTAAGTTGATGCTGGGTCCGACTAGTGTCTGTTCGACTACATGCTGATATAATCAAGACGGTCATTGGAATGTCAGCATATACAATGCACACAAGCATTGAGTTGTGGGGTCCGGACGTCCGCTCATTCCGTCCTGAACGCTGGATGTCCCCAGATGGAACTAGGGATCCTGACAGGCTCGAGGAGTATTTGTGTACCTTCAGCAAGGGCGTACGTCAATGTATTGGACTCAAGTAAGTTCCGTGCCACAAGGCCTTCCTGGCTTTTACTTCATGCGCGTGCTAATAATCCTATTAGTGTGGCGTATGCCGAAGTGACTATGGCACTCGCGTACTTTTTCCGGACATTCGACATGACATTGAAGACAACCAAGCCTGAGCTCAGGGGTCACTTCACCCTAGGTTTTGCTAACGGCATGATGATAGACTTTAAGAAATCTTTGAGATAGTATGCTAGGAATCGGCTGTTGCTGGACCTATCCTTACGGGAGTTTTGGGGTGAGGTGTTGTCTTGGCAGATGATGATGTTCACCACTATCTGATTACCAGGAGAACATCACACAATGCGGTTTCTTGATGTACTGCTCTACCATAAGAATTGCAATTTATCAAAGCGTTACCCATACTGGTTTCATTTTTCATCTCTCTCGTAGCTCTTTCTGCTCCTCATTTGCCTACTGATTCAGTATTCTCTCGCACGATCAGTTTCAGAGGCATCTGTCGGAACCAGTTGGGAAAGTGACCGTATAATGAGAGACTTAGTAACATGAACACGCACACGAGTCCTGCATGGTGTTTGCTAGCAAAGGGCGCATTGCACTGCCTGATCATTGTAGCCTTCGCCATGCTTTGCAACCCTTCAAAGATGGATCAAGATGGTGATTGTTGAAAGATTAGCAATGGAAGAAAATTTTGCTATCAACAGGGTCAATGGTGTAATTTACTCAAACCCTGTGGTTTCCAGCCATCACGTCCATCACCGCGCAAAATAGGATGAATAGTCTTGCGTCCGTCCGGGCCTTGGCCAAAGGCCGCTGCAGATCACTAGAGCAGCTTAGCGGTCGCAATTACACCAATATCATTGACATGAACAGTCAGTAATGTGTAATGTCATGCGAAAATTGCTATGTAATTACATCCTCACACGAACCAACTATATATGCTAATCCTTATCATGTAGGTTAGATTAGTTCGTAGACTGTACCATTTATTTTGTAATAGTAACGGTGTTCCTCCCATATATGAAAATAGTGGGTAAGGTAATGATCATTCAGTTATGTGAAACTCATTCAAATTACAGGAAGTTCTAAGTTTGTGTAATTTCAATGCTGGGCGCTACTAGAGCCCGCACAGGGAAGCGGTTAAATGTGCTGTGTGCCGCTAATCCTTTGGGTAAGGCCTGGCTGGACCTATCAGATATCATCGATCAATGATACACACATTCTATATATAGGGGGACAGGGGTCATCTCAGAACATGCACTATCACATCCACACCGCACATCAATTGCCCGCAATGGCGAAAACTGGTGGCTTGAAGCCGACTGACAGGGGCTAGAGGCCCGGTGAGCCTGCCTAAGTCCGCTAAACCCAGAGGCTTCTCTGTATACATTTACGCTAATATAGAATGGAATGGATTGCGCCGCGATGGTCAAACAAACCTGCTCATGTGCACCAATTTTTGCTAAGGCAAGCATCCCTTTGGACCCCAACAGAATTTTCAGCTCAAAATCGGACCTCCCATCATCTCAAACAACTCTGGCCTTCACGAACCATTAACAGCACCGCATCCTTTGAAATGGCTGCATTCATCAAGGCTATAAATGCAAGGATTAGATCCAATCCGATATTAGATTACATCTGCTCTACCCGTACGTACGCTCTGATTTGAAACTTCGCCAGGTTATCCCCGATAAGCCCGATGACGGAAGATTTGGTCTTGTCTGGAGTGATTAAGTCCTGTGTTGCATGCGTGAAGCTCTACGGCCAGATGGGCGAGATTGAATCAGTTTCTATGAGAACCAATGGTGGTTTCTCGTTGGCCTGTAGTTGCGTACTGAGGCATGAGACCTTCATCGAGACATGGCGCGAGAGGAACTTTGGTGTATGCAGTGGGCTGACCTACTTCGTAGATTTCTGGGGCCCGGTATCAAACTTCGGAATTCCGGTAGCGGCTATCATGGATACGCAAAAGAGTCCCGAAATGTAAGGCTTTTTCTATGCAAATCTCTATCAGTGATGTGGTGTCTGACTCTTGACAGGATCTCGGGTAAGATGACGGGTGCCCTCTGCATCTACGCGGCCACTTTCATGCGATACTCCCTCGCTATAACACCCAAGAATTACCTCCTCTTCCTGTGCCACTCCGTCAACGCAGGTGCTCAGCTCACACAGGGCTACCGCTATCTACAATATCACTACCGGGGTGTGAAGGAGAAGACGGGTGGTACAAATGCAGTTGATGCGGCGAAAAGAAGATAGCCAAGGTTGAGGATAAGGCAAATGATACAGTAAGTAAATAAGACTGGACGGGTTGAGCTAGAAGAATGGAGGAATCCGAGACCAAGTACAAGATTGACAGGGATATACGCCGCAGTGGTGGTTGTAGATCGTAGGATTTTTACTTGCGAAATAGGACATGTCCGGCGGCTGGTGGTCCAATCGCCACGCCCGGCCTGTATTATCACTCCAGCTATTTTGGGATGCTCCCTATTTGTGATGTTAAGCGGTACTGCAGCCACGGCATAGAGGCAGTGGATGTCCTGGCCTAATGAGATTATAAAGCCAGCCCTTGCGCAAGCGCAGTAGAGGCATATGGTTGCTGTTTACTCTGATATCTCCGGTGGTCCATCCGCTTATCCGAGGCATAATGCTGGAGTACATGTAAGCTGAACAAAGTTAAGCTACTTACACAGAGCCTTGATGATGGTCGGTATTCAACAACTCTTCCAATCAAACCTTAACCCAAGTCAGCTATCCTAGCAAAAGAATTGAGCCCAATGGCCGCTACAATATTCGATAATTATGAAATTAGAAACTTTACTGTTTATGGTGCTTGACTTTTGGCCAGGGCATGTGCATGTGGAAGTGAGACGTGTGCGTAGTGGTGATTTGCGAGGCCTGCCCAAGATCTGAACTGATGAGTTATTCCTTGAGGTGCGGTAGAGAGTGTCTCAGCGACATCCCAAGTCCTTAAACAATAACGGCCACACTAGCTAATACGAGGATGAGATTTTGGGTACCGGGATTGATGAAGCAACGCAACCTGAGGTTGACAGCGAGCGAGGTTTTAAGAGAAAATTTGCGATGTGATCAGCTGTGGAAGCTGTAAAGGCATAAGAGGGAGTCAAAGAAGTAATCAACTCTTATAGACCTTGCTTTTACTCATTTCCTCACCATTCCCACATGACGTAAGCGTTGTCTGTTTTCTAGTATTAGTATATTTAAATTCTACCTAATGGTTGTATTCATTAGTAAACTTGGTTCATTAAAACTTTACGTTTTGGTTATAAAGTTTTTTATATAAAACACTGCACTTCATTAATACTTCTACTACCATTTCATTTTCTAATTTTTGTTATTTTTTAATATTACAATTTCTAATATTGTTACATTTGTAATACTATTATTAATTAGTATATGTGATTTGAATATATTAAAAACACTCGTTATAAGACCGCTATCGAGGGACATAAGCTCCGCGAGGAACGAAGGGAAAAAAAATCCGAATACATTCTGGCATTGCCCTATATGTCGAGTTGCGTGAGACTTATCAGAGGTTGAGGGCTCCCGACAGTCGCGTTCATCCCCATGAAATCGTTCCATTGAGACCAATCAAGCTGCTCGCCAACAGTAGTAGGGCTGAGAGGCGCATCTTGCATGTCTTGTATTTGTGACCTCAGAAGCGAATAACACGTCTCCAGGCTCTTCTTTAATGCCACAGAGATCCTCTGCTCCACTAAAGCACCCACCTGCATCGCATCTGCCTGTGCCAGCAAGCAGGAGACAAGGACGTAGCATTTGATGTTCTTTTCACCAGCATCTATGCGCGCTGCCGCTAGGTCGAGGTACTTGTCGACGGCTTTGCGCATCTCCCTCAGGTCGAATGTGCTACCAGGGTTGGTGAGGAATGGTCTGTCAGCTTCCAATTGATCTGTGAGCTCGCCACACATATAGAGCGCAATCTGCGTGTACACATCGCGGAACAGACCTGTGCCGCATAGGCGCAGGCAGTGAAAATCGTCATCGCCTGATTGCGCCGAGTGCGAGAACAGGGAGAGGGATGTTTCAAGGCAGATCTTGCGCGAGTAATAGTACAAGGGATTGGACATGGCTTTCACGGCAAAGGGGTGATGAAGGCTAAGGAGGAACCTCTGTACCAAAAGGTCGAAGAGTTTCGTCTGGAAAGCTGTTGGTGGTGTGCTGCTCATGCGGTAAGCTTCGATGAGAACGGAGCAGCTTTTCAGCGCTGCCGAAAACTCTGCGCTCAAACTCAGGGCCATTTCGAAAGAGTTTTCAGCCCGAAAATTGTTAATGAACTTGGCTATTTTTAAGCGGACAGGTATCGTCTTCATTAGCAGGATCTGGATTGAAGATTGTGTGAATTGGTCCATGGGCTTGGGTGCGAGAGCACTTCCAGCGGGTCTGGCCGCCTCCAGACTTGCATCGTCGATATTTGACGGCAAAGCACAGTCGTAGTCATCGCCGTCAATCGATGGCAAGCCACCGCAGTCCATGCTGGATTGAACCTCCAGCTCCAGGATGGTCGCCCAGAGTCTGCGTCGTGATTCGATATCAGAAGAGGTCATATGAGAGAATGAGTGGTTTTCTGGATCGATGTGGACGCCCATGTGCATGGCCATCCGCAGCAGAGAGCCCGTCGAGAGCCAAGAAATATCACCGTTGACCGATTTGGCCTGGCGGGCAATCACGAAGAGGCATTGTATGCGGAGGCCGTCTAGATTCAGCCTTGCCTTTTCTTTGGGCGAGCTCAACCATGCTGAGGCGACGTAGATCCACTGGAGAGCCGTCCCTCGCGAGACGCCAGTCTCATGTAAACAGAAAGTCGAGCCGATGCACATGACCAGGAGAAGGGTGATGCCGAATGCTTCGCTGACAGACCCGGAGTCACCCCAGAAGGCCTTGTAGTCTTCGCAAAACGAGGGAATGTGCAAGATTCCAAAAACGGTTTGGAAAGTGCGAAGATACGCTTGGATGAGGCGATCTGATACGACCCGGGTCGGAACCATGTCCCTGAGAGGGCCAAGGAGCTGAGCGGCCCTGGATTCCTGCATCTTGATCGTGCTGCTGACGGCTTTGCATCTCGCAAAGGTGGCGCAGCCGTGGTTGGACTCATCGGCCTCGTGAGTTTGCATGACTGCCAGCACCTTGGAGGACTGCGCTGCGTGAGAAACACATGGCTAACCAGAAAGCGGCCCGTGGACAGGGCTTTCACTTACCTGATGCGCGAAATTTATCCAGTGGCTGTGCCCATAGAATCTCGTCTTGAAGAGGGAGCCTCGCAAGGAGGCACTCGCTGTTGGGTACAGAATTGCAAGTGGAGGGGGGTTGGGTTCAGCCGGGCAGCCCTGGCCATCGAGCATGCCGGCCAGCTCCAGGTCCAACTCTAGTGGCCGGACAACGGGCGACAGGGTCGAAGCGGCCCTCAACAAATCTTGCTCAGGGAAGCTCGCGAGGCTCGCAGTGTAAGAGGCGCTGTTTTGCGCCTCGAAGCGTGGGATGGGTGGGTTGGGTGCGAGGTTAGTGGCCGTGGCCGTAAACCGCCTGCAGGTCTGCTCGAAAACGGAGAACTGTGTGTCCTGGGCTTCGAATGGAGCCGTCGTCAACGTGTGTCTACTGTCGCAGACGTACAAACAGGCCTCGATGTTGGCCTTGGTGCACTGTCGACATGGTGTTTGGCGGTCACACCTGTGTCGCAGGGTAGGTAAGTGCCAAGGGAGGTCCACGAGCGCGAGGGGTAGACTAGATGTACATACTTGATCTTTCTACGCCGGCACTGCTTGCAAGCAAGAGCTGGCCGCCGCTTCTTGTGTGCAGGGGCGCCCGGACTTGTATCCGCGTCCAGCTCTGCCATATTCATAACTGCCTGCGTAGCGATGTTGCTCGCCCTTGGCCAGACGCCTTCCGTTACTGCGTTACTAGTAACCCTGGTCGCTGTCGTGGGATCAAGCGGGAAGGAGCGATTCGTTTGGCATCACTAGTACAAAACGACTACGGCAGTGTCAGCTATCGGCAGGTGCAATGATATATTTTGCTGGCTTCCTGCATGACGTACCTTGCAACAGAATCTCTTCTCTTCGCTGGATCGGGCCACAAGACAAACCAGTCAGGTATGACCGTAATTGATGCTGAGCGGTCTGGGAGATAAATAACAAGCATGCCGCTACCATTGCTCTTATAGCAAGTGGTACGTTGGCCTTCGCTTGCACACCACCTACGCCTTTGGAGAATTTGGCCGTCCCCACGCTAGCGACCAGCACAGGCCGCTGCCCCGAAGGTATGGTCGGGAGTTGGCGCATTAAGATCCCTGTTGGCTTGTTGAAATGAAGGCCACCATCTTGCCGCTCATGGCCAGGGTCATTCTTTACTGTGGAGAACCCAGGGAAATTATCGTAATAATAAGGTGCATTGGGCTGGTCTGTTGGCCGATATGAGCAGAAAACTATGGCCAACCCGAACAATCTTGCTTCTGCAACCTATATCACGGCCGCGCAATGGCCAGCCGTAACACGGAGTGCAAAACATTGCTTGGGTACTTCAAGTAGCAAACTGACGGAACGGCCGTTCACGCAACTGCCAGTGGAGACTTTGGTTGAAAGATCTCTCCAACCATGCTGATGAACCCTGATAAGCAAATAAAATATCTACTCTTTCGAGACCCACAGCGATGTTATAATTGCATCTATCAGATATCAGCGACAGCCTTCTGCCAACGGACCGCAACTCAAATCATGTGGAATTGGGTCAAAGGCTGGACCGAAGTTGGAAGTAGATTAACTGTGTTAGTGCCGACGATTAGGTCGAAACGATGGTAGACATTAAAACCGAAGATAAGTCTTCTACTGCCTTCTTTAAAGGATGATCGAGACAACGTCCCAAGCCAAGCCACGAAGAGGAGTTTCCGGCAGCGAAACGCGCATGCTACACGCAACCCTTGTTCCGGACTTTCACCACCATTTGGACCGCGATATGCCACCGAGCTGCGACTGGACCGAGTGAGACCATGTGCAGTGGTTGCGTGATCCATGGCCCACAGCAGACATGGTAGGACCCAGTTACTCCAAATACAGAAGCACAAAATTGCAGCCAGGGGACTGACTTCCACATCTCCGCCGTACGCCGCTAATGTGCGGGATACCGGATCGGGTACGTAACCCCGCATCAAGGTTCCCACGCAGTCCAACTGCTCTATCTCTGCGATGCCCTTCATCTTACTGGAAACGGCCGCATATGCATCATCACACAAAGGCCTGTATAGGTGCAAGAAAAGTTCATCTGGCGACAATGCTAGAACAACATCAGTACTAATTGATTTCAGTACAAAGTTCGCTGTGGTGGGTGAATCCAGTGAGCAATTTTTGCGAGTCATGGACGAAAGCCCCTGCAGCTGCTGAGCTTAAGAAGTCCAATGGCTCTCGTCCGTTCTTTATAACCAACGACTCAGCGTCCTGTCTTAGCGCAGTGGGTCTAACCACGGACTAGTGGCGAAGGCAGGGACGACATGCATCCGCCAAAAGTGTGATTGGAGGCGCCGCTTTCCACGGCTCAGACGGAGATCCTGGAGATCCCGGTCCAGGAAGACGCGTAATTCACTTAAAGGGAAGTCACAGAGTCTGGGCGCTAACTAGGGTTGATGCTTACACATGGCTTGTAGCTAGCTCCATGCTAAGACCAGTAGCCTCCACCTCAACCTGCTCAACAGTCAACAGAGCATTACAGGCACACCCATTCCAGTACGGCCGGAGTGGGTGCGCCACACCATAACTGTAGATTTTATTAAGACGGTAAAACTAACTATATACTATTATTCATCTTAAAGCTATTCCCTCCACCTAATACGCCTAAATCTAGTAGATTTAATAAATCGAGTATTATCAAGGCCAGCAAAGCTGCTCAAGCTAAAAACACTAAATTTCACTAAGATTACATGCAAATATGGCGTTCCTTCCACAACCCTACATAGCTATGTAAGTTATGGTGTGGTGCACCCACACCAACAAGCAGTGTGGGTGAGCCTAAGGCACGGATACCGCCCGCCTACCAGCTATATACCCAGGTTCTTACAATCGGGTCCATTCTACAAGTTCATGGGCATACGATCCGAGGTCACCTAAAAGAGTTTTGTTCTGTGGATGCCAAGAACGCCACTGGCAGTAGCCTAAGTATAGCAGTCACCTTCCACAGTGTCGGACCTAAAAAGATCACCTTGTTCGTCGAACTCCGACAATCTCTAACATGGGGTCATGGACCAAGTGATACATGGAACTGGTTCCTGGGTAGGACACATCCAGGAGACAAATTAGCAGGCAACAAGGTAGAGCGCGCTAGAGGTCCTGAGCTCTTAACCACTACAGCAGTAACAGTGTACAAATAGAAAGGACAAATAAGTAGCCGGCAAGCAGCCAGGGGCACGCCGCCCCCGGAATAAATAGGATCAGCCTGGGTTTTCCTCACTAGAGTTTTTCGTCCCTTCTATAGACAGAAAAGTCTGGATGGCCTCAGGCTTCCCAGCAGATAAAATTACAGAAAAATAGTTAGTCACAAGCTCCATCTAGACAATGCTCCTTCTTAATCTCATCTGCGATCTTCTCCCCGGAGGCGTACATCGTTGCCATCGGAGGGGCGGACAAGATCATCGGCCAGTAGCTGATATCAATGACCCTCAATCCTTCGACACCGTAAACTTTCATGTTCGGATCTACAACTCCTCCCTTCTCCTTCGGCATCATGGCTGCCGTACAGCATTCGTGAGCAGTTGATGGCTCCGCAACCGAGACGACGATATTCTTGAGCTCTTCCCGATCCGTGACGCTATCATCAAACGGGGCTCCTTCACTCGGTCCCAGGGTCTTCATGCTTGGCGCGTTCATGATCTCCCTATTCTTCAGGAAGGACGCGATGACAAGGTCTAAATCTATAGGATCTGCCATGGCGCGGAAGTCGATGAGGGGACTGGCGAGCGGGTTGGTGGAATTGATGGAGACAGAGCCTCGGCTCAGTGGCTTGAGGAAGAACAAAATGACCGCGTTCCCGCTATCCCAGTGGATCATGGCAACGGGGGTGTCTTGTCCCTCGAGCTGCCGCAATGTTATCTCCCGTTGCGCTTTATATCCTTCAAGAACAGTCGGATCTGTCCCTGCCGGAAGGTAAGCCACCGGTTCTTCTTCCCGGGCTGCCTCGACGATTTTGAGGCATTCCGAGGTTGCCTTGCAGAGAGGAAAGGTGGCGAGGTTAGTGCTGAAGCCCCGGGTAAGCACGTAGGCCCCTTCACGCGATGAATCGTAGAGGGCTCGCTGCTTGGCATCATAAGTAGCGTTCGAGTTCAACGAATCTGTATTGGGCTGGATGTTGTTTGAAAAGTTGTACGGGATGATGACCCTGGGCTGGTCCTGGAAGTTCGCCCCGACACCAGGGAGATCCGCAACGACATCAATCCCAAATTTATCAAGAAGGCTCTTTGGGCCGATTCCCGATAGCTGTAGCAGCTGTGGCGTATGTACTGCTCCAGTAGCGACGAGGACTTCCTTGGAGGCAGAGGCGGAGAGTGTCTCCCCTCCGGCGCTAGGAAGGTACTCGACGCCGACAGTTTTGTTTCCGTCGAGCAGGACCTTCGAGATGGTGTGCCCGGCGAGGATGTGGTAATTCGGTCGTGAATCTTGCACTCTCGTGTAGTGATTGAGCCGAGCATGGCTTCTCGTCCGATTGGTAAAGTCTACTGACGTAGGAAACCATGCCACGCCAACCCCATTGCCGCCATTGGGGTCCTCGGTGGTAGTAAGGCCTGTTTGTAACGCTGCATCCCACCAATGTGCTGAGAGTTGTTAGTTGCGAGACGGCAAAAATAGCTGAAAGGGCCGGACGAACCGCTTCCTTCAAAGAAAAAATTGGGGTACGAGATTTGGACGGGCCCGTCATTGCCGTGCACATCATCGACCCAGGAGATGTTCCCTCTGCGGGCGAAATCCTTGTCCGGAGCAGTGAAATTCTCGCTCTTCTTGAAGTAGGGGAGCATCGCATCCCAATTCCATCCGGTCGCCCCGAGTTCTTCCCACAACTCGTATTCCTGCTTTCCTGATCTCAAAAAGACCATTCCGTTGACGACAGAGCCACCTCCCACCACACGACCGACTGGGACGTCGAATGACTGGTTATTCAAGGCCGTTTGCGGCACGCTGGCAAGTGGATTCCAGAGGTACGGGACTGAGTTATATGCGCCAGGTACGAGGACGCTGTCCTCATCATTGTCGAAGGGCCCTGCTTCAATGACCAGGACGTTCACTAAGAAACCAATTCAGCGACTGTCTGGGCGTGGGATGCCTGAGAATACTACCGGTTGGGTCCTCGGTCAGACGATCCGCGACGGTGAGTCCAGAGATGCCTCCGCCTGCGATGATGAAGTCGTACTTCGTCTCACTCACACTCTGCCTCGACGCGACCGTAGCATAGCGAGGAACTCGCAGTGCAACCGCCCCTGACGCAACTGCACAAAATACCAGAGCCTTCCTCCGCAAGCTGATGTGCGGCATGGTGTTTTGACGACTGGCTCGTGTTCAATGCAAGCGAAGGTGACGGCTAGAATGCCAGAAACAACGTGGCTGTGACGGGAATTCATTGTAATCGAACTGTATTGATGTTGTGGCATGTCCGGCCGTGGTAGTGTGAATTCACCGACGTCAATCCCGACGTTGGCCAGAATAGGAAGAGTTATGGCCGTGGCAACGTCACCACGGCCTTAAGCGTCTGAAACGTAAACGTGGTTTGGAATTTCCACTGCCAAATCAGGTAACAAATGCCCGGTTGTGTCTCTCAACGCAGGATGACTCAGCCCATGGTCTCTTCTCATAGTTAATTAGTTTGTGACTCCGTTATCTCTGGTAGGCTGGCTCGCTAAGGTACGTGGGCACTCAGTGGGCTGGTACTTGTCTGGCGGGGCTTGGTGAGCTTGTATGGGACTTCGAAGGTACTCTGAGTCGCGCTTGCTGGCGGTTTGTGGATTTACCAACGTTATAGTAATATTGTCCGTAGGGTGCGCGTGGCCTCGCGCAAGGAGATTACCGGTCCGTTGGCCAACAGTCTGCACTGAGAGGACTCGCAGTAAGTTGAGGCCAGCTTCCGGTACCGCTATACCTTAAGCAAGTCACGCCTCTCAAAAGAGACTTGAAGGCTCGTTAAACTGCCTGAGCCCTCTTCCGTCCCTCTTTGAGACGCTGTCTGCGACTTTGCATCAGTCGCGTGGATTTAAGAAGCTTTAGTCCATTCGCAAGTCTTACCAAATACAAAAACAGATATGGCCGAACCAATTGCTATTGTCGGGTCCGCTTGCAGGTTTCCAGGCTCTGCGAGCTCGCCATCCAAGCTCTGGGACTTATTGAAGGCACCAAAAGACGTGATCCGCGACTTTCCCCTAGAGAGACTCAACTTGTCGAACTTCTATAGTCAGGATGGCGAGTACCATGGCCGCACAGATGTGCAAAACCAATCTTACCTGCTTCAAGAAGACTGTCGTCTTTTCGATGCTGCTTTCTTCCAGATCAATCCAAAGGAGGCTCATGGCATGGATCCTCAGCAGCGAATTCTGTTGGAGACTGTCTTCGAAGCCTTCGAAGCTGCAGGCTGGCCTTTGGATACGATCGAGGGATCGCCGACTTCGGTATACGTCGGCCTGATGACTTCAGACTTCAACGACATCCAAATGCGCGATCCAGAAACCCTTCCAACCTATGCAGCGACTGGCCTGGCACGTAGTATCCTATCGAACCGGATTTCCTACGTTTTCGATTTGAAAGGCCCGTCCATGACCATCGATACAGCGTGCTCCAGCTCCTTAGTTGCGCTCCATCAAGCGGTTCAGTGTGTCAGAAATGGTGACGCCGCTCAAGCCATTGTGGCAGGTAGTACACTGCTCCTGGATCCATCAATGTACATCGCCGAGTCCAAGCTGCACATGCTTTCTCCCGACTCTCGCTCGCGCATGTGGGACAAAGATGCCAATGGGTACGCACGTGGAGAAGGCTGCGCAGCTGTTCTTTTGAAGCCACTCAGCAAAGCCATTCATGACAATGATCACATCGAGTGCGTCATACGAGAAACCGCTGTCAATTCCGACGGTCGCACAAACGGTATCACAATGCCTAGCGCATCGGCGCAGACGGCTCTCATTCGACAGACCTACGAGAACGCTGGCTTGGATCCCGTTACAGATCGATGCCAATATTTTGAATGTCACGGAACAGGGACTTTGGCCGGCGACCCAGTTGAAGCTCGAGCCATCAAAGAAGCTTTCTTTCCAGATCGACGTGGTGTACATGATGACGATCCCCTGTATTGTGGCTCCGTCAAGACCGTCATAGGCCATCTTGAGGGCTGCGCTGGACTAGCAGGTGTCCTCAAAGCGTCCCTAGCCATCCAGAACAAAGCGATACCGCAAAATATGCATTTCAAGCAGCTCAATCCCGCAATCGAGCCCTACTATGATAATCTTCGCGTCCCAACTTCGTTATTGCCTTGGCCCGAGACCAATGGCAAGCCTCTGCGCGCAAGCGTGAACAGCTTTGGCTTTGGTGGTACGAATGCCCATGCCATCATCGAGAGCTATCAGCCGCCTTCTGGAGCAACAACCGCGGATCAGGATGCAAAGAATGCGGTCTCCCAAATGAAATTGGTGGGGCCCTTCGTCTTCTCGGCAAAGAGCCGCTCTTCATTACTCCGTACACTAAAGGAAGTATCGAGGCATGTTCATCTAAATCCGTCATTGGACCTGGACGCGTTAAGCTGGGTACTTCACTCAAGGCGGACTGCCTTTTCAATGCGGGCAGCAATTGCTGCCTCAAATCGCCAACGATTTCTGGACTCACTCGAGAAGCAAATTAGTATGGCCGAGGCCTCTGCTGATGCCCAATTTGGCGTTCGAGCGCTCGCCGTTGACCCGATTCATCAGCCTCCAAAAATGTTTGGTGTCTTCACTGGCCAGGTATGCATACCAGAGACAGACGGGCCGCATCAGAGTTCTGACCATTCTGGCAGGGTGCACAATGGGCGACAATGGGCCGAGAACTAATGACCCAATGCCCACTGTTTCGTGAGTCTCTTGAGAAGTGTGAAAGCGCGTTGAGGGCACTTCCGGAAGCGCCTTCCTGGTCGTTGACGCAGGAACTGGCTGCTGAGGGCACCGACTCGCGCATTTCTCAAGCTCAGTTTTCACAACCGTTGTGTACAGCGATTCAGATCGCCCTCGTAGATCTCTTGTGTGCTGCCGGCGTCAAGTTCAACGCCGTCGTTGGCCACTCGTCTGGGGAGATCGGTGCAGCATATGCAGCTGGCATCCTGAATGCGAGGGATGCCATTGGGATCGCTTATTACAGGGGCTTCGTCGCCCACGTTGCCAAGGGTGCCGCAGGCCAGGAAGGCGGCATGATGGCAGTTGGAATGTCGTTTGAGGATGCGGCTGACTTTTGCTCTCAGCCCAGATTTACTGGCCGCATTGGGGTTGCCGCCAGCAACGCTCCTTCCAGCGTCACTTTATCGGGTGACTTGGACGCCATACGTGAGGCGAAAGCAAGTCTCGACGAACACAAGGTCTTTGCGAGGCTGCTCCAGGTCGACACAGCCTATCATTCGCACCACATGCTTCACTGCGCAGGATCGTACATGGCGTGCCTAAAGCAGCTAGACATTCGCGTTCAATCACCCCGAGTGGACTGCATCTGGTCTTCGAGCGTGTACGGGAATGCGGATTTGCTTCAGGGGCCGCTCGATCAGCTCAAGGACCAGTACTGGGTTGACAACATGGTTAGACCGGTTCTTTTCTCCCAAGCCCTGGAATTTGCCTTGCTGTGCGGTCGCTCGTTCGCTGTGGCATTGGAAGTTGGGCCGCATCCGGCTCTGAAGGGCCCGGTGAGCCAGACGCTCAAGCCAACTGTCGCTTCTTCGATTCCCTACGCCGGCTGCTTGGAACGCGGAGGAAATGATGTGGAGTCCATGTCGGCAGCACTCGGACTACTGTGGAGCCATCTGGGTCCCTCGTTTGTGGACTTCGGCGGCTGGCGAAAGGCTTTCCGTCGGCCAAGTCAACAGCGGATGCTCAAAAACCTGCCCTCGTACGCGTGGGATCACGATCAAATCTACTGGCAGGAGTCACGCCTCTCGCGCAACTATCGTTTAGGCGTGCAACGTCCGCATGCGTGAAGATTGCCAATATGAAATGACGTGGCGGAACGTGTTTCGTCTGAACGAAATGCCTTGGGTCAGAGGACACACATTTCAGGGCCAAGTCATTTTCCCAGGAGCTGGCTATGTGAGCATGGCCGTGCAAGCGGCTGAAGCGTTCGTCCATGGTCGCACCATGAAGATGGTGGAGATTCAAGACATGAACATACCCAGAGCACTGGTGATTGATGAGGACAGCATGGGTGTTGAGACGCTCTTCACAGTCCGCAGCCGTGACCGTCACGATGCCATGGCTAATGACTCCATCTTGGAAGCCGAATTCGTCTGTTACAGTTGTTCCGACGAGCGTGCTTTGGATAAGAGCTGTGATGGACGCCTGCTCATACACCTTGGCCAACCTGCATGCGGGGATCTTCCGCCAAGCCCTATCTCTCAGGCTGAACTTCCACCTCTCGATGTTGATAGATTCTTCACAGCCATCGCTGGTCTTGGGATCGTTTATGACGGAGTGTTCCGTGCCATACGTTCCATCAACAGGACGTGGGGCCACTCAAAAGCATCCGCTTCATGGGCCAGGGGTGAACTTGGAGAGCAATATGCGCTACATCCCGCCATCCTAGACGTTGGCTTTCAGACAGGCTTTGCCACCTTCGCCTCGATCGCGGAGAAGGCAATGGGAAGCACGTACCTGCCTGCCGGAATCCGGCGTGTAATTGTGGACCCCGCACAAAATTATAGGACGCCCTCGGGAGAAACCTGCATTGGGATCGAGGCCCACCTCACCAAGTCAACCAGCACTGTCCTTGAAGTAGACATTAATCTGTGGGACAAATTGAGCAACGCATCTGGCGTTCAAGTCGATGGGTTAATCCTCAAGGCAATTGCAGAGCCGCAGCCTTCGGATGATCGGCTGCTCTTCGCAAAGACCGTTTGGGACGTCGATGCCGCCTGCGGTTTGCCCAGCCCACCGCCAGCCGAAGTTACTAGGGATGAGCTGGAGTACATCGACGCGGTTGAGCGTACGGCTCTCTTCTTCATGCAAAACTTGTTGCGTGAGGTACATCCTGACGAGATCGGAGCGTTCAAGTGGCACCACCAGGCCTTGTTCCGTGCCATCAAAACGTTTCTAGGCCCAATACGGGAAGGATGTCATACAGTCATGAAGAAGGAGTGGTTAGACGACAGCCATGAGACCATCCGCGAGTTCGCCAAGCGGTATCCGGACAGTGTGGATCTCGCACTCTTGACAGCGGTAGGCGAGAACCTGCCTTCTGTGGTACGTGGCGAATCGGAAATGCTGGAACACATGCTGAAAAGCAACTTGCTTGGCCGACTGTATATGGAAGGCCGGGGATTCGCAGCTTGCAACGAGCATGTCGCCGCTCTCATGCGCAAAATCAGCCACAAGTTCCCCAGGACGCATATCCTGGAGATCGGCGCCGGCACAGGTGGGACGACTCGCAGCGTCTTGGACGCTATTGGCAATGCGTATTCGTCGTATATGTACACTGATATCTCCGCTGGTTTCTTTGAGAAGGCAGCCGAGAAGTTCGCAGACCATGTCCACAGGATGGATTTCAAGACATTCAATGCCGAGAATCCCCCTGCTGAGCAAGGGTTTACTGAGGGATCTTACGACATTATCATCGCGGCGAATGTGTTGCATGCAACCCGTAGGCTGTCGCAGACGATGCGGCATGCCAGATCTTTGTTACGTCCAGGAGGCTTCTTGATCGCGGTCGAGGTCACAGGTAACATGCTCCGCGAGCCCGGCCTAATGGGTGGCCTGGAAGGCTGGTGGCTGGGTGTCAATGACGGAAGGTTTCCATGCCCTGGCATCTCTGCTAAGGAATGGCACGATGTCCTCCAGGCGAGCGGATTCTCTGGTATTGACACCATCATCTATGATATGCACGACGTCTCGAGACACAATTGTTCTGTGTTCGTCACACAAGCGGTGGATGAACGACTTGATCTCTTGCGTGATCCATTGGCGTCAATAGACCTTATCCCGGAGGCCCGAGTGATGATCGTGGGAGGGCAGACACTGCACGTTTCCAAGGCCGTTCGCCGAGCAGAAAAGTTCCTTAGGCGCTGGACATCGCATGTCTCAATATGCGTCAGCATTGATGCGCTACATTCATCGGAAATCATGCCTGAAACTTCTATTCTGTGCCTCGCAGAACTCGACCAGGCGATTTTCTCGGAGGCAATGAGCAGCAGGAGACTGGAGAACCTGCAAGAGTTACTAGGGAATGCCCAGAACGTGTTATGGGTCACATCCGGCCGTCTTGCCGACGATCCCTACTCCAACATGATGATTGGCATCGGGCGTGCTCTATCCTTCGAGCTCCCACACGTGCATATGCAATTCCTCGATTTCGATCAACAGTCATCATGGGACATGGAGATGGCTGTACAATATCTCCTCCGGATGGTGCTTCTGTCTTCGCCCCCATACCTCGATCACAATATGCTCTGGGTGCAAGAGCCAGAAATTGAAGTGAATGGCAGTACAACGCTGGTGCCACGCGTGCTTCGAGACGACGCGGCTAATGAAGGCTTCAATGCAAAGCGCCGCCGAATCACCAAGCTCGTGAATCAGTCCGAGAGGATTGAAGTCTTATACGGCGCTTCGCAGTCCAGTCTCGTCAAGAGGGACCTTCATGCGATTCCGAAAGAAGATTCTGTGGAGATTGATATTGAGCTCTCTGTGGCTTTGCATTCGCGTCACGAGATGCCTTGCTTCTTGTGCTTTGGATACTTGCGAGGAACTGGCCGGCCAGCGTTTGCACTAACCGAGACTGACTCTTCAACCGCGATCGTGCATGAAGGTGGTGTCTTTGAGCCGTCGATGTCGAGCAATTGCGATTCTGAGAAGCTTGTTGCCATGGGCTCCGCACTGATTGCTTCCCATGCACTCTCCAACAGCCCAACAAATGGCACAATACTAGTGCATCAACCAACTAACGGCGTTGCAGAAGCGATAGCCAAGGCCGCAACGTTGGCAGGACGCAAAGTGCTGTTTGTTGCAACCACTGCAGAGGAAGAACGTCCAGGCTGGATTACCATACATCCCCTCGCTCAGACTCAGGCCATTAGTCGACTAATACCCAGCGATACAAGCATTCTGTTGCGCTTTTCCAGCGTGGGAGTGGACAACATCTTGCCGTGCCTGCCCAAGGATTGCGTGGCTCAGAATTTCGATCCCAGCCTCATATCTCACCAACAGACCACCATTGCGGCAGCGTACGAGATGGCACCATCGGCGAGAGTCAGGGCTGCAGTGTCGATTGCCAGCATAAATGACGCGTCTCGAGACCATCGAAACAATGAGCGCCTTTCTACCGTGCTGGATTGGAAGCGAACGGGTCCGCTAAGCGTAACAGTGCCACCCCTCGACGCCCGTGGAATCTTCTCTGCAGACAAAACGTATTTCATGGTCGGGTTGGCTGGCGAACTGGGCCAATCTCTTTGTCGCTTCATGGTCAACTGCGGTGCCCGTCATATTGCACTAGCCAGCCGAAATCCCGTCAGCGATGCAAACTGGCTTGCGGACATGCGGGTGGCTGGCGCCGAGGTACGAGTCGTGAAAATGGATGTGACAGACCGGTCCCAGGTTCAGGCAGCGGCTTCCATGATCCGAGATACTATGCCTGAGATCGCGGGCGTAGCGAATGCTGCGCTCGTTCTCGAGGACACGCTGTTTGTCAACGCTACGGTGGCAAACATTGAAAAACAACTTAAGCCTAAAGTTGACGGTACGATATATCTGGACGAGGAGTTTTCCAAGGACAATCTGGATTTCTTTATCGCTTTCTCATCCTTAGGAAGCGTGTACGGCAATGCCGGCCAGTCCATATACCACGCCGCCAACATGTTCATGATGAGCTTGGTAGAAAAGCGAAGACGCCGAGGCCGAGCGGGATCTGTCATCAACATCGGAATGATTGTGGACGTGGGATATGTCGCCAAGAGTGAAAGAGCCGGCACTAACATTGAGGAACATCTTCGCTCGCAGTTCTACACGCCCCTCGCCGAGACAGAGTTCCACCATCTGTTTCTCCAAGCAGCGCTGTCCGGTCACCCAGACTCAGCCAATGCAGATGTGACCATGGGCATTCAGCCTTTCATGGACGATCCAGAAGCATCCGTGAGACCGCATTGGTACAACAATCCCCGCTTCTCCCACATGAGATTTCCACCTACTTCCTCCGATGGACGATCTCAGTCAAGCTCATCAACGCAGCAGTTGCGTAAAAAGCTTGAGAATGCAGAGTCTGTCACTGAAGCTTCAGAAGCGTTCCAGGAACTCTTCTGTAAGAAGATAGAATCGATGATGAAGGTTCCAGCGGCATCGATCGACGTCAATGAGCCGCTGTCTGACCTGGGACTCGATTCCCTGCTCGCGGTAGAGATCCGAACATGGTTGCTCAAGGACATGCACGTTGACGTTTCTGTACTCAGAATCCTGGGCCGCGATTCAATATCATCTATTTGCTCCAGCGCTGCGCGAAAACTTGTAGAGAACAGAGCAAAGGCTACTGAAAGCAAGCCGACTGGGAGAACACAGGACGTGCAGACTGAGGCAGAGCCTGCTCCAGCCGCTCTTGACATGGACCAGAGCAACACCATTGGTCATTCTGACTCTTCTGCACCGAGAATAGAAGGCTCTCAAGAGACTGGCTCTGCGGACTCTCTTCCACCGTCAGCTACCATAACGCCCTCAGAATCCGCCCCACTCTCGGAGTCCGACTCCCTCGAAATGCACCAAGGTTTTACGACTTCCTCGGCTTCGTCAGTGTCCAACTTTCCTATAACACCAGCGGATCTGGCGGAGCCGAAATTTGCTTTGGAGTATAAGCGCACTGGACGCATGTCATTCGCGCAGGCAAGTCTCCATTTCTTACACAGCTTCCTGGATGACCCGACGACATTCAATGTTACCGCACAGTACGACATTAGTGGGCACCTGAACGTCACTAGATTTTCACGAGCATTGGAAAAGTGTTTAGCCCGACACGAGGCTTATCAAACTTGCTTTTTCACAGATCCTGGAAATCTCGAGCTGAAGCAAGGAATTGCATCCAACATCAACATGAACCGCTTCACGCACTCGCACTCGACGACGGCTGAAGATGTCCAACACATATTCCAGAGCCTCGCTAAGCGTGAGTGGAAGCTTGCCAGCGGGCAGACATTCCAAGCGATATTGATTACTCACGCGCCGGAATCGCACACCGTCATCTTTGCCTGCCACCATATCATCATGGACGGTCTGAGCTGGCACATCTTCCTCCAGGATTTGAATCGCGCCTACCAGATGTTACCATTAAATACCATCGCAAATTCATATGTGGACTTCTCTCGCCAGCAGATGGAGGCTCTGGACAGCGGACGGCTTGAGGAGTCCATAGGGTACTGGATGCGTGAGCTGGACCCGATTCCAAGCGTGCTCCCACTACTGCCATTTGCCCAGACGAGAAGCAGAAAGTCGCGGCGCGCGTACGGCAACCATACCGTCCAAAGAGTACTAAGCGTCGAAATGGTTCAGAGGGTCAAAGACGCAAGCCAAGTATGCCAGGTAACCCCCATGCAATTCTACCTCGCCGTCATGCAGACCCTCTTCGCTCGTCTCTTGGAGCTAGACGAGATTTGCATTGGCGTGACGGATGCCGGCCGTGCTAATGGAGACTTTGCCGAAACCATTGGTCATTTCACCAATCTCCTGCCCATGCGGTTCTACATGAGCAGGGAACGATCGTTTGCAGAGCTCGTGCATGAGACGTCGCGAACGGTGTTGAATGGATATGGCCATGCGCACGTCCCCATCGACTTGATCCTGCAGAGGCTAGAAATGCAACGGTCACCGGCGTACACGCCCCTCTTTCAAGTCGCCTTCAATTACCGCATCGGCGATTTGCTGCACAGAACGTTAGGCAACTGTACCATGGACTTGACCAAGTATGTAGATGCGAAGACGCCCTATGACCTGACATTCAATGTTACCCAGACTGCACAGGGCGGCCACCTCGTGGAAGTCTCATCCAGCGACTATCTCTACTCGACAGCCGCCACAAAGATGGTGATGGATACTTATGTCGGCTTGCTGGATACCCTATCTCTCGACCAATCGACCAAGGTGCAGGACTACAAGCTCTACAACGATGCACAAGTCGAGCGAGCGCTGGGTCCAGGACGAGGACCAAGGGTGCAGCATCCGTGGCCCGAGACCCTGACAGAGAGATTTCATCAAGTTCGCTCTGCCTTCCCAGACTCAGTCGCCATCAAAGACGACGGGGGTTCCATGACCTACGAGCAGCTTGCATGTCGGGTCGGTGCGCTAGCAGCAGCTCTGATAAACGCCGGCGTTGGCCCGGGGGCTCGCGTGGTGGTTCTGTGTGAGCCGAGTATCGACACGTACGCTGCGATGCTTGCCATCCTGCACATTGGAGCTGTATATGTTCCGCTCGACATGAGCCTGCCAGCCGCACGGCATCGTGCAATGATTGAAGTGTGCAAGCCGGAGCTGCTAATCTTCCATCCTGCAACCACTGCGGCGGCTGCTCAATGTGGTCATGGAGGCGATATTGCCACGCTGAACCTGTCCGAGGTGTCCGCGTCTGCTCAAGAGCCTCCATCCGCGGCAGCCGTAAACGACAGCTTCTTGCTCTTCACCAGCGGCTCTACGGGCACACCAAAAGGCATTAGGCTTTCCCAGGGCGGCATCATGAACTACGCTGCTTCGAAGAGCGCAACACTTGGCCTTGGGAGGGTTAAAGTGCTGCAACAGAGCTCCACAGGCTTTGACATGTCTGTCGCTCAGGCTTTCAATGCCTTCGCCAACGCGGGAACGCTGGTGGTTGCTTCCTCAAAAGCTCGTGGCGATCCAATCATGATCGCGCAGCTGATGGTGGATGAGGCCATCGAGTTCACGATATGCACGCCTTCAGAGTATCTCATGCTCGCCACCTACGCCGCTGACTCTCTGCGGCAATGCATGCAGTGGCGACATGCCTGTTCTGGCGGAGAGGCTGTCTTGGGCGGGCTCGTTTCTGAATTGCAACGGCTAGAATTGCCCGACCTCACATTGACGGACTGCTACGGACCTACAGAGATCTCGTGCGCCGCGACGTTCCGAACGATACCTTTGAAACCTGGTGTCGAAGGGACTGGCGCACCTAACTCGGTTGGCAAAACCATTCCGAACATTTCTGTCTACATCGTCGGCAATGACTGTGAGGCGTTGCCGGCTGGGTTCCATGGAGAAATATGCATTGGCGGTCGTGGCGTTGCCAGAGGCTATCTCGATGCGAATCTCAGCTCAAGCAAATTCGTTCGCGATCCATTTGCAACAGCTGATGACGTTGCCCGAGGATGGAACGTCATGTACAGGACCGGCGACAACGGTTGCCTGCGAGAGGATGGATCGCTCACGTTCTTAGGCCGAACCGACGGCGATACTCTTGTCAAACTTCGTGGCCTACGCATCGAGCTCAATGAAGTTGCCAACGTCATCTTGCACACCGCACAGGGCTCACTGGCTGACGCAGTGGTCACAGTCCGTGGCCAGCCTGAGTTTCTCGTAGCTCATGTGGTGTTCGCGCGAGGAGAGCATCTGAGTGAGTCCCAGCTTGACACGCTTTGCGCAGATCTTCCGCTGCCCCGCTACATGATCCCTTCGATGATCATACCACTGGACCGGCTGCCGACCTCGCCAAACGGAAAAGCTGATAGGAAAGCTGTGGGAGAGCTTCCCCTACCGGCACGAAGTCACGAGAGTGACAAGAAAGTCTCGCTCACTGTGGCTGAGGGGGAGCTGCGATTGGTCTGGAGAGCTATTCTCGGCGAGGCCGCGGGCGCCGCCAACATTCAGACAGACACCGATTTCTTCACCATTGGAGGGAGTTCCCTGCTCCTTGCACGCTTACAGAATGCCCTCAAGGAGAGGATGGGTGTACAGATGCCGCTCCACGACCTCTATCAGGCCAGCACGTTGGGCAAGATGGCAGCAATGACAAGCAAAGAAAGAAGCCAAGTTCTCACCGAGACAATCGACTGGGCAGCAGAGACATTGATTCCTGCCCATGTCCTGAACGCTGCCCAAGCCCCGGCCTCACCTGCGCCTCGGCGACACCAGCGCCACGTGGTCCTCACGGGCTCCACAGGCTTCTTAGGCTCGGAGATCCTTGGGGCATTGATGAACGATAACGACGTTGCGAAGATCCACTGCATCGCAGTGCCAGCAGACGCGCGACACAAGCTGCCATCTTACGCTAAGGTAATCGTATATTTGGGCAGCCTGCTGAGTTCCAACCTGGGCCTGTCAGGAAGAGAGGTCGCATTCCTGCAATCCAATGTCGACCAGATCATCCACGCAGGAGCGCAGGGCCACTGTCTGAATAACTACTCCTCAGTCAGACACGCCAACTATCTCTCGACGCAATTTCTGGTCACGATGGCTCTTCCCCGACGGGTGCCGCTACACTTCATCTCGTCTGCCCGCGTGATCCTCCAATCTGGCTCGTGTACCGCAGCACCAGTCTCGATGGCAGCCCATCCGCCACCCGCAGACGGCTCACAAGGCTTCACCGCCTCGAAGTGGGCAAGCGAATGCTTCCTGGAGAATGTGGTGCGCGAGACTGGCCTTCCAGTTGCGATCCATCGTCCCTGCTCGGTGATCGGGACCAGAGCGCCGCATGACGACGCCATGAACTCTGTAATCCGCTACTCAATCCTCAGTCGGACGGTGCCCGCTGTCCCCAATGCTGAGGGTTTCTTCGACTTCAAGGATGTCGTTGCGGTGGCAGCAGAGATTGCCCGTGATCCCGTGGCAGAAAAATCTATCTGCTTCCGCCATCACAGCAGTGGTGTCCGAGTGCCGTTCAGTCAACTAGCGCAGCGGATGGAGAGCATACATGGGGGTAAATTCGAGGAGGTCAGCATGTCAGATTGGATTCGCAGTGCGGTCGAGCTTGGCATTGAGGATTTGATTGTGAGTTACTTGGAGGCCAATGTGGCGGGAGGAGCGAACTTGACGTTCCCTTACCTAGGCATGTCATGATGTAGTTGAGAGACGCGCATGTCTGTGAATCGTGCGCAGGTCATGGTACAAATTGAAGGGCTGACATGTGTGTGTTCAATTTTAAGTGTGCACGTTACAAGGGGCAATCAACTGACAAGTTGGTGCGTGTAGTACAATCGGAAACTAAGCCGGGCAGAAAAAAAAAGGCCCAGGAGTGAACTGAAGACGATACCAAACCATATAGGTAATCTAGTTGGATTTGAGGGAGCTGGATCTAGCTGCTAAGGAGACCATTATCAGCATTACTTCTAGTTGTGAGTTGAAACTGAGCGAATGCTCACTGAGGTTTATCACCTCAGGATGGTGACTAAACGATGCTTAGCAGGCGCAGAATAGTGGTGTGCAGCACATATTTAAGTGCTAAAGCAGCAGCTCCTAAGGGAAAATACAGGTGGAAATGCGGCCGTTTACTATGGGCCTTAGTAGCAGTCATTTTCAGCATCAATTTCACAGGTCCTCATATTCTAGTTGTAATCTCAGGTGCTCTGTAAATATGCGGTTGAACAAACGGGCCAGACTCCTGTCTCTGGCTAATCCGTGCCTCGCCAAAGTCGCACGGGATAGGAAGGCCAAAACCTTTGCCTCCGGTGGGTCGGCGGAATCTGCGGCTCTTGTATATGGTATGAGCTTCATCAATCTTCTTCCGATGTCTAGGATCCTCAGTCTCTGCTTTCGCAAAATCCACTAGCATGGTGTTGTCCTCCAAAGTAAGCATTAGATTGTCGGCCTTCAAATCTAGTTGTACTTAGTATTGAGCTCCCCACTATATCAGTGAGAGGCGGCGTACCAGTGTGAACTATCTCAGCTTCGGTATGCAAGCAATCAAGGGCCAACAAAAGTCGATTGACAGTCATTTTGAGCAGAGGCATATCAAACGGTTGCGGATTCAGGCTCACCATTTCAAGAAGCGTCATACGCATTGGCTGCATCACCAGGCAGCGGTGCTTGCCGAACGGTCCTTGAAGATCAAATGAGTCATACAGCTCGCGAACCAGCGAGTGGACTTGATGCTTAGAATTGAATTTCGAAAGGTGCTCGTAAATCTTTAGCTCACGATCGCTTGCAGTAGGAATTGCTGGTAGTGACGTGGACACCTTCAGTAATCGATATTTGTCGCTCCTGAAAATAGTTTAACGCAAAGCTTCCTGGCTGCGCGTGGAAAAGACACCTACTGAAGAACTCGGCAGAGCCAGCTGGTCGAGTATGCTCCATAGCCAAGCTTGCCCGTGATCTGGTACCTGGTCTCGTATACATCCCCGATATGGACCGGGAAATAATGTTCCGATTTATAGTGAGGTAAAGTCACTTCCTCTATTGGCGTTTCTGATGGTAGAGTAAAATATGTAACATTTGGGGGGTAGCTTTGAGGATGAGGACTTGCGACGAAGGGCGCTTCTCCACGCGTTTAAGAGTGATGTCATGCTTGCAGTGCAAGCATGGCCCGGGGTCTAACTGGAGAGTATTCAAACAGAAAGAGGATAGAGGGTATTAAAGCTCGTCAATGGACGATAAATTCTCAGGTCGAGACGTAGCAACGCGACGCCATCAAAAGAGTCAGTTCTTCCTGCCAAGTCTCACGCGTCACATGCGGACATCACCAAGCTTGCTACGAAGAAACAATAACAGAACAATTGCTGGCACTCACGTGATACAACATAAAGTCGCTGTTCGTTAACTTCCTCTCGTAGTACAGGCAGGAGTCGTCCGTATACTCACTTGAAAGTGGCATATGCATCTGTTAATAACCCGGGTGTGATATCCGCAAACAATCCATGGTTACGGTATGCTGCTTTTACTGATGACGTGGAATGCGCTTGGGCCATTGAAGTAACAACTCTCACTCCCTCTCAACATATCAAAGTGGACTAATTACATTGGCTTGCAGGGGCATTAACATGGCTCCTTTGTCATTCCAGATCATGTCTGATCTTCATCTCGAGACGCATTCCTCGTATGATGATTTCCAATTCCAGAACACAGCATCGTATCTTGCACTACTCGGGGACATTGGCCATGTAGCGAACGAGCAACTATTCAAATTCCTCGAATATCAGATCCAACGGTATCTGGTTGTCTTCTTCGTTCTTGGAAATCATGAACCATACCATATGTCGCTCCAGACTGCAAAGAAGAAGATGCGAGCCTTTGAAGCAAAGATGGAACGGACGCGGATCTCTTCCTCCAGAGTTGGACGCTTCGTCTTTCTGGACCAGACTCGCTACGACATCTCGGATACACACACTGTGCTTGGATGTACCCTGTTCTCTCACGTCACTCCGGAGCAGGAGTTTTCCGTCGAGTCCCGAGCGGTTGATTTTAAAGATATCCTTCACTGGACCGTGGAAGACCATAACCTCGCTCATGAGTCGGACGTCAAATGGCTAAATGCTGAGGTTTCCAAGATTACAAAGGAGGAGCCACCGAGACACATCTTCATTTTCACTCATCACTGCCCATCCATGGATTCGCGCTGTATGAGTCACAGGCATAAACATAGCGATGTGACCTCGGCCTTCATGACAGATTTGTCCTCGGAGGAATGCTGGACGTCCACGGCTGTCAAAGCTTGGGCATTTGGTCATACGCATTACAACTGTCAATTCACGGATGAGAGGGGCAAGGTCGTTCTGGCTAACCAGAAAGGCTATCAGATGTTTCCTCGGAAGTCTTTTGATGCAGGAAATGTATTCCAGCTTGGCAATTGATATCAGCGAGCAATTAGGGTACAAATTGTACCGAGGTGTGCACATCTAGGTTTTGTTAGACGTAGTTCCATAGCTACCTCTCTTTCGTGGATAGAAGAACGGAAGTCCCTGTAGAACGAGGAGTCGACAATCCTTAATTAACTTCTCTGCTGATAATAAAACATCGATATTTCGCACAGTTCCATCGCATGGTTTCTCCCATAATCTTTGATATCCACATTGATGAGCAAAGGTCAATAGTGGTTGGGCATACTACGCGGAATGGTCGAACTATATATATTATACCTGCCGTGAGGTCGAGTAGGGATCCACAACGCATAGTCAACTATGACTAAGTGAGATAAATAGGGCTAGTGCAGGAGAACCATTTTGAAAAGACACGCCAAGGGCCTGAGCCAGATTAAGTCTTTGTGTTAGCATGATCATCTCGTTCCATACACAATGGGAAAAGGAAATGTGGATCTCTTTCCTTTGTCAAGATGGCAAGCTTGCTTACCTTCAACAACTGGTCGCTTAGCTCAGTCGGTTAGAGCGTGGTGCTAATAACGCCAAGGTCGCGAGTTCGACCCTCGTAGTGACCATTTTTTTTTCACTTTCGTTTTTGTGACTCTTCCGAAGATTGCTAGTTATCAGTTGCAATGTCATCAGTTGCAATTTGTCAATCTTACCCTGCTTATTGTACGTCAGGATACATGCAAGCAGAAGTGAGAGCCGAAGGTACATTTTGTCCGTCACTGGACGTAAATGCTCGAGGCCCGCAGTGTAGGTACTTGAAAGCCGTGGTATTCCCGCTCAGAAACTTGGTGGGTCAATGGGTTGTTCGACAATAAGGCTCCACGCGGGCCGGTCATACATCATCTACAGATCTACAGATCTACAGAGGCTATATCACAGCATGGATATACTGAACCATTGAATATTTGTAATCTGCCCATTCGGCATCACTCCCAGTTCATCTGTCTGCGGGGTAGGAGCACCATGCAAGGTACGCGGCATCCGGGGCGCTGCACAATACATATAGTATGTCATTAAACAATGTCTGATGTAATCATTGAATCCGGGCTCAGACATCATTGATTATCAATTTGATTATAATGTGCTGATCGTGTGACAGATGTGATGCCAGACTCCAGCTGCTGTCTCCTATCCGTGGTTCGGCCAATGGTTCTCAGCCATCCCGGTCGATGACTTCATGACATTCGGCATCGAGTCACACCACAAGGACAGCCAAAAATGGTTAAAAGGAGCTCTGGAAGTGTTTGGTGTAATTATGTACACGAGCTGCAACGTCTCATATTCCATTGATACCGAGCTGACCGCACACAACAACAACGTCCAAAATGGCCTGGGCTGCAAGAGATGCGCTCCGCCCTTTTCTCCTCGTCTCCCGTCTGTTCGCATGGCTGAGTGCTGTCATCGTCATGGGCATCACGGCTTGGGCCGTGACCAAGAGGGATGGCTACAGAGTGGTCTATCCGCTGGTGATTGTAGGTCTATCGCACCTAGATGACGGGAAATATGGTTCTGACTCTGGCAGGCTGTTCTAACAACAGCGTTTTATATTCCTGCGATGGTAGTATCAGCTATGAAACGTAACCGCGGATACATGCTGCCCTTGGACATTGTCTTTTCCTACTTGTACGCTTATATACTTCCCTGTTTCTTGAGACGTGATTATTAATGAACAATGATTAGGTGGCTTGCAGCATTCATCTTCCTTGCCCAGCACATTGGGCAAGAGAACTGTCGATGGTTCTCTTTCGGTGTCTCAAGCTCATGCACCCGCAAGAGAACTGCCGAAGCCTTCTCTTTCCTGGCTTTGTATGTTGATAACTGATGTGTGGAGTGCCGTTAGGCTTGCTAACTCACGCCTGTAGCTTCTGGACTCTCTGCGCCATGTGCTTTGAGATCTTCAATTTCTACTATAGTGGAAGAGAGGGACCAGTGGGAATGCACCCACATGCCGAGAAACATCCTCATCCGGATGCCGGCCGTGCTCCTGCGGATGCGCCTGCCGATGTCGCGCAACCGGCTGCTTAAATAACAGCTTAATTATTGACATTTCAGGATTCGTTTGTCCTCATCGTACTGCTGTACTTGAAACCTCTGAAATCTGGGCTCGACGCTTTGAACTCGACATATGGAATGTCCGCTTTGGTTGATTGCGCTGATACTCCCGAGATTTTAGTTCTGGGTCAAGCAGGAAAAGTGATGGTGTTCATCTGTTAGGATAATGCCCATTAATACTTAATTTGACTACCTAATAGTGAGACAGTTTGTTTCTTCAAGCATCCACTGTTTGATAGGGAGGGCTTGCTGGCCTAGAGTCTCCCGTAATGTATGAGCAGTTATGAGAGTGTCAGAAATCGGATCAACATTGGTGTCCCGTATTGGACTTGAACTGAACGTGTCAGCGAATTTCAAAATGAATACAGCAAGTCCAGATGACCAGTTGTTCAGAGATCCGGGAATGAGACGGTTGACCTGCGTGGGAAAACGAGTTTCGGTTTGGTGACGAAGTCCTCTTAGAGGATGAACGTGCTGACGACAGCGCCACTACCATGGACGAGCCATACTCGGTTTATTTATGCCATGAGTTCCTGCCAGGAACTATATACCCTATGTCTGAGTCCTAAGGCAGACCGTCTGAGTATCTCCCCTGAGTGCGTAATGCGCTTACGATTTTAGTCCCGCAATCGACCAAGTGGGGACCCACAAAAAGGTCTGGATTCAAGAGTCGAGACCACAGTGGGTAATGAAGATAAATCACGCTGTATTATTGGTCCAATCGCTTAAGAACCGCTCCAGCGCTTTGTCAGTTTCCCATTCAATTGGCTGTGTTCATGAGGAAACACAGTAGGAGTCCTCGTATCATGTCCTGAACAGCGGCAGCCTCGACAGATATAGATGCGGCTACAGAACGTCGAGTAAGCCTCCAGTCACGACCCAAATGGACCTGATCGATGAGAACGGGGCTGAAACATGCTATCCACGTGTATGCGCTGACCGTTTTGATCAAGTGTTCGCGACGCCCATACTCCACCATGGGGTATAAATATAGCAGGGGCTGCAGGGCATGCCACGACCATGTCGACCGCTCACGCAAAGCAAGCAGTCCTTACAGCCTTTTTTCTTTATAGAATTATTCCCTAAACGAGGTTGATCCTCACACTCTCCTTTCTACTACCAATTGCCATTGTGCACAGTCTCTCCTTAAACCTAACACTCCTTTAAATCGGTCAATCACCATGTTCTTTTCCAAAATCCTTTTCCCAGCGGCCTTTGCGCTGGCTGTCTCGGCCCTTCCGCAATTCTACCCGGTGGCAGCATGACTAGGCATGATGCAACTACCACCTCCAGCACAAGCATCAGCACTACCTCCCATGCCGCCAGCCCCAGCGCCACAACCAGCAGCAGCGGCGGCAGCGTCCAGATTGTAAATAACCTCGACTCCACCGTCTACCTGTGGTCCACCTCCGATACCTCCACCGCCATGCAAACCATCGCCTCCGGTGAGACGTACTCCGAGACCTACCAGACCAACTCCAATGGCGGCGGAATCTCCATCAAGATGGCCACCACTGAGAGCCAGGCCAGCGTCCTCCAGTTCGAGTACACCAAAGCCAGCGACACGCTCTTCTGGGACTTGTCCGCAATTGATATGGACTCGGACTCGGAATTCATCACAGCAGGATTCTCGGCTACACCTAGTGACTCGAGTTGCTCATCCGTGACTTGTGCGGCTGGCGACAGTGACTGTAGCGAGGTGTATCAGGAGTCGGATGATGTTGCGACGCAGAGCTGCTCGGCTACTGCGGGAATTACGGTTACGTTGGGCTGATGGAATCTTGCGTACTGGTCTGTATTGGGTGATATTCATTTCTTCGACGGAGGTTTCCATCGAGCAGGGGATAGAGAAGAGTAAGCCGGTCTTGCTCGATTATAGTGGAATGTTTGCGGTTATAGAACGTGATTTTACATGGTGGACTTCTGCTTCCATCGTTCATTCCTTACGCTGTAGAATAGACACATTCAAAACGAATAGAATCTGACCTTAAGCAGTTTAAACCTTCCATAGACTGCTCCGAGAGACCTCCAAGGTTAAGGGAGCGTCTACCTGAAATATCTCACTGCAAGGATCAAAGTATGGTTGCGATGCCACATCAGTGTCTGTCCTCTTTCAGATTTTGATTTACCACGTAGCCCGTCTGAAAAGCAAATCATTGAAAATAGCTAAAGTGATTATAGACACTGAGAATATCGCACATTCTGCACCTGGCAGGTATGTCCGTCCATCCTTATCTGGCACTCTGAGCACAATGCGCCGCGACAGTAGCCGAAGTAGCAATCGTAGTCCTTGTCTTGTGGCGGAGGTATCGCCTACGATAGAACCACAGTCACCATTGCATATCCAGGAACATTGACAGTAGCCGCTCCTCCACTTAGTGACACGGTGGTTCCGCTAACGTTATTGTGGCTGTTATCTGTCAGGTATGCTTTGGCCGAGCGAGCCGAAAACCCCTTGACGGTCACCGGTGTCGCCGAAGACGCAGAGCTAATCATCTGCACCGCAACAGTGCCATCCTTATTCTTAAATGCAGTCATCTTGAGCGTCGAAGTGGACCCGGAGACTGCCACGCGCACCGCGCCAGGTCGTACAAACCGACTCCACTGCGCAAACGCCCACAATCGCCCGGACGGGATGATATTCGTTCCATCGGTAATCGCCAGGCACGAGTTGGTGGTATCTTTCTCGAAGCCCTCCCAGTACAGGTATGCACTCACCCCGCCCTGCGTGATGGCCGTGTAGATCTTCTGCGCCCAGGTTAAACCCTCGCCTTGGCCCCCGTTGGAGTACCAGGTCGTCTCCCACGTGCCCTTATCCGAGAGGTCGGCGTTCTCGGTCTGCCAGACGGGGATAGAGGCGCCCATGGGGCTGGTCGGATCAGACGAGTACGAGTGCGAGGTGATCCGCGAGAGAAGCTTCTCGACGCCGGCCGAGATGAGCTGTGCGGTGCGAGTTTGCTGTGCCTTCCAGCCCATCGCGTCGCAGCAGTTGATGCCCACGTGGCTCAGGCCTGCCTTTTGCATGGTGGGATGCAGCACCTTGATAAAGTCAGCGGCCTGGATCCCGTCCGAGAGCATTGAGGAGTATGCTGTCCTGTCCTTTCGTCAGTTTTGACGCCGCTGCTGAGCAAAGGCAAGGGAACATACTTGAGATCTGGCTCGTTCAAGAAGCCCACGTGCGTGATTTGCAGTCCCAACGCCGCATAGTCCTGGATATACTTGACCAGGTAATTTGCATACGCCTGTCTCCAGTCACCGCTCGCGCAATTCGCTCCCGTGACACCACACAGATAGCCCCCGTTCGCCTGGTCGTTGTTGGTCTTCATGAACCCCGGGGCACTCCACGCATCGGCATAGATGGACTTTACCCCGTATTTGACGGCCTGTTGCGTCACCCACACCTGGTTCGAGTCCGTGCCGAGATCCTTATACTGCGGCGTGGCGTTCGGGGAGCCAGGGGATGTTGGCAGAATGCTGTCGCCGCTACCAGAGCCGATGCGGTTGCGCAGGATGGTCATGCCTGCTCCCTTGGTGGGGCTGAAGAGGAGGTCCAGGGCGTACTGGCGCTGGTCCGCATTGAGATTGATCAGATCGTTGGCGCGGCCGAAGGCCTGCGAGAAGCCGAACCCATCCATGGTCTGGAAGGTTTGCCCTGTGTTGACGGTGGCCGTCAGGGCGTTAGCTGCAACGACCAGGCCAGCTAGAAGAAGGAGAGTCATTTTGCCGTTGGCTAGTTGTCCTGTTCATTTATGAAGGTAGAGGGGAGTTAAAGATTCTTATATATGTGTAGAACCCGTAGATCCCGCTGGATTTGTCCACGGACGGTGCCCCGATTTCCCGAGACCGCCGTCTAAAAAATTGGCTTCATGGAGAAACAGAATCAGGCTCCTGTGGGGTAAAGCTTGAATATCTTAGCCAGCCAGGTCGGGGCTCCACATATAATGGAACGGAATCCACTTGAAACCGGAAGCGAGTCCGTGATACTCTTCAGATAAAACATCGTTTTCCACTTTTGGACCAGGCTCACGGATAAAATGCCATGTAGAGAGTAGGCTAGCTTGCAAGAACCGGATGGAACAGGCTCAATAGCCTCAATTACCCCTTGATTGCGGGGTCGCTAAGGTTCGTGCAAATTGCAGAGGATCGCATGACACCGCCGGCAACCGAGACAATAGAAATTGTGAGTCAAGGACTGTTGGATAATTGGCTGTTACGAGGGTGTGGATAAATGTGGTTTGAGGATCGTCCGGCCGCCATCGTTGGGGCTGGATTTATGTCTCGCAACTCTAACCTTTTTCCAGTGGATGGCTATCCCTGCAGATCCTCCGTCTCCTTGTGTTCAGACGCATTCGCTAGAGATGCCCCGCGAAAGCGAGATGTGGCCTTACCTTCAGCGTGGAGGTGTAGATAAACTGCTTGGTGATACCGTCCACCTGGTTCCCCGCTCGTTGGTTGGCACGGGCACCTCGCCGGTCTCCTAAGCGAAGGTCTGGGTGCGAGGAGGGCTCACATGGTCAATACGGTGAAGAGCAGTAAAGGAACACTCAGACTATCGATCTGCACGCTTAGACCACCAGAAAATTGACACAGTTCCGAAGAGCAACCTTGGTATCGTCCAGGATGGCAGCGCTTTAGGCAAAGCCCGTTAGTCAGGCAGATAAATCATTGGAGTCTCCGTTTGATTTATTGATTGCACAGCAAGGGCCGTTAATCCTGTCAGGAAGCAGGGTTATAGCTCTGCTAAGCCGGAACTGGCGTCTGTGAAGTAGCACTGTGTTGCGACTGCGAGCGAAACGAGCGCATTTTGGGTTGCGAGGCTAAGGAGGACTTTGTGTCGAGATAGGCGGGAAAGTAGCATCTTGAATATGGGCGGCTAGAGTATCGCGACCCTTGAAATTATGCGTGGACATGCAATGCTTTAATGTAACTGTCAATTAGCGCAGTGAAATGAGGCCCATGCTCAGGCGCTTATATCTCTGTACCAAATGGATCAATGAACTGGCGTTTTTGAAATAGGAACGGCAATACGTTGTCACTGGCTGTACAGGTACTAAGCGCTGGACTTGTGTCTGTGAGGTGTACATTGCAGTGATACCACCGGCGCTTGAGTTGCCATTTCTAAGATAGAAAATTATCTAATTACAAGAGAGCTATCAAACGGACGAAGCGTACCGCCAGTTGCGAGCAGATTCACTATAACTGCTTACTAGAGAGACACCAGACCTATATGTACCCGACCTTCAACTAGTTATCCGAGAGATTGAAATAGGCGCTGGGAAACGGAGTGGAAAGAGCTGCCATGGGCCCTCGACGCTGGGGGCGTCCACAGCCTTCAACAAGGGATCTCCATCAAATCGTATGCGACTTGAGAGAAGTATGAGGACCTATAAGAACTTCAGACTTCCCACCTAGAGCTCTATCGATGATGATTTGTTGGCTAATGTCGGATTGCTAGATGCCCAGACGGGGTTGCCCTGGTGATGGATTATCATGCAAGGCTGACAGCTGTCTGCGTTTCAGAGCATAGAAACACGGCACTCCCTAAACGTCGATTCCCTAAAAACAATTATCAGCGTTCTAAAGCCTTCAGAGTGACAAAATGACGGAGATCGAACACATCGCCAACCTCATCAAGAATGGCCAGGTGCACAAGATCGTTGTGCTTGTTGGCGCAGGCATCTCAACCGCGGCCGGCATCCCCGACTTCAGATCGCCTGAGACTGGCATTTATGACCGACTGAAACCTCTTAAACTGCCCTATCCCGAAGCTATTTTCCACATCGAGTACTTCAAGCATACTCCCGAGCCGTTCTATGCCATCGCGCGTGCCAGGCATCCTCGCACCGTCAAACCGACCATCACCCACGCTTTTCTCGCTCTTCTAGAGAAGAAGAACCTTCTTCATTTCGTGTTCACTCAGAACATAGACGGCTTAGAGCGGGATGTCGGTGTCCCAGAGGACAAGATCCTCAATGCGCACGGCAGCTGGCGGACACAGCACTGCTGGAAGTGCCAGACTCTCTATCCGGATGATTTGATGAAGCAAGCAATCAGGACAGGCACTGTGCCTTATTGTCAAGTCCCTGACTGCGATGGAGCTGTTAAGCCGGACGTGGTGTTCTTCGGACAGTCTCTCCCTGCGGAATTTGATGAAAAAGAGAAGGAAGTACCTGAGGCGGATATGATGCTTGTGATGGGGACGAGTTTAAAGGTTGCTCCGTGCTCGAGACTGCCGTCTTTAGCCCGTGAAGGCGTCCCACGGGTGCTTGTAAATCGCGAGACGGTAGGAGACTTTGGAAAGCGGGCGGAAGATGTGTGCATCTTGGGTGATTGCGATGATGGGGTGCGCAAACTAGCGGATGCCCTTGGTTGGACTGAGGAGATGGAGTCACTGTGGAAGGAGGCCATCGCGGCCAAAGAAGCAGCACAGGAGGATTGGGGAGAGGAAGAGAGTCTGGACGAGCTGATTGACAAGTACGCGAAAACGCTGACGGACGCCAGGAAGATTTCTGATGGGCATAAACGGATGTTGGAGAACCATCTGGAGAATAAGTTTGCCGATGTCCTAAACAAGAGCAGATAGTTTAGTATTTGGCTTCTCTTTTTGATAAGCCCTAGTTACATTGGTCGATATGATCTACATGCATGGACGTGGATATGGAATGGTCTTACTGGTTCCGTCGTATAAATGAGTCATACACTGAACTTTTTAAACATGTACTGATCTCCAACTATTTGTCAAGCAACTTCTACAGGATTCTGCCGAATTCACGTTCGCATCATGAGTCGTCCGTCGGATGCTATTGCTCGCCTTGGTAATGCCATTCAGCGCACTTCCTCGGATCCTCGCCCGGTTGTCTTGATGACCTGCGCAGTGGCAGGTAACTATGTCAACCCATCACCATAGATGCATCTGCTGACTCAATAGGATCTGGGAAGACCACTTTCGCGAAATCAATCTGCTCCGCATATCCATCTTTCACTCGTCTCTCCATTGACGCATATGTCTACTCTCATCATGGCCTTTGGAACGTGGACTACCCCAAGGAACACTACGAGAAGTATCAAAACGAGGCGGAAGCAGCTCTGAGGCAGCAACTTGTCCATATTCTCCAACATGACGATGCAAACGTCGTCCTTGACTTCTCCTTCGCATTCCGTGAAGACCGTGAGGTGTGGAAAGCGCTCATTTCGGAATCGGGTGGGCGCTGGGTGCTGGTTTACCTGGACGCGGATCCAACAGAGATTCGGCGGAGAGTAGCAGCTAGAAATGCACTGATTGAGAAAGATGGAGACTCGGCATTCTATCTGACAGAAGATGTGTTGGAACGGTACATTAATGGATTTGAACGGCCGGTTGGAGAGGGGGAGATTGTTGTCAATGTGGATTGATGGTGTCGGTGCATAATCGTCCCTCCTATAATACAATTTGGTGGTATGAATCAACAAATGGGGTGATAGCTCAGCTGGGAGTAGCGTACGACTGAAGTTACACTTTAGTCACTTAATCGTAAGGTCGCCGGTTCAATCCCGGCTCACCCCAATTCTTTTTTCATTTTTTTGCCGCCTGGCTGCCGTAGTCGGCCCACGCAGACTTATTAAATAACTAATTGCGACTGCCTTTAAGCTCCTTGATTTGCTTTCTAGGGTCGTACTCACACTTTACGTGATTCCATAGATTAGCACGTCCCTATACCCCATGGGAGGCCAGGGGCACCTGTTCCGGACATTACTAAATACTACTACTACTACTACTACTACTACTACTACTAAATTGGAGTCATTCAATAGCTAACTAGTGGGATGCGCAGAATCTCAAATATCATCGCGCTGGTCGCCTTATTATATATACTCAGGCGCCCCGCGGTGGACTGCCGTGTCAATTAAGAAGAGTCGGGAACCCAACGGGTAAAGCTCATGAAGGACTACCAAGAGTATATAACCAGGAATTGCTTTGGACTTGACAGGCCTATTCTCGCCTCATATCCTTTCCAAGTCTCTTTAGCCTCCAAATGTCTCTTCCCCTACGTACGCTGGGCCGAGATGGGCCCTCCGTCTCTGCCATCGGTCTTGGTTTTGGGAGCATTGGCGGATTCTACGGACCAGCTGGTACCCTTGATGAGAAAGTGGCCCTTTTGGAGCACGCACATGCCGCCGGATTGCGCTTTTGGGACATGGCCGACATCTACGGTGGCAGCGAGGACGTTGTGAGGGAATGGATCAAACGATCCGGCAAGCGCAATGACGTCTTCCTGACCACCAAGTTCGGGCTCCAGCGACAGCCTAATGGAAGCCATACTTTCCGGTCCGATCCCGAGTATGCCAAGGCTGCATGTGGACAAAGTCTTCAGAGACTCGGGGATCGACACCATCGATCTCTACTACTGTCATAGGGCGGACGGAGTCACGCCGATTGAAAAGACGATTGAAGCCATGGTGGAGCTGAAGAAGTAGGTCATCCAGCTTCGCCTTCACATAATATAAAGCAAGCGAGGTTTGACCTTTAAATATCTAGCCAAGGCAAAATTCGCTGTCTGGGTCTATCGGACGTCTCAGCAGCCACGTTACGGCGCGCGCATGCCGTGCACCCTATTACCGCCTTGCAGGTGGAATATAGCCTGTTTGCACTAGATATTGACTCACCAGCGTCAGAGATCCTCAAGACCTGCCGCGAACTCGGCGTGGCTATCGTTGCTTTTAGCCCAATTGGACGGGGTATACTGACAGGCCAATTCCAATCTCGCGCAGATATCCCCGAAGGCGACTTGCGCCGCATGTACCCCAAATACGCGGAGGAAAACTTCCCGGAAATCTTAAAACTGGTGGAGAAATTGAAATTGTGGCTAATGGTAATGAGATCACTCCGGCAAAGGTCGCCCTTGCGTGGTTGCTGGCGACTGGACCGGATATCGTCCCTATTCCTGGTACGAAATCGGCCGCCAGGATGGACGAAAATGCGGCGGCTGCACTGCTGCAGTTGAGCGACCAAGAAGTGCAGGAGATTAGGACCCTGGCGGAGAAGGTAGAGATTGAAGGTACTCGGTACCCTGCCGCGTAAGTAATTATCCATTCATTCTATTCCTGGCTCCATAGCGCGCTGACTGGTCGTATAGGGTAATGGTGACTCTCTGCTCAGATACGCCGCCGCTGGAAGAATAAGAGGTGGGTGCAAAAAGGGAAAAAAGGGAAGAATTTGATTTTTGCAAGAATCTTCACCCTAAATTCGGCTTAGCTAGAAATCTCAGGAAATCTAAGCAAGTTTATCTTCCAAAAGACAATGAAGCTGAACCTTGGAATGGCAACACATCCGGCCAACATGTTGTGTTTGCTGCAGGAAGCTGGCCATCCGGGTACATCCGAACATGCTTCAGATAGCATGACGGGAGACTGACAATGGCAGTATGCCGGTAAAGAGTTCATTAGTGTTCTAACCCTCCTTGACAAAGGGTTCACTTACGCCAACTGATGCCTGTGTCGAAACAACAGATCCGGGAAAGACCGACGACATTTTGTACGCACTGTAACATGATCAGCTTGGGCTACTGGAATCAAATGGCCAGATGCTGATCCTCTCTTTCGAGCGATGGGTTCAGTCTGGGCTGTGACGAATAAGACGGAAAGCGAGGTCTTTCGAGTTTCCAAAATCGAGCCTAATGGTTAGAACCGACTTCATAGTCCTAAAGATAATCCGGCCAATTGCTACAGAAACGTTAATATGAACACAAGTCTGAGTAAAGGACATTACTGAATAGACTTGAAGGGATTCGCGGGACGCCTGGAAAAAGAAACGCGAATAATAGAAGGGAACCATGCCCGTGTAGTGTAGTAGCATAGAGATTATAGACCCCTCTCATGAATACCAGAAATTTAAGAAAATTAACATGTATATGGTAACGTCTATTGCACTTATGCTACACAGACAGAATGAACGACAAAGTCTATCACAAGCCAGTGAATCCTAGGAATTGAAAGGGGTCAAGCTAATGTCGCCATCATAGGCACATTTCTCCACTGTTCCCTCAACAGAGTCATTGGTCGAGGTGCACGACCACTTGGTGCCCGGCGCACTGCCGTTTCCATTGTCATTGAGGGTGACGGAGACTGTCTCGGTGCCCTTGACTCGCTGCACCTCCAAGGTAAAGATCGCAATGTCGTTGACACCACCCGGGAAATTAACATAGTAGGCACCGTCGTTGGTGCGAGCGCCGGCAACGGGACTTCCGGGACGATCCCTGACATTTGTGTTAGCTTAATTATTTGATAATGATGATGTTCAACTATGGAGATTAACGTGCTCTTATACTACTTCTTGATACATTTTCGATGCGGTGGCTGAATAGGACTTAGGAAGTTCAATATGCTTGCTGTCTCAGTACGAAGTATGTGGACTGGAATCTCTTAGCTATGGTTGGATGTCGAGACACTTTTAGGCATCCCAAGTATCGGATCATTGGAGCTCATGGCTGTGTCGCCAATCCAATGCAAACTAAGTTAGGCCTCTGCGAGGTTTAGTCGATGGTTTTAGGCGCCCAATTATGAATATTACTGGACTATGGAAAGGCTTATGCTAATGAAGGATCCAAGCCCGAATCGGTATTCAAGATGCGTCAGCGCTAAACTATAGCCATTAAGGCCCGGAACGATGCGAATAGTTATTGCTCAACAGCCCGTAACCCGAGGGAAACCGCCAAGCTGGAAATACACTGGTTGTGGGTTGGGCTTGGGTTGATCGACACCATATCTGATTACCCTAATATGCTGCGGATCGGATTGCGGATAATGGGCACATCGACATTGGCCAGTCTGGTGCCATATTCCGAGCAGCAATAACACAAAGCAGCTGGCAAACATGAAAGACAGAAGAAGAATCAATTCCTGAACAGCGAGTACGGCCCGCGGTGCCCGTGTAGATGGCGCTGGCGCGAGTTCGTGACGGAACAGAGTCACGCATGGTGTATCTGGAGCTTATTCGACTAGCAATCTACGATGTGAGAGGGCATGGCGACCGACTAGATGTCTGCCTCGTTGGCGACTCCAACCAACGAGATCAACTCTGGGGCGGAGACCCTGTGGCGACATCGAGATGACAAGGAGCGGGCCGATTCTTCTGTTCATGGAGAGTTAGGGCCTCGAGCCTCCTTCCCCGGGAAACAGTCATGTTCGAATTCCCCCAAGACCGGCCCAGAGAGACCTAGTGCTCGCATGTCTTCACACCTGGGACATGAGTTGGTGAAATGCCAAATTCATCTAATCGAATGTGGTCGGACCACCGGGCAATAGCATTAGTCGTCCAGATAGACACATCTCTGCGATAGGAGCCGTTGCTACCTACTCGGGAAAGCTGATTAGGCGAAGGGGACAAGACAGATCAGTCACGCTCATGGTAGACCCCCGGACTGTAACAGGCCCGCAGGAATTGGAGCAACACGTATATCATCTTATAGTAGAAGTTGCACAAAGGAGCAGCGAAAGCAAAACCGTCTTCGTACAGTAAACGGACGCGAACTGCGGGATGGGTACAATAAAGGAAGGAACCAGAGCCTTTGAGCCCGTCGCTACAGGTATCCTCGACCGGAATCTCTAGGACCCTGCGACAACGCTACCATTTAACATTCGGCAACTATCCAGGTCAACCATGGTTGAGTACCACGCGTCTTCAATATCAAACCATGAAATTGCGAGACGGTCGAGGGACCATAACCTCGTGGCTGTTCAAGGATAAACAGCTGGAAAAATACGAGGCAGCCAGCCAATAGCAGGATTCAGAGTCACATGTTCTCATGTGAGTCATGCCAATGATGCCATCGTATTGTCCTTATTCTACTCTCCTTCCCCACTTCATGGAATTTCCAAGGAAGATAGTATCGTGACAGACGATTGAAATCTACAATCAGCGAGCGATCAAGTGGGTTTAGAGGTCTGTTCAGAGCACCTCGTCGGCTTTCCATACCTCAACCATGGCAGACCCTCAATCAACGACACCACACGTCCTCTCAGTGACGACGTCGGCCTCGCATAACTTCTCCAAGAACGCCGTGTCTTCCATCAAACTCATCGCCAATCTCGGCGTGGAAGGCGACTGTCACGCCGGCGAGACCGTTCAGCACCGCTCACGCCTCCACATCAAGCCTCCACCAGCAAACCTTCGCCAAGTGCACCTTATGCCAATGGAAGTGCTGCGGGATATATGCGTAACATTGCCGACCGATGAGATAAAATCGCAGCTTCTGAAGCCTGGTGCTCTCGGACAGAATATTACCACCGAGGGAGTCGATCTCTTGAGTCTGGGTGCCGGGACGGAAATTCGCTTTGTTGGAGATGGCGTGGCTGAGGGCGGCGATGCTGTCATTGCCCTCACAGGGTTGAGAAACCCCTGTCCTCAAATTGACAAGTTCCAGGCTGGATTGAAGGACCGGTTCTTGGTTCGTGATGAAGAGCGTCACATTGTCAGGCGGTTGGCGGGTGTCATGGCTACAGTGAAGAAGGGAGGAGTTGTGCAGCCTGGAATGAGGCTGATTATTGACAAGCCTCCCCAGCATATTCCCTTAGATGTTGTTTGATGCCAAGGCTACTGTCTAATCTGGGCCTGGATGCTACTCTACAACTAAAGTCGAATTGTGTGAGGTATTCTCTGTTTCGAACGGGAATATATCCGCTCGACTACACTAAGCTACTCTCCCATGCCTTGCTAGACGATTTATGAAAAGAACAAGGGCGCCTGAAATTAAAGAATACGTGACCGACTTGCGTGCCGACCTGCCGTCCTCTTGAAGATTGGACGGCTCCGGTCTCAGATTACCTGGGTGGAAAAGCTCAGCTGAGGAGGCAAATTATGTCTTGAATTTAATATCAATTCTGGAGTTGGTGACATCCTGTTCTCTGCTTTGAACCCTCCGTGTTGTGTACCAGAATCATGCAATCACACGACTGGAGATTCATACTCTCTTTGCCGGCTATTCCCAATACCATACTTGCGACAATTCTCAATTCTCGATAGCTGAACGGCTGAAGAATGTGGGTCCCTGACTTGTTCTAGATCGGAGATATTTCTATTGCTCAGAATAAAAATGGCTTTGATAGCCGACAGGGTGTGGACTGCGGTACTTTGACAATGCCTCTTTGTTTCTGTTGATTAGAACATTTGTATGAGGCTATAGATCTATCATAGCAATCGTAGGCTCGGGTATTCGGGTAAATTGTGAATTGTATCATATCTTTATCATATCAACAGAGAGGCGGAACCACGAGGCTTTCGAAGCTGTTATCTGTTGATCGTTTGAATAACTAAGACTATATACTTGCAGCGGCGTCCTCATCAGACCACATTTGTATTACTAGCCAGGTGAGTCCTGATGGTGGGTTTATTTTTCCTCATTTTTTCCGTGTAGTGGTGTGGCTGGGCCGGTCGATCGAAAAGATTCAACCTCAGATACGACAAGTGGCGCCACGCAGAGTCTCAATCAGGTCCAGATCCACCTTCATTGGCCCCAGATTGTTAATGTCGCTGGCTTTCATGGACCGTCTCGCATTGGCAGCGTTCTTAAACCCGGCTCGCCCAACTCCGGCCCCGGCCAAGTAGCTAAAGACACTCATAAAGGCATTTTCAGGGCGCTCGATAATGTCATGCACCAGCAGGCCCGTTTCGCCAGCCGCGCCTGCCAGGCGCAGCATGGAGCGAACCGCCGTCAGACCAGTGGCGCCGGCGGCCTCTCCCACGAAGGGAATGAAGAAGAGCAACCCTGTGAGGAAATTGACAATGAACTCCTCGCGCTCTTTCTTGCTGATATCCTTGGCAGTCTTGACAATCTTGTCCATACTCTCGACGGCAGTCTGTATCGTCAACGCGGGTAGGGATCCGGCGTCGACCAGGTCGGACCACTGCATGAGCTCATCGTCATCGGCATTGTCCCTGACGATCTTGAGACGGTTGAGGAGGTCCTCAGTCTTGTCGTACGAATCGCCGATAAGGTCCTTGGGGTTGTAGACCTTGACCGTGTCTTTCATGGGATAGTTGTAAAACCCACTGACCTGCTTGTCGATGCAGTCCTTGACATCCTCGCCAGCATACTGACAGCCATTGCCGGCCCTGACATACCTTCTGCCAAACTTGACCCACGACTCCTCGATGCCGTACTCGGCACCAATGTCCTTCCAGAAGCCCTCGGAGTCTTGCAGCGTGTATGTGGCGTTGGGAAAATGATCGCCTACTGCGATGATGCCGCTGGAACCGCTCTTGAGAGTTGTCGGGCATTTGATATCGACTGTAACCCTACCATTACAATCCTCGGACTTGTCGCAATCCACCATACATTGGGGAATGTTGCATTTGGAGCAGCACATAACGTCCTTGGTCTCCGTGCACTTGAAGTACTTGTCCGCCTTGCCGCTGCCCATGAAGGCGTCGATTTGGTCCTGGACTTGGTCGTCGACGTAGCCTGCGTAGATTTTAAACTTTTCGTCGTAGCCATTGTTGACCAGGTCCTTGTACTTCTCCAAGGCTGCTTCCATGACGGCGACCTCAACATTGAAAATGTATTGCTCCATGCAGTGAGCGGGGATCGAATCCTTGTGGTCATCGAGCTCCTTGAAGGTAGTGTACTTGGTTACACACTCTGGGTACATGCTGGTGTCGATGTAGGGTTCGTAATCATCAGGGTAGTCGTCACCACCGCTGCCACTGCGGAGAGTTAGTACCATGAGCATATCACTGCAGAGGTGTGCGAGGTCCATGAGGCTCAGCTCAGGGCACTTACTCTCTAAACTCCTGCAGGTCAACGGCCCAGTCCGTGGTTCCAGCAAAGTTGTACGAATCATAGAACTTCGCACGAGCAGCCTTCATGTCATCATCCATATACGCCACCCACTCGGTGTCGTTGTAGACCAGGAAGTTGGAGCCGACATCTGTCCACTGCTTGGTGACTTTGCCGCTGTTGATGATCTCATCAATCTCCGCGTTGGAGATGTAGCCGCCCGTGTCTGTGCAGCGTCCTTTTGCGGCGTTGGATATGCGCGAGGTACCGGTGAATTTGCACATTGGCCCAGTGCAACCGGCCTCGGCCATCTTGAATGACCGGCCGTAGCTGGTCACACCGACAACCACCTTTCCAGAGGGCACGCCAGCCTTGGTGATCATCGACAGGGCATCTTTGGTCTCTGTCTCGTTGACATGGGACCTTAAACAGTTGCCGCTGGGACAGCCGGACGAAGTCCACTTGTTGTCGTAGTCCCACTGGCCGTGGAGATCGTAGGTCATGTAGATGATATAGTCGAGATGGATGCCCATTCGTTCCATAGGGAAAGATTTCAGATAATGATAGGAAGCCGGGGCTGCGAAGGAGACTGTTTTGAAACCGCCCAATGCCTTTTTGACGTTGGAGAGCAAGTGGTAGTAGTCCATACCTGCCTCCGGGTCACCCGCGGGGATGTCAGGAATGTCAGGAGCCTGGATTTATTACATTAACACAAGTCCGTAGTGTAAAAGTAAAATGTGGTAAATGTGTGCTACTTACTCCAGGATACTCCCAGTCGAGGTCGATACCGTCGAGGTTGTGCTCATTGACAAAGGCAACGAGATTCCTCTGGAAGATATCCCGGTTGGCAGGCTTGACAGCTTCACGAAGGATGTTGAAAGTGCCAGGCATAGTACTAAAGTCCCAGCCGCCGAACGAAATAATCTTCTTGACCCCGGACATACCTTTGAAGAGGTCAAACTGCTCCTTAACCGCGCTTATATCGACGTTGAAGTCCTTTGTCACATCGGCGAAAGCGAAGTGGATATGCGTATACTTATCCGTGTTGATCTGGCCGACATCCATGGTCAAGCACTTGCGCTTATAGTTCCAGGCTTCAAAGTATGCTACCTGGATCTTCCGGAGGGGCGCCGGGCCCTTGACAATGTCTCTTCCGCAGTTACTGATGCCTAAATTTCGGGATCAGCCGTGTCTCTCCAGAGTTTCAGTAGATGTTGCTGGATAGAAGTACTAACAGCCATTTTTGCCGGGCGCAGAAGTGCCAGGAGCGCCAGTCTCTGATTTGGACACAGTACAAAAATCATCTGTCGTGCCGCATTGACCCCACACGTTGCAGCAAACCTTCAGGGGGCACGGGTTGAGCGTGGACAGGTCGGTGCCTTTGGCTGGCTCTTTGGTGCCGGGAACCTTTGAATCATATTAGTCCGAACAATTTCAGGCTTGGTGCAGCAGTCTGGAAGTCCTTACAGTCGGCCCACAGATAGCGTTCTAAAGAGTAACATCAGTGTATATTCTTCAAAAGCGGGTTCGAAGTGTACAGATGTACATATATATATACTTACCGGAACAGGGGCAGGCATAGGCGGCGTCCCTGAGCTCAGACACAACTTGAACTTGACTGGGAGCACTTTGCAGCCGCTCCAGCCCCACGTCTTCTTGTTGAAATCTTCGATATCTGCAACAGTTATGCCGTTCGCTGCGGCAAGGCCGTAACAGTCGTCGTCTGCCTTGGTGGTGTACGTGGAGCAGGATCCGTCGGGATTGGGCTTGGGCCGGAAATCGGGCAGCTTGCCACGCGTGCAGCATACATGCTGTCCGGCTTTCAGGTTCGAGCACAGATTGGCTTCCGTGTTCACCTTGTAAAAGTCTTGCAGGCTTAGACCGCATTTGGATGCCAGGGAGTAGCAGATGTCGCCGCCTATCACCTGTCTTGTCTTGCAGGTGCCGTCCGAGTTTCCAGGAGGGACAGTGTCAGGCAAGCTGCCGGAAGAGCAGCAGACCTTCTCGCCGGCAACAAGAGTGTTGCAAAAGTTTGGACGGGGATTGTACTCTTTCAGTTTGGTGTCGGTAATCTTGCACCGGTCGGCCAAAGCCCAGCAGCCATCGCCAGGATTGACCGCGGTTGTCTGGCACTCCGCCCGGGCAACAATCCGGGATCGTGACCCCAGGTGGGCAGCCGCGGTTGGTAACGTCATATTCCCAATGGCATCTGAGTTTGGCTTGACACGGGCAGGGACGCGCAGGGTTACAGTCGTCCAGTCCTCATCACCATCCGCCGCTGAGACGCATCGCCCTTTTACCCAGTTCTTGACGGCGTCCTGGACGACGGGCAGATGCTTTGCGCTGCTCACAATGATACCGATGCCGTAGTCTGCGCCACGGCCATCGGCTTGACACAGCTGGACGACAGTCGTTTCGGAGACCGAGTTTTTCTCCACATAGTCGAGCAACTTGTTGAGAACGTTCGTGGTCACGCCATGCTGGTGGACCTCCGCACCGGCAAACACTCCCACGACTGCGGATTGAGAGTACCCAAAAGCCAAGGCGTTCTCCACGCAGGAAGGCTTTTGTGATCTGAAATAATTGACAATCTGGTGGCCAGCAGATAACACATCCTGAACGGCAAAGCCATCATCATTCCCAGCGGTAGAATGGGACATTCTGATGGACGCTTCGACGAGGGCATGATTAGGGGTTGGGCAAAGAGCTGCCCTTTCATCTTGTGGCTCGTAGGCAGCCTGCGTGGCCGAGCTATAGTCGGCTGTGCATGCCCTGATGCCCATTTTGGGCCCATGACTACTGGCAGCATCAACTTCGTTTTGGACGACAAAGTTGAGCAGCATGGTCTCGTTGCACGCAGCGAGCCTTGACGCATCGGGAAACAAGAACCATCCGGCCCCTGAACTGCTATTACCAGTTTCATGACAGGACAGAGGGCATGCCTTGAGCGCGCTGGGTGGCGCCCGCTTGTTGGCTGCAAGCCATTCGTCAAGACCTTGGTCATCTCTAGCGTCTGTTGCTTCTGATGTGCGTGCTCGGTGGGAGACGTGAAGGTGAAGATGGGAGCCAGAATGGGCAGAAAAGGCCCCTGCCACCAAGGTAGTGAAGAAGAACAGTGATGGCTTCATAGTGAAGGAGGGCTGCGCAAAGAAAGGCTCTCGGAAGAGATGAGAAGCCCTTGACAATAATGGGGGATGAAGCTGACGATTAAACCGATACTTTGAATGATTTTATCATGCATCAGGAGTGAGCCTAGGATGTGCCTGGATGTAACATTAGAATCACCTTGATCTCAACCCTGAGATCCACTCCTTAACCCCTGTGAGGGAATTGTTTTCTAGCGCCAACTAGATGTGAACTATAGCTCGCGGCTGTTCAGGCACAGAAGGCGATGTTGCTGAACCCCCCCACAACACTTCGGCTCCGGTGTAGAGGTCTGGGTTGCAAAAAATATAAATTAAACTAAATAAACAAATATATAAATAAATATATAAAAACAAAATCAAAGTTGAGAAGAAAAACAAGAGGCCTATCCATTTATCCTCGGTTCCTTCCTCTTGTCTTTGCTCAGTTTTGCTCCGCGTATACCGCTTTCTGTTGTCTATGTTAATCTGTGTCCCTGTCTGCTCGTTATGAAGACTTCAATTTTCCTCGCGCTTGCGTACATCGCCGCGAGTGTCTGGGCCGGAGGATATCAGGGATGTCTTGAGCGGGTGTTGTTCTTTTACGCCTACCAAATCGACGGGCTGAACGACCCCGTGGACCAAACCCTGGGCTTCCGGTGCAAGAAATGGGACGACAAAACCGGATGCGTGAACAATGAGTGGGTAGCGTGCAGAGGCAAAGGCGGCGGTAGATGCAACTTCAATGAACTCATGGCCTCCCTCGGGAAATCACGTCCCACTGACAAACTGGTCGGCCCTCCCACGGCAGATCAGAGCACGGCAAGGCCGGATATCCAAGAGACGGCTAAAACACTCTACACGCACTACACGACCCCTCCCAACAAGAGAGTGACCAACTTCCCGCCCTACAAGGCCATGAAGGGTGCAAGCGGCGATTTTAACGCCTACACTTTGAAACTCGGCGAATTGGTCAACAATATGCGCCACAGGACCGACGCAAACAAGTACATGTGGGAAGGTTTTGATAAAACTCTGGAGCAAATCAACATCGCGCGGGCAGGCGACCACGGTCCATTTCTCATCGAAGCGGCCAAAAGGAAGTTGGGAACGCCCAACAATATGGATATCAAGTTGATGAATTTGGGCGACAACCCCATTTCGAATCCCACAACGCAGTGGGAGACCGTCGACTGGAAGGCCACTGCTGAGGCGGCCAAGACCAAAGGCATCGAGAATGTCGACAAACTTATCAGAGACTTTCGCACTAACTGGTATATAACCGATAGGTCAGCCAAGGATCACTATGCGGTCTTTAAGACGTATAAATGGGTCGGAGACCAAGTGCAGTTATGCCGAAGGTAGTGAGGGACTGACCGCTGATCCTGTTGAAGCCAATGATACAGTATGCGGAATACGGAAAAGGAGAGAAAGCTATGTATTGAGGCTGCACTATGTATCTAACCTAGTGAGGAAAAATCAATTGTGGGAAACCTGGTGTGTAGCGAGTTCTGAGATTTAAGTATCCTCTTGAGACGCGTTTTCTTAAATATTGAGCCACGAAATACGGCAAGCTCTACGAACTATAAGACAGGGGCTTGAACAGTCAATCAGATTCATCAGAGGAAAGAGTCCAGCCATTCATCCGCCACATCCTATCCAGGTCCTTGCCAACCGCAATCTGCCCCGTTTCCTTGTCAATAAACCTCAGATTCTTCTTTGGACATGGCCAGGGGCAGTATCGCCAGGCATCTTGCCATGCCAGCAGACCGTCTTCACAGATGACATGAATTTCCTCCAGATTAGGATACAATTCGTATAGCTCATGGGATCGAAAGTGGAAAAAGGATTCATCATTTTCCCGCTCAAAGGTAAGCCGGCGAATCAGCAGTCGTTCAGCAAGATCAATTGAGTTAAACCAAGAATGCCCAATTGAGATCATGTCAATCTTAAAGTTGACCCAGACATACCGCGGCTCAACCCCTGCAGAAAAATTAAAGGCCTTCTGGTACAGCCCCTGATTTCGGGCCTCATGGCAGGCCTGAAGCACTGCAGGTACTGGTGTTGATGAGGTTACATGCAAAAGCTTGCCCCATGACCCATACTCTCTCTTTTCGCGCATCTCAACAGTGCGCGGCTCGACTGTTAACTCCCAAATTCGAGCACGAAGCTCAAAGGGGAGACGGGGGAAAAGGTGGAACGCGGCCATGCAGCGCTGTGCTGGCGACGGAATTTTTTTGGTGGGATGGGTCAGCTGATGGTGTGCCTCTTGGCGTTTTGCAGGTCGAAAAATGCAACGTTAAGAGGGAGCGACAGATAATTCCGAAAGGTTGCCCAGGGGCGTTGGTGAAGATGAGGAATGGATGTGGATAGAAAAGAAGTAGTGCTCTTTAGCACCCTTTTCTAGCGTGTACACCTCCGCCAGAGAGATGGCAAAATAGGTGTAGGATAGGCGGTGCCTGAGACAGATAACATGAAAGTAGGCACAGAGGAGATTATTCGGGCTATTTCAGAGTGTGTAACTCTGTGGGGACTTGCAGGGTGTCATGGGCGGGAAACTGCAAGTCTGCAATCCGTCGTGCAAAAAAGTAGGGAGGAGTCAGGCAGAATTTGCCCCCTGCACATGTCTGGGCTGTTGACAATGCGACATACTGAGACATAAGGGTCCAGTCTCTCAGCTGTATCCTCGGAATGTGTCCAACTGCATGTGCTAGTAGCAATCAAATGAAGGCTTCAAGTCCTACTACTGTTATTCTTAGTGGGTGGGTCCCTCCAGCCCGTTGAGCAAAGAGAACGGAATGCTCCGACGAACCCCACTAGTGTAAGGTAACAAAAAACCATTGGATCAGGCAAAGTCGACCATCAGCGGAAAAGCTTTCTGATGGGTTGGCGCCTTTTTATTGCTTTGTTATTAATTCAAAAATAGGTTTGAACTTTTCTCTCTCGTCCTCCCCTCCCGAAGGACAGTGTCTCGCCTTGTGATCTTGCAACTAACCCTCTTCTCGCCCAGAAACTTGACCTACCAATCCTAGGGGCCACGATAGTAGATAAGTATCCACATGGGTAGGCTGAAGCCAAGCAAATCTTTCGCTTATACAAGCTAGTATGCTTTGTTCAGGGGGAAATCTTTGTGAGTTTATCATAAAGGCCTAGCCCCGGAGAATAGTTATAGTTGAGATAGTGTGCTGACGAGTGGAGACTATTGTTTCTAACACCAAGTGCCAAGCCTCGGTGCCAGGGACTACGGAAGATGACATGCCCCGACTAGCTGTCCTTTCCATCTTAGACTAGCGTTGAACAGGCAGCAGGGCGGTGTTGCGCTCAAGACTAATGCTTAAGGTAGGCTTGAAAACTCACGTTGTTAGTTTTATCTTTTGTACCTTGTACAGACGCTAGGCTTCAGCCCCAACCAGTACGGACAAGCCCCGCTGATCCACGTTTGTTGTCTGGGCTTCTCTTCCCTAGTCTGGAGTAGTCTCCGATCGATGTAACAGTCTGCAAGGTACCCCTCTTGGCGATTACTTTTTTTTCTAGCCAGCTATCATTGGGATCCCAGTCTGTTATGCGCTATTAATTAAATTTACTCAAATGAATAGGATATTAGCCTCCAAGCCAAGCCACTATTAACAGGAGAAAAGAAATTTCTTAATACCTCAAGTCGGTGGCAAACTTTTGTACGTCTTCGCAGTAGCATTATACGTACCTGTGCTATCCGAGTCCATACAGGGCCTAATACCATGCCTATGATTAGGACGGAGCATCATCCCTATACAGTTTGAAGTGAGAAGTGAATGGCGACTTTTCATATTACTAGCGACTTACTAGGAAATGTGGATTCTTTTTTAAAATTATTATTATTTCATGCTGGTTTGCTCCGAGGAATGAGGGCCCGTTAACCTCTTTCCAGTTAATGAAAGCCTCTATCCGAGTCAGGGATGAATAGCTCTCAATCAATCAGGCACGCCTTGCGAGAGCTCACTAGTCGGTCATGGGGAATTTTGATGCGTGTGAGGAGATATCCCTTAAGAAGATAGTTATGCCAGGAGAACTCCGCATAAGAGATTGGCATCTCTGTCACGAAAGTAAGTGGATGCCATATAAGGCATTCATATGGTTTCAGGGTCGATAAAATCAGATACCTACATGGGGAGGAGGAAGACAAGCCAAGGATCGCTTAGCTTAGACCCTCAATAGTGTTGATCATAACACTAATAATCAAATTGCACAATCCTAACTCTGAGAAACACAGGATAAAGGACTTTTGAGAAACAGACCTGTAGTTCTACTAGCACATGACCTCGCAGGATCATATTATTCTCGTTTGCTGGATGTTGATAAAAGTAGACTGTGATAATAAATGGATGGAGCTAAGCCACAGGGGATGGCCTTGCATTCCAATAGAAAGCTTCATTCATGTGATCAAGTAGTAGATCACTGTTTTGTATATGCCAGCTTTCATCATGCTGAGATATTAAAAGAAGGCTTGTTCAGATGCATGGCTATGGAATGATCAGCTGTGATGGCTAGGTGTTGGTGATTGAAGCCTGCAAAAAGACTTGGCTTAGGGATCATGGAATTCGTAACGTCCCTGCAGTTTCCGAATCAAATTATCTGCATGCTTCTTGCCTTCGGGCCGGTATAGAAATAGTATGCCATGAATACCATGACCACTAGCTTATCGTTCGTGTAACGGCATGAGTCCGAATCGATCTTCCGCAAGCCGAATCCGTCAAGGGCTTTCGAAATCTCCTCCTGCCAGGGGCGGGCGACCTCCGTAGGCCGTAGAGAGCTCGTTTTAGCTGGTAAACGTAACCAAATTCAGAGAATCCATCTGCCATCCAGGTGTACACCTCCTCGTCTAGCTTGCTATTGACGAACGCGTTGACGGCATCAATTTGTCGGATATCTAGATCGAACGCTGCTGCAATAGCCATCAAAGTACGAAAGGTTCTTGCTGCCAGGGTAGTGGCTGCGGTATCGTCACGTGCCATCTCTTGCAGTTCACCTCGTACGCAGATTCGTGTCTTAGCCTAGATCAAATAGCCTTCTTGATCGAATTTGTATGTTAAAACCCATTTCAGCGGTATAATCTTCTTTCCTCTAGGCGCCATGACCCTCCTGAAAGTCTCTCGAGCCACTAATGTACTGTGTTGCAACTCAGCGGCAGCTTGGAAGAGATCTCTCAATGGATGCCGTTGCATCTCCTTCCAGTTGTTCGGCGGAGGAGATATTTCATGTTGATGAGCCCGAGTGTAGTGTCTCGAGTACAGACACTATCATAGTCGCAGCGTTCAAGCATGATATTTGCGACTCTTCAGACATTTCTGGGAGACATGGGAGCTGAATGCTACATATAGCAGCGCTACAGAGGACCAGTCAACTTGAGCCGCGATTATGCATGCAAAGGAACCTACTACGTAGTAGCTCGAGCAGAGAAGAGCTTGGCAGGAACTTATGACAGGAGGGCCTCCAGTGCATCTTTGAAGGACAAGACATGTACCATGCATGCAACTCCTGCGCTGTGTGGCGGATTTAACCCTCAAGCGTAGGACTTGAAGAATTTACTCGCGATGGTATTTTGTCCAGAATACGCCATAGATTCACGTATTCTATGAAAAAGAGAGCATTTTCATCTGCGTCGACAGGGAACCTATCAGAGCAGTCAATTCCTCCCTCGAAGTCCTGTAGAGTTAGCGGCTCAATGGTGCAGTCGTCTAAATCTACATGCGTTGGCCGGCCAAAAGCTGCTGCTACGGCACGATCACGTGTATAGAGCGCCCACACATATGCGCCTTAGCAGCCTTTGTGCTGACAGACATAAGATGAATTCTCTCACTGTCCAAAATATCAAAAATTTAGTAAGATGCAGACGCTAGGTAGGAAGCACGTTGAGAGTTTCTAACCTAAGGTGCAGCCCTTGGGCCTGGGCTAGAGCAATACTCAAACGGGTCCAGTAGAATAGACCATTCTCAGTGATATCTGGCAGAAGCTGTTAGCTAACCAAACAGACAGCCCAGTGTGCCCAAATACCTTCGGGCCCCTCCCAGTTTAGGCCTAGCAATAGCGTTGACTGCATGAGCGGGATTGGACCTTGTTCGTAGCCTGCATCGTACAAGGCTTTTGCCTTCTTGTAAAAACTCTGTGGAGACGACCCCCAGTGTCCTGACTTCCAGATGAACAAGGCCTTGAAGCGATAGTGAACATGGCATGTAGCAAGAGAAGTGAAGGAGGCGAGGTTGAATCCTGGTAGTGGCATAGGAAATCAAGGCGGTCTATGATGGGTGATGAAAAACGTCTCCACGAGGGTATCACCCATTGACCTATCCGGAAGGTCAAAGACGCCTCGTGCTCCAGGATATTCTGCTCCTGGGGGTCAAGATGACGAGCCAGATTCGATGGATCCATGACGCCTGGTAGTTGGGTTAATTCGTTATGATAAACGGGGACCAAACGTTCTACAGTGAGCAGCGATGATCACCACCTTTAGTACGATGGGCGCGGAAATCGTTGTGGGACACGGGCTGAGGCCCAAAAGCGTGAATATCGCACCAATCACTCCTCAGTTACAGGCTTGCAGCTTTGAGTGGCGAGCCTGACTGTAGGTTCATTCTTCTTGGTCGCTGCCAAATGGTACGGAGCATTAGTTTATGGATTGAATTTGCTTTTATTCCGCATACTAAGACGAACAACGTTTCATGAAATCCCCGTCAAGACCTTATCCTCGCCATGCAATACAGAAAGCTGGCGGCATCCGCATAGTTGGCAGACATTGGTAATCATAACTGCTCTAAGACCCCTACTCCTAGGCAGTTGGAAATCGTTTCCATGGGAGCGAGATGTCTCCAACATGATTTATAGCTAGCACGCCGTTGATTAACTCATCTTGCTTGAGTAGTTCTTCGTGGAGGGAGTCCAATTGGTTCCAGGATTCAGCGTATATCATACCCTTGAGGCGTTCCGACTCGATGTCTCCAGGAACGCCCGAGTCGCTCGTGTGTTCTTGAACATCGGTAGGCCGAGCCCCGTGTTTCTCTTCTCCCTTCTTGTCCTGTCCCAGAAGGCCGGAAGCTCTCAGAAGTCGTTCCGGAGGGATAGTGAACCTCCCTTTCTTGAAGACATATTTGGAAATCGATGTAGCAAAAATAACCGGTTGGCTAGAGCGGCATGTGGATTCTCCGATCGACCTCTTCGAGTCAAGGCGCGTGGATTTCGCGGTTAGATAGCCTGCCGGTTTCGTTGAGCCTTTCTGGACGAAATGGGTCACAATATAGAGCCATTTCCGATCCCACGTAAGAATCCTGGACCACACCTCGTACTCCTGGAAGATCCGGATCTCTTTCTTGAAGCTAGTGGTGACTGACCCGATAATAGCAGCCAAAAGGCCCTTCTTTCCCTCGGCGGCTAGTTCGCGGTCAACTGTTACCAACCCGTCATAGCAGAGGGCGGAGAGAAGATAGGATCGGCTTGCATCTAAGTCAGTGAAGTATGTACTGTTTGACTTGTGCAGGTTGTAATCGCATTCAAATAAGGGAGCGTAGGTGCTGGTGATAGAAGGCAGGAACACCGTCGGCGTCTTGGAGTCAGGGATCACCGCTGATCGAGGGCCAGAGCGAAATCTTCGCCACGCGGCTCTCAACAGGGGATTAAAGATGCGATACTAGCCCGCAGTCAATAGCTGTGATTCTCAATGTCCTAGGAAAGGTGACCTACATGCCACACGAAAGGGAGGCATTTCACATTCATCGCCAGCAAAACGATAGTCGCGACTTTCCATAAATTGATTGACGCTAAAATTTCGGGGAGGGAGATATCAAACAAGCCCATCATGATTTGGTGCGTCTCGCCGTGCATCGTGTGAGAGATAGGACGACAGATGTTGATTTTTCAGAAAGTTGGCTTCCACTTGAGTACAGAAAATATGGCATGAGAAAGGACCAAAGCCAATAGATTATATGGTTTGCCGAAGACCGTAAGGCTCTCAGCGCGTTACATGCTCCATACCAAGCTACCGGTCTGCCACTATCTGCGTTCTTGGTTCAAGCAACAACTTTTGCACCGGCTTACGCTCATCGAGCCGAGCCGAGCTCGGCTTAGAATTAGTGGTAATTGACCCCCCTAGCCAATGTGGCTAAAACATTGTCTATTATTCCACCAAAATATCTACAGATTTATGAAAACAGCAGCTTGCATTTATAGTATGCCTTATACAACTCTCCAGTGGTGCTTAAATGGAGACCTTCCGGTTCGCCAGAGCTTAGGCAGTGAGTTCGTGGGTATACTGGGAATATCGAAACAATGGGCAACTCATCAGGATGACAGCTTGCAAGTAAAATCCGGCTTTTATTTATCCATTTTACGTTAGATTTATTGCTTTCAACCACGTTTTTCAAACATGCCCGGTCATACCTTGAATTTTTGCGCTTTTCGAACAAACTGCCGTGGTTGGCCACGAAATACTTTATACTAATGACATGGAGTGACTTAAATGCGAACGTGGACAAAATCTGAGGGCAGCCTGCAATCAAACCCGAACACCAGGCCCTTCAAGAAAAGGCTGCAAGATTATCCACTTAGACACTGGATGTTTCGGTTAACATAATTCCCGGGTCAGCCGTCCACCCCCCATCCGATTTCAACGCGTTTACACTTTTGAAGCTATCCAAATCAACCAAAATAGAATATTATTTCATTAAATCTAGCGAGTATTGCGTGTAGGGCATCTAAATCTTGTATGCTCTATAATAAAGCAATTTGAATACCTTGGTGGCGCGTGTTTTGATGGTTCTAAAGGTAAAGGTGCAGAATGAACAGATAACCCCCTGCCTGGCATGAATGACAGGCAGTAGTCTGTTGCCAGCAGTCTTGAGATGTGCGAGGCTTGCTGCTGAGAGATTGAACGAGTAGACAGACAACTTCGTACCGACCAAACTTGCATCACCTTAATCCCACTGGAGGGGAAGGTAGAGGATGACGGTATATCCTGAACCATATTGTTATATCCTTGTCAATGAATGTGAGGAATGAATAGAAAGCCCTGAGACAATCAAATTGAGACAGCACGATGCAGATGTCAACAGGGGAGGGGTTGGGGGTTTGGGGTTTATACAAGGAGAAGAACTGGTCCTTGCACGGAGAATTTTGTGTTCAGCTACCATCCAGGTTCTTTTCAGCTGTGTTACCGCTCTTTGGCATACATAATGTATGGATTACGGATACAGGTGACAAGGGATATTTTCCAATGGAGTAGTTTGTGAATCCCCAGCCGTACACGGTCAGATTGGCACCGATGCTGGTGGAGAAATCGTTGATAACAGCAAATGTGACGTCGTAGGCTGGCTCACTCAGAGTCAGAATCGCCAGGTCAGAGTCCCGGGTGTCGATGTCATAGTCAGGATGCTGGGTGATGGCGGTCAGGCTTCGCATTCCATCGCTGGTGGTGCGGTTATTGCTGCCAACATGGGCCAGCAGAGTTTCTGGAGATTGATTTTGGATGCACGAGTCTGCCGTGACGACCGAATAGGGGCTGATCAGCACGCCACCGCATCTCTGGAAGTTGCCGTCGGACCTATACAGAGCGACAGCAAATGGCGCGGCATCCGCAGGAGCCTCGGGGGCCCCATTTAGGGCATGAGTAGGGCGTGCAATGGAGAGAACGAGGCAGAGAATAAAGGAATAGACGGAGAAGGACTGTGGCATTTTGCAAGAAGATACAGGGTGCGAGAGCAACTTGTCGGTGTGTCTCTATAAGGTATTATTTCCCTAGAGTTCGCGGGACAACACAGCATCCAAAGTTCTATTTCTCATCTATTTCGCCAGTATTCTCATAGCCAAATAGAAGTAGTATGTAGGGCAAATCGCCTTTGCTTTCTCTGCATTTGCGTGCCAACCTGTTGGTCCTTCAACGAGGATATGTAGTGCTGATCAATTGCGGATGGATCTGGTGATGGTTGGGGAGGGCTCCAGCGTTCTCGTAACACTGCAAAGTCCCGATCCTGGCATCGTAAGAATCATCAACACGGTTCCACCCAAACTTCCGCGCCTTGTGCACAGTGCACATGAAGGTGGTGGTAGCATTAAGAGAGGGATTAAGGAACCAGTTCATTGATTCAACTGCGTCGACTTGAAAAGCAAAAGCTCCCAGATTTCCGCCGTACTTGGCAACATTACGTTCCCATACTGGTGCTTTATCTCGGGCCAAATTCTTCATCTCCATCTGGGACTCGGCTTCATCGGGCAGGGTGGAATGTCTGGGCACTTGAACATTGAAGTACCCTCCAAGTCGGGTCCAGAGGAACTTGAAGACGATGGCATCGCCATCAACGTGGAGACTGGCGGCAGGCTCACCAGAATCCAACCAGCAGCCATCATATCAGCTTTATCCAGTCTGGCGGGCTGCTCTTATGAACAGTACTCAGGTCAGCATCATCCTCAGTCTGATCAGTAATGGATTGCTTGCGGACCACTTTGACCACCACCACACCCTGACTACAGCGGTATCTATGCTGAGTACTGTTGTCTTTCCGGCAGTCTTCACGGCTGAATTGGGCTCTACTACTGAACATATCTGTCACCGGACATGTCTAGTGTAGTCAAATTAGAGAAGAATCCCAAGTCTGGTTTTACATGTCATGAAAATGGCCTAAGCCTTCAAGTTTGTAATCTTGTCAAATAGGCATACCCGATAGTGAACGAGTTGGACAGTTGTCACTTGTAGACATTAACCGTTAGCAATGAATGCACGGCTTTTTAGGCCCAGTAAAGACCTTATTAGTACAGGAAACGGTAGATCTAGTGTGTTCTGCTACCTGCCAACTGATCTTCAGCTGCAAATCTCTGTATTATGTCCATCTCCTCATTGACGCCCCGGAAACTGAAGTCTCGAAAGTTAAGATTGCGCTAGTTTCAACTTTAAGAAGCTTAAACTAGCATCGAACATTCCTCCATGCATGGCAGAGAACGGGCTCTGGCAAACCCTCTCTGAAATTCCTCAATGACGCTAGAGTAAGTATTCGGGGCACGTCTAAGCAAATAGTTCAGATAATTGAGTAGATTTAGGTTGCTGAAGGAGGCCACTGTTAGCTTCAAGACTTAAAAATGAGAGCTTATATCAATGCCTTTGTATAACATTCCACTACGCCCCATCCATACTGAGGTAAGAAAAGCTCAAGCGCAACAAGTCCAATTTTATTCGAGCCCGCCATCCTTCTCCTGTAAGAGTAAGACGTAGAATTCCTGAAGAATGTTGTGGAGAATAGAGATGTATTGACACTTAAGCCCAGCTTTCTTTAGTCGCCTCTATCGAGAGTCATATAAATTTTTTGCAAGAGAATGGTTAAAAAGGCCTGTCGCTATCAGCGACGCTATCACGGGCGCTCTGATGTACTATGTATGTAAATTTACTTGCCTGTTCGAGAACGGCGACCGCTCATTACAAGTGATTGCCAAGAGGAAGCCTAAAGGGAAGAGGATCAAAGCAACAGGCAGCTATAAAAGCCAACGTTTCCCATAACTAGGGAATAGTTGGGAGGGATGGCTACATTAATCGAATTTGAAATTGCTGCCAGCAAAGTTGGCATGCAGACATACGAGTGGAACCGACTAATGTACTAACTGATTCGTCCCGGATACAGCTCTGTGTATGCTATCACGCCTCTAGATCCCCTAAAGTACCTTAGAACACCCTCATCGCCAAGGTGGATATATCCTCACCAGGAGATTCCCGCGAAAGGTTCAAGACGGTTCCCATACGTCGCCTGTTTCCAGAACCATTGATCCTGATCATATCATGCATTCTCTGGGACGGCGGTTTTCCCGTATTAAGTCACCTCGCATAAGCTTGATCTATCTCCTTCTGGAAGCGAGTATATATTGTCTTTCTCACAAGCTTCTGGGCCGCGGACAAGAACCCCTGGCCTAAGTGTTACTAGATGCCGGATACTGAGAGCAATGTGCAATGTAACTTACATTCTCTGGGGTCCACTCATCATTGCAGATGACAACGCCGCACACGATTTCAAAACTCTTCAGGCCACTAGCCCAACCGAATTCCTGTAGCTGTTGCATCACTAATGAGCATGGGTTGTTTGTGGGTTGTTGCAGGGCAAGCTTCTGCAACACAGGCCGATTGGGTACAACGATAGCGATCGGTTGTCGTTGATTTGGGGCCGCATAGATGCACACGTTCTGCACCACGGCCGCGGATCGATAGATGGACTCGAGTTTCTCCAAGGCAATGTATTCACCGTTGAGAGATTTCACTAGATTCTTCTTGCGGTCAATAATTCTCAGGTGCCCGTTCCGGTCCCACTCTCCAATATCGCCAGTTCGGAACCACTGATCTGTTGTGAAAGCTTCCTTGGTCTCCAGCTCATTTTTGTAATACCCAGTTGCCACACTTGGGCCGCGAATCAGGATCTCTCCTTGAGGAGGATCATGTTTCGTTGAGTAGCCACTTTCAGGGACGTCCACTAGCTTGATTTCGACAGAAGCCGGAAGCTCGCCAACCGCATCGGGGTCCCATGCTAGTGGATCATTGATTGCACCCATACCACATGTCTCTGTCAGTCCGTACCCATTTATCAAAGGAGCAATCGCCAAGGAGAGAAATATCTGAGTGTCCTTGGAGATTGGCCCGCCGCCATTCATCATGATTCTCAGTCGCCCACCAGCGGCCTCTTTCACCGTCTTGAAGACCAGGGAGTCAAGGAGACTAATGCCAGTAAAAGAATGGCCAAGGAGCCAGGATTTCATGCGGAGAGATCCCCAGAAGAGGCAATTGCTGAGCCAACCTTTGGCGGCGACGACCCCAGTAATCCCCTTCTTGATTGATTCCCACACGGCAGGTACGCCCACGAGAATCGTGGGTCGGAACTCGCAAATATCTCCCTTGCAATTCCAGACCGAAGCGTTAGAGAGCGTTCTAGGGCTACCGTATCCCATAGTGCAACCCCAGTACAGGCACATATTCTCAAAGACAAACTCGATAATGTGTGCCTGAGGGAGATACGTCAATATTGCGTCCTTAGGACTAATGTGTTTCCCCACGACTGCGTCCATACCCGCGACTGCACAATGAAAACAAGCAAAGCTATGGTAAGCAGAACCCGAAGCATGGAGAGAATCACTAAAGCTTACCTGCTGCAACTATCATACCGTGTGTTAAGCATACGCCCTTCGGCGGACCCATTGACCCCGACGTGTACATTATACAACATAGGTCATCTTTTCCCGGTGGTGTAGGCTCAGTGAAGCACTCAGCTCCTGACCTGCGGAGCTCGTCAAAGCCGATGACCATAATATGCGGAAAATCAGACTGTATCTTCTTCAAGGTTTCGCTGTCTAGCTTTGTCGCAGTGTCATTATATATGATGTGGCGCAAAGATCGGGCATGGCTCAAGACTCTTATCAAGGATGGCATGAGCTGAGAGTCTATAAAGATTGCTGTGCTCTCAGTTTCGTTGATTGAATGCTGTAGTCCTTGTTCACCTAAGGAGTCATACGCAGTCACAACCACAATTGATTGCGATGCGGCTCCTTTGTTTCTTTGTTTAGTGAATATTCTATTGTATGTTGATTTGGCAGTATCTCACCGTGTGACGTTGCTAACCAATGCAGACTGCGCCATAAGTAGGAGATCTTGAATCTGCTCACCTGAACTGTAAGCACGGAAGCGATAGACTTACCTAGTTGCGCCATAGAGATGGATTTTGCTGTCCTTTCTGAGACCGAGCCTCCTTAATCCACAACCCAGATCAAGGGCAAGCCTTTCGTACTCCAAGAACGACAAGTATATATAGCCGCTGAGCTCATAGCGCGTCCAAATTTTCGGCGTGGATTTCTCAACACCGTCAACCAACCTTTTGACCACAGATCTCTCCTCATAACTCCCTATAATTCGGCGAGTACCTGCAGCTTTTGCATGTGAAAATTTTCGCGCAGCCCGGCGGAAGATGTCATACGTTGTTTTCACATCATCTGTCGGGGCGGAAAGTAACCCATTTGCTGCTGTAGGGGAGCGACGAGGACGTCCGTCAAACGCATCATCAACGGCATCTGGAACCTCGACGGTAAACGGTGGCCTCTTGGTCATGCGAGGGTAGAAAGCGGAAGTTAGGTCAGGCATTACGTAGCCTATGGTCGCTGCACGGTTTTATGCCCGCAGGTAGCAACTAGAATACAATATAGCGGTGGGCACGGACTCAAAGTAGAAACAATTCAAAATGTCCAAGAGAAACGATAAGCACGCAGCTAGAAAAACTTTCGTAGACTACAATAGCCACATCATTGTTGCTTTATAATGCTGGTGCATATACCCCTATTGCGGACGTGCTAGGGAGAAAGAAGCTCTTGCCGAGCCGAATCCGGCTCGGACAAGGCGCAGGGCCCTCGGCTTCGGGTATCTTAGGCACGCAGTTAGGAAAGTTCAACGAGAAAAAAAGTTAATGAAGTGCCTTATTAGAGTGTTGGGACGTACCTCCAGCCGCTACACGTTGTCTCTATATAAAGTTTCCAATCCTATCGAGAGAGAAAGCCCGATAAGGGGTATCCGATTCCCTGAAACGACTCATGGGCGAAAGACGTTCTAGAGCAGGCCGTCTCATCCCCGATTGCAAAATCGCCCCAGAATTTTATCGCCTAGTGCTGGATGCTCCATGGGCCGTGGCTAATTGTGGCTGCGGAAATGCTTAGGTAGCGTTCTTCAGCTTCTGCAGCTACACCCCACCCAATAGTGAGTCTTAGTGACCTTGACCATGCAAAAGATGTGCACTGAAGCTAGCATGTTTCAGTTACAAGCAGTGTAAGAATTGCATCGCTATTCCTGGTACACACCTGAGCACCAGCTTCACTCACCTCCATCACCTTCCTTGCTCACCTCCTTTGCTCACCCTCCCCCAGACTCGTGAAGAGAATATCAAATAATTAACTAAATCAGCTAAAGCCTTTGCTTGGTATTTTTATATTCTCAGAATCCTTTGTCTTCCTCAATGTCCTATTCTCTGACACGACGAGGCGCGAGTGCAGTTTGGCCCGCGGCCCTAGTCATGCTGACGTGTAGAGCTGGAATGGCCGATCATAAACACTAATTAATTGGCTACATCATCATACTCTATCCTTTTCATCACTCCTTTAATCTAGTCTAGAATTCGGTAGTCGAACATCCCTCGCTGCACAAGTACCTTGGTGCTTCCTCGACTCAGAAGGGAAATTGATTGCAAAATCAAAACGCAGAACACCGGAGCCGAACAATCCCAGAATTCCAATTCTCCGGCTGTAGTCCTTGATCCGTAGACAATAATATGCCCCTATGAGGTTTGTGGCGAGAAGCGTCCGGTCATTTAATTATGATAACACCAAATCTATGGAGAGTGATGTGAAACAAGTCCCACTATTGAGTGAGGCTCGAGAGATGCTCTCTGCCACGCGGCGATATCAGCCAGTGTTATATCATATTTTCCGCCGTCATAGCTGGAGCTTAGATATCCGCAAAGGCGCTGGAATCGGTCAGGCCGTGGTCACGATATTCAAGCGTTGGTGCGATGCAAATACTGGGACAATACGTACTTGGACGCTGAACGGCTTCTGCTCCTGCATGGACATGGATGCCCCCCGGAGTCGACATACTCCTTTGTGGTGACTTCGCTGCGTGAGGCAGCACGGAGATTACTCGAGTTCGGTAGCGGCCTGGCTGTGCAATGCTCAGAGGGCTGAACTTGGCAAGGGACGCCTGACGTGGTCGACTGCTGCATATATTATGCATAAATAATCCGCTGCAAGGATATATGCTCAGTGCTCTTTCGGCCACCTCATTTAAGGAGCTCCAAAAGTTCCGAGCTCAACTGTTCCAGCCCACAGAGGGGAAACTTGGAACGTAATCACTCTCATAACGAGGTCCCTTTCTGGCATTATTCTCTGGGTCTGCTTCCGCCTCAGAGCTGACCCCATCAGGAGTTCCAGATCGACGACGTTTTTGTACTCCCGGAGCTGTTAAGGAAAGCATCCCAGTCAATCCATTATTGTTGTTGCAATTAACATCTGCACCTTTAGCAATAAGCAGCTTTGTTATCACCTCTTGGCCATACAATAAGGCGTGTGATAATGCAGTCTATCCATGATTATCACAGACATTAACATTAGCTTCTATGTTAGTAAGTAGCTTTGCTACTTCCTCATAGCCATATATTGAGGCTTGTAAGAGGGGAGTCAATCCCTGGTTATGAGGGACATTAACGTCTGCCCCTCTGTCAATAAGCAGCTTCGCCATGACCTCATGGCCGCGCAGTGACGTGTGCAGTGGAGCCCGTCCACTATTGTCACTGGCATTAACATCTGCTCCCTTGTCAATAAGCAGGTTTGCTACCTCCTCATGGCCCTCCTCTACGGCGTGTAAGAGTGGGGTCATTCCATCACTGCCAGCATTGACATCTGCTCCCTTGCTGATAAGCAGCTCTGCCACCGCCTCATGCCCGTTCTCAGAGGCCCGTGAAAGTGGTGTTCTGCCCTTCGCATCCATGTCATCAACAGACGTCTCCGTCTAGAGAAGCAGCTTGATGATTTTTATTCGACCCTCCTGCGCAGCCCAGGATAGTGGTGTTCGTTTTGTGTATTGTTTCAAGTCTTTCCTGTAGTTCAGACCATCTGTATCAACTTCGCTGCACGCACTTGACAGTGATTTCAGAACAGCAGCAACAACGTCTTTGTTACCGTTGGCAAAGCGGCAAACAACGGGTATCCGTATCTCTCTTCGGAAACATGAATATGCGGATCCTTTTTGAGTCTCGTGCGGATGAGCTCCGGGAATCCTTTGTCTGCGAGAACGTAGAAGAAACTCGGGTCTGAGCTGTATCCACGAGTTTTGAACTTTTCGAAAAGATTGTTGACATAAATCCAGTGGGGTACAGGAAAAGAAGATAAGAACTCGTCTTGAGGAACTGCTCCGGCCGCAGCGTTGACGTCATAGAGAACATGCTGACTGGCATACTCCAAAAATAGGTACTCATTTAAAATGCCTGATTGCAGCTCATGTCTGTGTGACAGCATCTTACTCACAGACGCACGCACTGAGGTATGATTCAAGTATGAGTCACAACATTTTTTGAGTGTCTCATGGCTTAAGCTCTCCTAATCAAATCCAAGGTCAGGCCACAATTCATGTAGACCCCTTTCTTTGACGAGGGAGTCTCAGACAGATTCATGGATGAATTAAACTATTGGCTGCTTAGATCTTCTGACCTCAGCAAGTCCTTTTGAGTTGCTCATAACACATCTGTTAACTCTGTTAAGGCTGTCCGAGGCACCTGGGACGCCGACATCAGGGATTTGCTCATCAGCCTGATCTTCTAGTGCCAATCCAGACCAGAGAGCATGGTAGAACTCCTGCGATTGCAATGGCTGTTTTGCAAGGAGAATCCAAAGGATGCAAAGACAGAGACCCACCATATTCTCCTTATCGCGTCTCAGGATGTCCTTGAACAGCTTGCTCAAACCACTAGGTATTTCCGCGAGCCTCTTTCTCAAAGCCAGTCCATTATGCCGATATTCCTTGTTCAGGATACTAACGACTAGCACAACCTACATGAAAACACCCGCAGCTTTCCTGAGAAGTCAAGTTTGCAGGTCTTGGAGAAGTACAGGGTCTTTAATTTGGAGACAGCTACCGACGTAAGTTGCCAGGTCTTCGCCATGACCTGACTGGTCCTCCAGTGTAAGTCGGACTCCCCGTTGAATAGCTATGTAGGGATAATGTCGACTGGAGAAACAGATCTAGAGTAGGACACCTTTATTTGTGCATTATTCTCCCAGCTCTTCAAAGTATTAAACCATGTCCACAACTTGTTGTTCATCACACTCATCAAGAGCATTGACGAAGCACGTAAAGGAGTGTTGACTAAGGGCGGAAATTACTCTGCGAAAGAGGTCCTTAAGAACGTCTAAGGAAGGACATCCATTCTAACTCTGAGAATTAATGTCAGGATAATCTAAAACCGCCTGGAGATCAGGGTACCCTTCAAGCAGCTGGAGCAGTAATGCTTGGTATATCCCTAAGATTAACTTTTCCAGGCGTTCACCTCAAGCATTAAAAAAAAAAGGAAGCAGTGATAGCATGCTTGTTATGGGATTTGCTCTTCATACTCGAGTATGTGAACTTCATGATCATTAACTCATCTGCGCCAGGCTTGCCACTAATCCATAAAAAGCCATGATATTGTGTTAGATTTTCAGGATTAAGCCATGCTTGGTAGTCAGGGTGGCTGAGAAACCATCAGCATGTTTTAGCAAGGGTGGTTCTGACATCTGATTTCCAAGAATCCATGTGCTGGAACCTAAGGGAATCCAGCAAGCGCAGCCGGTGCTCGTGCAATGAACATTCATCTGCACATCAGATGTGAGCAGCCATGACTCTTCCCCGAACTACTAGGTTAACTTACAAGGATTTGGCATACAGGTAAATTTTGCGTGCCCTTTGGCCACGGGTAGGTCCTCAAGTAATTCCCTGGCGTATGCAGCCGCGGTTGCTGTAGCATACTCTGCCATTCATTGCTCTTATGAGAATCTGAGTAATCACATATTCCCCAAATTAGGAGATAAGGGAGAATTTCCATCAGACCAGCAGCCTCCATTTTAAAACATATAACATCCAATTCTCAAGCAATGTTATCCTAGGTAGTGCTGCTTCTCATAACTTAGTTCCCTGAGGCGATCGCGCCGTAATGGATCATTATATTATCTAATATCCGTCTGCTTCGTGGAACCAGCTTTAACTAGTCGCATTCATCGCAGCTAGCTGTTGTACATTCATGCTCATACATCGCGTGGAACAGTCAGTCCGGGGAGCTTGGGCAACCATATTCAGGGTGTCCTTCAAGCTTCAGCCGTAGGATGGATGGGACTTGACTAGGGTCCAGCTCATGTCTTGAACAGAGGGCAGACCCAGCTGTCCCAAGCAAGTGGTGAGGAATCCTAGGGATTGCTGTGCGTCGGAGCTCTCCATTTCTAATAACTTTCCCAAGATCATATTGCATCACCCTTGTTCCAATGACAACATCACCTAAGCGCATATCAGCCTTGCTCGGCATGCCACCACCAATCCCAACCAGCAAGCCCACGCGGATAGCGGAGAAGGTTTGCTTCATATTCATCATGATGTTCGCCGCGTTGTTCATTCCATATTAGGCTGCTGGCAAGCACGCAATGACGACATTATGCTGCTTAATGCTTCCCAGTACATAGGCGTTGCTGTCCTCTACATGCCTAGGTAGAGCTTCATGGACCTCATCCAGCATGGCCCGAGCTGCTGCTATCTCTATGTACAGCGCACAGATCCCGGCGATGGTATACTGATCGTGCCGTTGGGTGGACGACCTGTCGTAGTGGACAGTGTTTTATCGCTTTGGAGGTTGACACAATGTTGTTTCAGTATCATCTTCATTCCGAACACTTCTCCCATCCATCTCCGCGAGATGTTTAGCGGGCTATGATTGACAGGCACGATTTTACTCGCAGGGTAAACACGGTATGAGTAGATATTGCTGGATGCTAGAAACGTGTCTGCCACAAGGCGATTATCGCAAGGATTCCCAGGGGAGCCTTATTTGCACTTTGGTAGGAAGAAGAGTTGAGATGTCCAATGCGCATCAGGCTGACCATGCATGCACAGCCACCACAGTTGAGTGCACAGCCTCTAAACTGCTAAAGAAGACTGGCATCTCAGAGTATGTATAGCCTCCCACTGTATCTCAAGGGTACGTAACCCTACCGTATGTTTCCTCAGGGAGCTGTCTTTGAGGGAGCTTAACTATATATACTTTAGGTCCCCGTTTTCAGATTCTCCTGCAGTATCCGCAGTGGTCTATTTCTCGCACTTCATTAAATAGATATTGTCCAGCCAACGCGACCGCAGATTTTCACCCATTACTTTTGCTACATCTTGTATTAGAAAGATTCTAGAAGCCTTCAGCGATTTGAAAGCAGAGGATCCTCCTCCGGAAAAAAACTGCGAATTTGAGATGCTGCGACAGCATTCAGCCGTATAGCCGGGCGTAGGTACATTGCAGCATAACGACATGAGTTGTTGCTCGATGAAAACCCACTTAAGTGTCAGAAGTGGTAGAAGATGATCCAACAAATGCCAATGTGACAATGACGAGAAATCAAAAATGGGTAACCGTAACCTCAGAGGTGTGGTATGTTTTCTCTATGGTGTCGTCTTGAGCATTGAGTTCTTATTAGTTACTTGTTGTCGCTTAGGAAACAGGTGCGATGCGAATAATATCACGGCAGGTGATTTGCTAACCACAACATTTGTATAATCAGCGATAAATCTCCGGCCCCTGTACTAGTAGCAAAACCTCGACCAAATAGACAAATCATATAGAAAGAAAATAGGTTCCTCCCAGTTCCCCACAGAACGTAGTTAAATAAACTTCAGCTTCTCCGCCTGTTGGCAGTGCGCAGTATCGAATCTCATTCTGTGTGGCTGGCATGCAGTTGTCCCCCTGACCACTAAAAAGTCTCTTCTAGCCACCGTCATTAATATGTTGGAGTAAAGTGAATCCTCTGTGGGGTTACAATCCTAGCCTTCTTTTAGTGTTATATCCAAACAAGGCGATCATCCCCTTTTATTGAATAATTCGCCGAAATCAACATTTGCACCTAGTGATGGCGCTAGGATTCTGAACCACCCCAATAAAATAAATAAAAGGGAATGTACCTGCACAGCTCTTTTAACTCGCGAGAAATTTACTGTGCTACCTATCTAGCGCATCAAACACCATGCGTTTCTCTCGCATTGCTGTAGCCATAGCCAGTGTCCTTGGTCACGTAGCTACTGCTTCGCCTGCCAATGAACTTGCAGAACGTTCCCCTGCATCTGCGAATTCCTACCTGGTCAAGGAGGGACTGTTCGCCTATGAGAGCATTCTGAAAGCTCTTGGAAACACTGGCAGTAACGCTCCTGGCACAGCGGCCGGATTACTCATTGCAAGCCCTACTACAGAGAACCCTGATTGTAGGTGGAAACCCGCATTAGGAGGATCAAGCTGACTCGATCTACTCCGTTCTCTAGATTTCTTCACGTGGACTCGTGACGCGGCATTGACCTTCAAGGGACTTGTCGATATCTTTATTGCGGGCAACAAATTCCTCGGTGTCAATTTTGACGCCCTTGAAACCCACATCCAGGACTACATCTCTTCCCAGGCTGTTTTGCAGAATGTGTCCAACCCATCTGGCAGACTTTCCGACGGATCTGGACTCGGCGAACCTAAATTCGAGGTCGATTTCAACCCGTACTCTGGCGGATGGGGCCGTCCCCAGCGCGATGGTCCTGCTCTTCGTGCCATTGCCATGTTGACGTACATGCGCCATCTAATCCAGCAAGGAAAACAATCCGTGGCTTCCAACCTGATCTGGCCCGTTGTCACCAACGATCTCACCTATGTCGCTCAGTACTGGAATCACACCGGCTTCGATCTCTGGGAAGAAGTCGACGGCTCTTCCTTCTTTACGACTGCCGTTCAGCACCGAGCTATGGTTGAAGGCAGTGCGGTAGCTCTGGCTCTTGGCAAGCCCCATGCTGCCTACGACGCGGTCGCTCCAGAGATACTTTGCTTCCTGCAGAGTTACTGGAACGGGAGCGCTATAGTGTCGAACATTAACGTCAATAATGGCTGCTCGGGAATCGATCTCAACTCGGTCCTGACCAGCATTCATACCTTTGACCCTGCGGCTGGTTGCGATGATTCGACCTTCCAACCCTGTTCGTCTAAAGCTTTAGCAAATCATAAGGTCTATGTCGATTCTTTCCGCTCTATCTACGGTATCAACGCTGGTCTTGGCCCTGGAAAGGCTGCAAATGTAGGCCGTTACCCTGAGGATGTTTATCAGGGAGGAAACCCATGGTAAGCCAAACCCAGTCGTGTCAATTATGCCATGTCTTCTGATAGATAAAGGTACCTTGCAACCCTGGCAGCCGCTGAGCAGTTGTACGATGCCCTCCACCAGTGGGAAAAGCAGGGTTATCTCACCGTCACGCAAACCTCTCTCGCCTTCTTCCGTGACTTCTCATCCACCGTCGCGCCAGGAACTTACAAGTCCAATACCCCGACCTACAAATCCCTGACTGAGTACATTCGCACCTACGCTGATAACTTTTTCTTCCTTGTCGAGCAATACACTCCAAGCAACGGCTCCTTGGCCGAGCAGTATGACCGCAACACCGGCGTCCCTCTGTCGGCCAACGATCTCACCTGGTCCTATGCAGCCTTCCTCTCTACCGTTCAGCGCCGCCTCAACGTCATGCCTGGCTCCTGGGGCTCCTCGTCTGCGAATACTGTTCCCACCACCTGCAGCACAACTGCCATGACAGGCACCTACAGCGCTGTGGCGCCTCCCTTCCCTACATCCACCGCTCATTGCGTTGCCGCTGTGACCGTTCCTGTTACCTTTTGGTTGATCGAGAACACCTACTATGGCGAGAATGTGTACATAGCCGGTAACGTCAGCGCTCTCGGCGACTGGAACGCGAGCGCGGGCTATAGTCTGAATGCCGGTCTTTACACCTCGAATGAGAATCTTTGGTTTGCCACTGTGGAGGGACTCCAGCCGGGTGTTACCATCGAGTACAAGTTCTACAAGATTGAGCCGGATAACTCTGTGACCTTTGAAGGGGGAATGAACAGGATGTATACGGTTCCTACGGGATGTCCTGTGGCGCCTCAGGTCCATGCTGTTTGGCAGTCTTAACGTACTACTACGAGCTTCAGAATCAGTATCAATTTCAATACTCTTGGTTATCTTATGAATAATATGTTTATCGAACAACACTTCTTCCAGAAATCCCATGATTAAATAGCAGCCTGAATGCCAACATACAATCACCATTTTGACCACTCAGTATCCAATATGACAAAATCTCGTATTGTGTCAATCCATAGATTCCGTCGGCTATCGCTGCCTTATCTGACTCGGTAAGCGCTACATCTGCATGTCTGGGGTTTCATGCATGGTACTATATTCCCCCAATCAATATCCCTGCAACATTACATCCAGCCCAGGTTTGTTTGCTTGTGGTTGCAACGCCAGCAGAAGCAAAGACTAGTATGGTATGCCACTCTGCTCAGCTGCTGTACCCCGCGGGTCTTTCTTTGGCGAGTTCAACAGGACTTTGTTTTTCAAGCTGGCGAAGTGTCTATAAAAAGGGCGAATGAGGCGCTGAACCTCTATCCGGCATCTAATTCCTCAAAAATTTGCCTCGGTCAACCTTGTGCTCAAATCTCGCAAGATGAAAGCAGTTATCTACACTGGCGACAACAAGATCGCAGTCGAAGACCGCCCGAAACCAATCATTCTAGAACCCACCGACGCGATCGTCAAGGTTGTTCATACCACTATATGCGGAACTGACCTACACATCCTCCAAGGGCACGTCCCGACATGCACTCCAGGCCGCATTCTTGGCCACGAAGGAGTCGGGGTAATTGACTCTCTCGGCGCCGCCGTCACGAACTTCAAGGCCGGGCAGACCGTGCTCATCTCCTGTATCACCTCCTGCGGGACCTGTCATTACTGCCGCAGGAAGATGCCATCTCAATGTGAATCCGGCGGGTGGATTCTCGGGAATAAGATTGACGGCACGCAGGCCGAGTACGTGCGCATCCCTCATGCGTCGTTCTCGCTGCATGCGCTGCCCGAGAGCATCGACCCAAAGGTCGCGGTTACGCTGTCGGATACGGTCCCGACCTCTTATGAATGTGGGATCCTGAACGGGGATATCCAGCCTGGGGCTACTGTCGCAATTATCGGAACTGGCCCGATCGGATTGATGATCCTGCAGATGGCGAAGAATCTGTTCGGTCCGGCGATGACGGTCGTCGTGGGTAGGGGCCAGCCCCGGCTCGAGACAGCCAAGGCCATGGGTGCGGATCATACGCTGAGTGTTCTCGGCGGGCAGGAAGAGGTAGTCTCCTCGGCTCTAGCGGTGACCAAGGAGCGAGGGTTCGATGTGGTGATTGAAGCAGTGGGGACGGTTGAATCGTTTGCGATTGCGCAGGCACTGGTAGGCGCTGGAGGGACGATCGCCAGTCTCGGCGTCTTTGGGGAGTCGTGCGAGCTTCACCTGGAGAAGTTGTGGCATCGTAATATCTGTATGCTCACGCGTCTAACCTGCGATGATTATTACTGAACTTTCTCGCTAGGCTTGAGGACTCGGCTGGTTGACGCTGTCAGTACCCCTGATGTACTGAATATGGTGGAGTCCGGCGGCATCGATCCTCATTTTCTGGTCTCGCACAGTGCGTCTGTCCTTTCCGTTACTTGTGTTCACACTAATGATTGCCTAGAATTCACATTCGATGAGATTCACGACGCCTACGAAGCGTTCGAGGCATCCTCCAAACATGGCGCCCTGAAGGTCGTAGTCACTATGCCTGAGCCTACTACGAATGGTTTTGCATAGTCTTATCTCTTGTCTCGTTTCATTACAGTCAAATAACCACATTTACTGTATATCCTTACTATCCCAAGCAATGATATTGCGCCCCAACTATTGTCTAAGATCAGTCATGATGATGCCCCCCGCACCCGGCATCCCCCACGCCTTCTCCCCGTTATGGATCCGATACCACCCATTCTCCAAGTTGAGCACACCCCTGCCACAAGCCGGGAACTTTGTCCAACCCGGCGTTCCCCAGGCCTTTAAGTCCGTCCCCGATCAAGCAACATCTCCCCACAATGCCCTGTATGTCCCAGTCCGGCGATATACCCATCAAGATGATCGAAGCTACCATCCAGAATTGCCTGGTGCGTCTTCTTCCACATAAACACGCAGTGCACGACATGATACTCGTAGCTTGTGAAGAGGTACTCAAAGTCCCCCTGCTGGACATACTCCTTCGGGACGAGGTGCTGCCCCTCGATGTCGAGCGACCATTTCCAGTCAGTGTAGTTGAGGAAGTCGTTCGTCAGGTCCTCGTTGTAGCAGGCGGACGGCAGCCAGGAGAAGGACATTAGGTCGAAATGGCATCCTGCTGCTTTGGCTTCGGCGGCGGAGGTGCCGCAGCGGAAGAGTGAGTCTGGTGATTGGGGTGCGGGATTGCGTTGGCCGTTTGTGTACGCGATCAAAGTGAAGATACCGGTGATTATGGAGATGGTGAGGGCCAGGCTGGAGAGGAGGGTCGCGTTTAAGCGATAAAGACTTGATTGCGGCGGTCGGATTGGAGGTGTTGTTTTGTCGTAGACGAACTCCTCGCGTTCCTCTCTCCTGAGGCGCGTGTAGTCCATGTTGTAGGATAGAGATGACTTTTTTCTCGTTAATCGTGATAGGATTTGTTGGTCAATCGAAGATGCAGGTTTCCAGAGCGAGGGGGTCGCGTTTTATTGATCTGGTCCGCGTCGGCAGAGTTGGCATGTAAGGGATGAAGAGTCGGCTGCTCAGATTTGCGACATCAACGGAATGCGCATACTACTTCTGTGCAGATTCCTGCAAGGGACGACTATTGGACATTGTTATTACCGGCCATTATAACATTATAGGCCCTTAGAGGCTGTATACAATTGTTCACAATATACATATCCAACAGCATCAAATAACCCGAAATATTCCAACGCCGGAAACCAAAAGTCGTAATTAATCCTCCTCAGTGACATGCACAGTGCGAATGCGACCCTTCATATACCTTTCCATCTGCAATGCAGGAACCTCGGAGATCTGCTTGCCAGACGTCAGATTCCAGCTCTTCTCATCGTGGCGTCCCTTGAGCGCGGGGCAAGGCCACTTGGCCAGATTGCGATCCCGGACGGATTCATGAATGAATTCGTTTGTGATATCGGACTCCTGGCCCGCTGGATTATACCCCATCGGTCTGCGAGCCGATCTTCCTCCCAACTTGCCCTGCAAGGTTCGTACTATACTGCCGTGATCGAGTTTTCCCTGGCTCGTCGCCCAAGGAATCATCTCGTTCTCCTCCGCACGCGGGGGATCGTCGAATAGATACTCTTCAATGTCAAAACTCAGCTGCTTATGCTTCATGCACTGCGCGATCATCCACGCCAGAGTAATGTTCGACAGCCGGGGATTCTCGTCTCCACCGCCAACATCCGTATGCACACCGGAAAACCACACCTGGAGCATCTCCTGCCCCTCGTTCTTGTGCGGGATATGCCACACGATCGGCTGAAACGCCGTGCGCTCCTCGTCCAGTGACAGCGCATGGTACGCACAGCGCACATTCTCATGCAGTATTGTATTCCGCAGCTCCAGCTTCTCGCCCGAGTCTCGACCCAGCCACGCCTTCTGGAACCCAACCGTATCCCACACCCCGACGATCTCGACCGTGAACCGCGGCAGGGGTCGCGGAACCCCATCCGCTTGCGCTGCTCCGCATTGTATCCGACGATTTTGTGGTTGTAGAAATCATCATACACAAGCGCAAAGTTGTCCATGCCGCGCGGGGTCAGCAGACCCCATTGGGAGACGAGCCCGGCGACCGCGCGCGCTGTGTACGCGCCGCGCGAGAAGCCAAAGAAGTAGATCTTGTCGCCGTCGTTGTAGTTGTCGGCCAGGAAGCCGTAGGCAGCTCGCACATTGGCGCTGACGCCCAGCCCGGCCACACCTGGTCAGGTCAGTAGCAATTCACTTGTAGGGGGAGGCTGCGGACCGCCCCAGTATTTGTCTCCGAGACTGGTTCCCACGCCCTTCTGGTAGTAGACGATCTGAGGGATCTCGTGTTGTTGGCCGTCCTCGCCATCGACGATGGCGAGGCGGCTCAGCGCTCTACTAAAGCGAGTGAGATTTGACGGCGGTTGGGCCTCGTCGGCGAGCGAATCCTGCCATGTGCCTGGTCGGTTAGCAGGCGTTTTTCCAGGGACGAGAGGATCTAAAGATATCTACCATCACAGCACACAATGAGTCGTTTTGGAGGGTAGCGCTTGACACCAGACATGGTAGCGGTGTATTACAATAAATGGTTGAAGAGGCCAGACAGAAACAAAACAAAACAGCGAGAAATCTTTCATCTCGAGACTGCAGCAAGGCTTATATCATGATAACATCCAACCCGTGGAAGGAGCGCATTTCCATCTTCGTCTGAGTCTGCTGAGCCATCAGCTGAAGACGACGTCATCCAATGGCAATGACGAAAGGAGGTCGTTTGCGGCATTGACTTTGTGATTCCTCCAATTTGTCTCCAGATCATAACCTCGGACTGGCTGACAGGAGGCCAGTGCCGGGGCTGACAGAAGACAATCTGATACAATCATTGGGTGTGGTTTTGCTTTTTTACCTGGGGGGATGCGCTATTGAGACTGGCTTGGTGAATGATTGGAGGAAGCAGCAGACACGCTGGAATAGTTTGGATCATTGCAGTGTTCGCGATGGGCCGAGAACAGTTCGTCTCGCCAGTTCAATCAGCCTCGTCATGTTCGTCTCAGCTGTAAGCAGTTCGCTGAAGATGCAGTCAGCATTTAGCGATTATTAGAGTCATTTACCCACTTTGTCAAACACCGCCCACCATAAGCAAAATATTTTCCCATCCAATTTTCAACCCAAGTATATCCAAACAACTGGTAAGTATTAATTGATCGTCGCAAGGATGAAATTAGGAGTGATTAAACCAAAAGTCGGCAAGAAACCTACCTACACGCGGTGCGTGCCCCCAGGGGAAAAAGATAATACTACTCCGTACTCTGCCTCCGGCCATGACTTACACGCATGCACCTGCCATGCTATATGCTAGAGAAGCTAGTAAAGGTATAGGCTATCTAGGCCTAGGCTACCTAGGCACAGGCTCCTCTATATTCAGCGGGGAGAAGCCGATTAATAATATCTTCAGCTTCCGCCACATCAGCCTCGGCTATTCTTTTCTTCGTCCACAGCCTCACTGGGATCTCGTCAGATTTTGCTATTTCGCACTAATGCGATCAGGAATTAATGTCTTAATGAATCATAGTAGATCTCATCACTTTGTCGGAATCTCTTATGTAATCATGTAACCTTGTGGTTTAATGGTGGAGGTATTGTCAGACATGTGTATATGTATGTATAATAATAGTTACGATGAACACGCTGTAGATAGCCCCGTCGGCAATAGAACAGAGGATTCTCACAGTGAGCTACTAATGTAGAAGAAAATACGAATTTATCAAGTTGAGTTATAACGGTTCAGTCAACATCATCTATGGCTACTGAGGCTGCCGGATGTTGAGGGCAGTTCTGTCAACGCGATGAAGGAGCAAGAGGCATGAATACACATACTCTCCGGGCTCCTTCTGACTCTAGTAAAATGTAGAAATGCCAAGCTTCCAGGTCCTTGGGAACCGGAATTCCAACGGAGAGCGCCGGCTGGCGGGGTGGCGGACTCTACACGCGAGTGGACAAGTACGGAGTAGGATGGTCTAACACAAACATCTAAGCAGATTCTGGAATAGTGCTGGTTAGGTAGAGAGTCCTAAGGTACAGTTGGACTCTAGAATGTAGTCTATGCAGGTAAGACAGCACATGGCCTTGATTGATTAACACGAGGAATGCAATATATGGCCTCATCCTCCTCTTGGCAATTGCAGCCACAAACAAATACAAGCCTGGATAATGCCGTTTATCATCGGATCGAAGCCGCAGTTGCCAAAGAGCGCTCTTCCTCCGTACTGTTACCCCGACTCTTATCTCTGCCAAGTCATGCTACTGTCTTGGCCCTCGACTCAGTCCGTCTGCCAAGACATCTTTTCCTGCTTGAATGCAACTCCAGCCGGGATGAGGTGCCATTCCGTGAATAGTTGCTGCGATGGCGACGCGGGGAATCGTTGACAGTGGCGGGATCACAGCTGCGATTGGCAGTTACGAGGGCAGTAGCGATGGCATGCTGGGGATGTATAAAAGGCAGGCGACGATCGGAATGTTGATCATTATCACTTTTCTTCTCCAGTTGTAGCACTGTAATCTCTTACAGTCCCGAGCTGTGAGATAGTCAACCACTTATTCTTACAGCGTCACCATGAAGCTGCTCTACCTCACGACGCTGGCCTCTCTGGCCCTGGCCAATGGCCCAGGACGAGACAGGAAGCCCCAGTCCATCCGGTTAGTGTTCCCCTCGCTTGTCTTGTTGGCTGAATGCTAAAACATCCTGTCTATTATAGAAAGTGTTGCCTCATACGATCCAATTGTGGGATCTTATGCATGGCGCTCAAAAGCTGGAAGACTTCGCCTATGCCTATCCCGAGCGCAACCGTGTCTTTGGCGGACGGGCCCATGAGGACACGGTCAACTACCTCTACCGCGAGTTGAAGAAAACCGGCTACTACGACGTCTACAAGCAGCCTCAGGTGCACCAATGGACAAGAGCCGACCAGGCTCTCACCGTCGACGGCAAGTCCTATGTCGCCACGACCATGACTTACAGCCCCAGCGTGAACGCCACGGCTCCGCTGGCAGTGGTGAACAACCTGGGCTGCGTCGAGTCTGACTATCCCACCGATCTGAAGGGCAAGATTGCTCTGGTCAAGCGGGGCGAATGCCCCTTTGCGACCAAATCCGTATTGAGCGCCAAGGCCGGTGCGGCGGCTGCGCTTGTGTACAACAATATCGAGGGCTCTATGGCGGGAACTCTGGGCGGCCCGACCAGCGAGCTGGGTCCCTACGCTCCCATCGCCGGCATCAGCCTCGCGGACGGACAGGCGCTGATCAAGCTGATCCAGGCGGGTACGGTCACGGCCAACCTGTGGATCGACAGCAAGGTCGAGAACCGGACCACCTACAACGTGATCGCGCAGACCAAGGGCGGCGATCCCAACAACGTCGTCGCGCTCGGCGGCCACACGGACTCGGTCGAGGCCGGCCCCGGCATCAACGACGACGGCTCCGGCATCATCAGCAACCTCGTCGTCGCCAAGGCACTGACCCGCTTCTCGGTCAAGAACGCGGTGCGCTTCTGCTTCTGGACGGCCGAGGAGTTCGGCCTGCTGGGCAGCACCTACTACGTCAACAGCCTCAATGCCACCGAGAAGGCCAAGATCCGTCTGTACCTCAACTTTGACATGATCGCCTCCCCCAACTACGCCCTGATGATATACGACGGCGACGGATCCGCCTTCAACCTGACCGGGCCCGCAGGCTCGGCGCAGATCGAACGCCTCTTCGAGGACTACTACAAGTCAATCCGCAAGCCGTTCGTGCCCACCGAGTTCAACGGCCGCTCCGACTACGAGGCCTTTATTCTCAACGGCATTCCCGCGGGAGGCATCTTCACCGGCGCGGAGGCGATCAAGACTGAGGAACAGGCTAAGCTGTTCGGCGGCCAGGCGGGCGTGGCCCTGGATGCCAACTACCACGCCAAGGGGGACAACATGACCAACCTCAACCGCGAGGCCTTCCTGATCAACTCCAAGGCGACGGCCTTTGCGGTGGCCACGTACGCCAACAGCCTCGACTCGATCCCGCCGCGCAATATGTCCACCGTGGTCAAGCGGTCGCAGCTGCAGGAGGCCAAGAAGAGGGCTCCTCACACGCACACCGGTGGAACGGGATGCTACAAGGACCGAGTTGAGCAGTAGTTTGGACTTTCTTTTGAAGCCGACCCTAAAAAGGAAATGTCACATTGCTTTCTATGATGTAGATACCACAAAACATCCATACAACAATATCATTCATCATTCATAACCCCTTTGCTTTCCTCCTACTGTAGCACACACTTTGCACCGGCTAGTCAGGCAGGACCGGCCCCCTTGGGAGGGTACTCCTTGCCGTCGGCGTTGACCTTGGGAGTGCAGGTGCAGCGATCGGATTCGGGCACCTGGTCCATGACGGAGGGGATATGGCTTCCGCAACCCCACCAGGTTTTTTTCTCTTGTTTTTGTTAGTAGGCGGCTGGGACAGTTAGAGTGTAGACATACGACAGTTGTTGCACTTGGACGGCATGCACATTTTGTAGAGGAGGTAGAAGCAATTGACTTGTGTTTAGGATTCAGGTCTGGTAACTCTGGTGGGTGTCCTTTGGGAGGGGCACAATTACAAGAATAAATACCTCTCAACCAGAATATGCACTCTCATTTCTACTATGCTAGAAATGGAAGTCTAGACACCTTTTTAGCGTAGTGGTTAGATGGTTGACAATCCCTTACTCGCCACTGGGCATAGAGTGGGTCACCTTAGTCATAACCGAATCATTTATAGAGAGACAGAAAGAGCCAGAAGAGAAGAGGGCGAGTTCGCCGATTGATGGTTCCCGAGACCCCGATCCGCCATTCTCTGCATTTCTTCTGCGACAAGAGGTGATCGTTTCTCTTGATTGATTCGGATGAGATATAGAAGAAAACTATATGAGAGAGAAGACATTAAAATAAAGTATCCGTGCCTTAGGCGCACCCACTCTGGCCGTGTGCCGGAGTGGGTGCGCTAAGCTACACCGTAATCATAGATTTCTCATCAAATCATGATTTTGAGGCCATACTAGGGTTTATCTATATAAAAAAAAAAAATCGCTATTCTCATCTGCTGCCTCTGCTGATCCATTTAATACCATATTCTCTTGTGTAGGTGCTAGTGGTGGGGTTTTACCATGCACTTTCTCCTACTGCTTTTATAAACATCTCTCTTGCACAGCAGCATCCTTGGCCTTCCTTAAAGTAATTAAACAGTTTACATCATATAATGTTAATATACCATTCTAGCTAAGCAGCTTAACCTGCTGCTTAGTATATTAGTGTTATAGAGGGGCTTACGCGGCCCTAATTAACTAATCATTTTATTCACCATAGCTAGATTGTGAGGGATGATCCACAGAGCAGGGTAGATTAGCCTGTTGACTAGGTAAGAATTAGGAACGATAGAATGTTAGGTCCGAATAGTATGGGAAATAGTAGACCACTTAATAACAAGACTAATCCTTGTCTTCTCTAATATTAGATAAGGGGTCAACCACCGAACCGCGGATACCACCGAACCGCGAATTTTCGCTGCTCCCCCAAAATATTTGAACATACAAGTATCAACGCGTGCTATCCCTATCAATTTTATATAAATGTCTCAATCCAAAGAGGCCTGCATGCAAATAGCCATTTCTGCATATAAAAATCAAAAAATTAAATCAAAATCCAAAGCTGCTGAGATATTTGAGGTGCCTAAATCTACCCTTTGTGAGCGGCTTAGTGGGGTTAAACCATGTACAGAAACACGCGCAAATGGCCACAGAATATGTTATTAAAGAGAAATCTCTTGTTAAGCATCTCCTAGATGCAGATAAGCAGGGGTTCTCAATTCAGCCTAAGATTTTATGTGGAATAGCATAGATTTTACTACAAGCACATACTCATGATCCTACTACTATAACTTAGTGTCGACTGGGCATATAAGTTTGTTAAACATCATTCAGAGCTGTGTACAAGATATAATTAACGCATATTTTATCAGCGTGCAAGGCAGGAGGATCTAAACATTATTAAACAGTGGTTTAAAACTGTATGCGAATCTATCCAAGAGCATGGTATATATGAAGATGATATCTGGAACTTTGATGAGACTAGCTTTGTAATAGGACTCTGTGCTACCTTAAAGGTTATTACTATAGTAGAGCACAGTGAGAGACCTTGTAGAGTTATCTAGGGGAACCGCGAATGGGTTACAATCATTAAGTATGTAAGCTTAAAGTGGATTCCTATACTACTAGCAGTTATTCTAAAAGGGAAGGAATACCTAGCTGCTTAGTATTAAGAGCTTAATCTTCCTCCAAACTAGAAGCTTACCAATAGCGTAAATAGCTGGATAACAGATGAGATAGGCCTTAAGTGGCTAAAGGAGGTCTTTAACCCTTTTCTCACCTATATTTAACTAGTGCAAAGTGATTACTTATACTTGATGGCCATTCAAGCCATCAAACTACTAAGTTTGATAATTTCTGTAAGGAGAATGCAATTATCTGTCTTTGTATGCCTCTGCATATATCTCATCTTCTTCAACCCCTAGATGTTGGGCTCTTTAGGCCACTTAAATGCGCATATAGAAAGCTAGTTAAAGGGATGATGGTGATAGGGAATAACTATATTAATAAAGAGGATTTTCTACACCTATATCCTTCTGCACGTGAAGCAGTCTTTATTTAAAGGAATATATATAATAGCTTTACAGGATCTTAAGCCATTAGATAAAGACTAGATTCTTAAGGAAATCACCTTTTAACTTCATACACTAACACTACTACCACTTCTTACTGATGGCTTAATCTCCTCTACTTTTCAAACTCCTCAGAATCCTTAGTAGCTTGATCACAAGATCCGCAGTATACAGAGAAGCATCTAGAAAAGGAAATGTAACGGATTAAGCAGTGCTATGCTTTAACCTCTTATCACCATTATTTTCAGTCTTCCGCTTTCAGGCCTTGGACTGTTTTCGTATCATCACCATAAGCATCTAGGACATGCAGTGAAGATATATAGTGTTCCCCTTATCTGATATTAGAGAAGATAAGGATTAGTCTGGTTATGAAGTAATCTACTATTCTCCCCCATACTATTCTGACCTAACTGATTGCCACCTCAATAAACTCCGTTTCTTTCAAGAGGTGTCTAACTAGATGAACCCATATCGCTTAGCTCTCTAATGCTAGTAGCCGTATCTAGCCGAATCTATTCTAATAGGGATTAGTTCATCGCATTCTAAAATAGTGCTATCCATACGCTTCAGCTACCCACCACAGGACGCGGTGTACGTGGGCGGAAGGGCAAGACCGAAGGGATCGAGAGTAAGTGTGCTATGACTAACAATAATCGGCAGGCGATTGGTTGTGGCATAAACATGTCCTTTCCTGACAAATAACGTCGTGGGCTAGATCTATCTCGTGTTGACCCGTAACAAGTTCTGCGATTATCACGTTGATTTTTTGGGTATGAGTCATTTCAGGCTCGTATTCACAGGGCTTCTCTGGCAGGCAAAGACCCCTACACTGTGGGCATTTCCCCAGAAACATAAAACCTGAAGGAAACCTACACCCTCGTAAAACTAAAGTATCACAATATAGTAACCAAAACTTTCAATCTCCTCTCTACCTTTTCTGGCAGACATTCGCTAATATCATACCATGGCCACCCCCACCCCTCCAAGACTTAACCATGTCTTCCATCTCCGTTGCCACATAGGCAAAGACACCATCAACGCGGGCCAATACTGTTCCGGTCCACACCGACGCATCACCACGCTCGAAGGAGGTTTCCTACGAGGTATCCCTGGAACCCGGGGCGACGGCCTCGACGTAACTCTCGTCGCCGGCGGAAGTGATTGGATACTCTTTGACGAGAGCACAAACACGGCGCACCTGGATGTGCGAACACAGGGCCGCACGAAAGATGGCCAGTGCGTGTACATTCATTATAGTGGATATTCGAAAATAGATGAGGCTGCGCAGCAATTCAGGAGCTGGAGCCCAGATGCGAAGACGACCGAGTTTGGGCAGCATCACTGGTGGAGTGCGCCGAACATTGAAGTTAGTGGTATGTTCGCACTCCTCCCACGGATGAATGGTGACTGATATGAGACTGACGATAAAACAATGCATATAGATCACAACTTTAAATGGGTTGCTACAACGCTATTCATTGGCCGGGGCCGTTGGTTTAGGGAGGGGGATATCCAGGCTGTGGAATATGAGATTTTTGAGGTCGCTCACTAGGTCATTCAGGCCTATCGAGGAGCCCCATGTACATTAAGATGAATATTTAGAGTGGTCTGTTTCCCTGGTATCAGTTTGGCCCCTGCGCCAGTAACCAGGGCATTACTTATGTTTGAGCTCGAAGCGTTCTCCATGTAATTAAATGAGATAACCAGTCTTAGATTCTTGCCAGCAAGAAAAAGGTCTCCCCAATCCAAAAGCTGCTTTTCTATAGAGGTCCAATCGATGTCGGTTCCATCAAACCTCAGAGTGAGGCCCTTCTGCCGGATGGCGGATACGACAACAGACGTGTTATCTGATTCAAGTTTTTGATGTGGATACTTTCGTACAAGCAGCTCCTTTAGCTTTTTTTTTGATACCGAGGGGCTAGAACTAGATCATGTTCAGTATCTTTTACTACCGTCCTGTTATTGAGAGCGACCTTCCACTCGATTAAATAGTGGATATAAGTCGGTGGAACCTCATCAGATGTCCGACCTTCTTCCCAATCACCGAACTAGAGTAAGGGGAGAGTATTCTTTTGCGACGCAGTTTGTTATGGAGAGGCGTACTCAACAACGGAGATGGGATCGACATTGATGCAACTTATATCGGACGGGGAGGCGGGTGAACAACGGAAGTTGCCAGGTGTTGGTGCATATTATGATGTATTGATACACAGGTCAAGCACCATGCTTTGTTGAACGCCATAATCATCATGGCTAATGAGAGAACTGTAAGTCATTTTCTAGGGCCTACTATAACAACAGACTAAGGGTGAGTGATTATTGGTTAAGGCTTACACTATCAGGAGCCGTTGAGGGTGGTGTTTGCCTGCAAATAACCGCCAACTAGTCAAGGTGGTCACTGGCCGCTAATCACTTATTGAGGTTCCCTGGGCCAGAGAGACACCCCCTCACAAGTGATAACTAGCGCACGCTGTACAAAAGGAAGAGGAGAAGGAGAAAGAGGTCTCCCAGCAAATCATAAAGTTATTTGGCGGCCTTCCCCATATGATTTGCAGCAATCCACTCTAGAACTTCATGAACTACTAGAGTTTATACAGGAAGTGCAGGTGATCGTCTCTATTAAAGTTTCCAATCCCATCAAGAGAGAAAGCCAGTGAGAGGTATCTGATTTCGTGAAACTACTTATTAGGGTGATTATACATTCTCGAACAGTTAACTGCCTCATACCCGATTTCACAATGAGAGATGGGCATATCGCCCCAGCTTTTTCATTTCCGCTTTCTAGTGCTGGGGGCGCTCAACGGCTAATTGTGGCTAGGCAAGGCAGAACCCATGCCACTGTTTTGCGCTTCGGTCGCACTGTGGCGCTAGGCTTTAGGCTTCCGTAGCCATGCCAGTACCTCTCTGGCACTAACACCTGTGCATTGAAGGACCTCGGTGGTAGGACTGTGTAAAGAACGGTTGTTGGCGAATCTGGTTTCTGCAGTGACTCACAGCTTTACATTACCGTGTTTCATGGGCAAGGTTTCTGGATAGCTACCCTCATCGTTTTGCTCCTCCTGTTGACGATATTATATCGTTCGGAATATTGAGGGTAGCGATCGAACAAGACCGTCTTGTCTAAAATCATAAAGAAAATAACTCAATAGGCAGTTGTAAAGCTACTGTAATCTGCGAGCAACAATTTGTTCCAGCTTAGCCAGACAAGCGTGTCCATTAAGAGGAGAAGAGCATGGTGGGACATCCTCTGCATGTTGGTAAAGTGCAGAAAGCTTCGAGAGCTCTATTTCGCAGCTGGGGCATCTGTAGCGCCGCCCTAAGTGCTTGAGATCATCGTTTATATACTTCCGGCTCTGGTAACAATCGTGGGCTATACCATCAATATCCTCCTCAGCAGTATCTGACGCGCAATTTCCAGACTCCAGATGTATTAACACTCCGGAAAATGATTTAAAGGACTGTAACAACCGGAGCATTCCAGGTTTCGAGGTTATAGGTAGACTTTTGCGAGCGCATAGCTTACCACTCAACTTCTTAGGACCAGGGCGCTGTAAACGTGCTAGCCAGACACCAAACGCAGAGGAGGGTATTTTAGATATTCGGAATTTTCTATCGGATAAAATTAAATCATTCTCAATAGTCTATGTACCTGCATGTCCTCCCTTCTCTAGACTCTACCTACAACTAACCTACTCTTCTCCGCAATCTTCCCCGCAAACGCGCTCATCGGCTCCGCTGCCAGAATCTCCAACAGCGCCATATTCGCCTGCAGCTCCCTAGTAATCCAGTTGCGGACCTCGAGCGCCACCAGCGAATCCACTCCATATCGGTACATAGGCCTACCTGGATCCACCTCGGACAAGGGCATCTGCAGTATCTCCGCCGTCTTGTGTACGAGCGCGTCCGTGATGATGGACACGGCTTCGGCGAGGGTGGACGCGGCAGCGAGACGCGTGGAGGGCGATGATGCTGCGGATGAGGTGTCTTGGTCTGCGAAGGAGGACGAGGATGCAATACTCAACACATTCAGCGGGCCAAACCGCGGATCACTGAAATGCTCGGGCCGCTCCAGCCCGAACCGGGCCATGACGTCTGCCGTCCCTAGGCCGGTACACACCTGCGCAGGAGACGCGTCACTGACTCCTTTCCACTCGCGGTTGATCAGGCTCTTCATCAGCGCGTGGAAGGGCTTTTCGCGGATCCCGAGAACGGCTTCCCAGTCGGCGAGTTTGCCAGTTGTGCCTTGCTCAGCTAGAATGCCGACGTCTCGCATGATGCCGAGATCGACCGCCACGGCCTTGAGGCCTTGACTGCGGCGGTAGTGTGCGAGGGCGTCTTGGAATGTGTTGGCGGCGGCGTATTGCGTTTGGCCGTGGTAGCCGAAGATGCCGGATATGGAGGAGCAGATGAGGAAGAAATCCAACGGGCGCGTGGAAGAGAAGTAGTTGTGCAGATTGAGTGAGCCTTGGATCTTGGGCCGCATGGGCTGCGTCCAATTCGCGTACGACATTTTCTCGAACAGCGTGTCGCGCAGCAGCATCGCCATTTGGAGGACGCCCGCGATGGGCGGGAGGTCGGTGGTGCATTGTTGCATGGCGGAGAGGAAGGCAGTTTCGTCTGCTACGTCTGCACGATACGCTTTGACGACGGCGCCAGAGGTGGTGAGGTCCTGTATCGTGGCTTTGGCTTCTGCACTGGAATCGCCCGAGCGGGATATGAATGCGATGTGTCGTGCTCCACAAGCGACAAATTCGCGCGCTAGGCTGCGTCCCAGGCCGCCGAGGCCGCCGACAAAGAGATAGGTGCTATCGGGGCTGAGACGGAGACTGTTTTGAGCTTTGCAGAGTACGGGTGCTTCGGCATTGTCGGTAAATGATAGGACGAGTTTGCCGCGATGCTTCCCCTGCTGCATCGTACGGAAAGCCGTCTCAAGCTGGGCCACAGGGTACACTGTTAGCGGGTACGCGGCACCCAGAACGCCCTTATGCACAAGGTCAAAGGCGTCAGATAGGATCTGCCCCAGCACTTCAAGACCCTCAGCGTTGAAGAAATTGGCTATGTTGATGAATGCGAAGGTTGTGCTGCCACTGAACGGACGCATGTCCAGACGCATGTTATTCGTGATATCGCGCAGCCCGATCTCGACGAACGTGCCAAAGGGCGCGAGACACGTCCATGAGACACGGAGCAATTCGCCAGACAGCGAGTTGAGCACGCAGTCGACGCCGCGGCCGCCCGTGACGCGCTTGATGGCTTTGGCGAAGCTAGCGTCACGGGAGTGGAAGATATGCGTTTCAGGCACGTTATACTTCTCCATCAGGAGACGGCGCTTGTCCTCGCTTCCGACGGTCACATAAACCACGAGGCCTAGGTGAGCAGCTAACTGCAGTGCAGCTTGACCGACGCCGCCGGCAGCAGCGTGAATGAGGACGGATTGGCCGGGGCGTAGTTTGGCGACGTTGACGAGCGCGTGGTAGGCAGTGGCGTGGACCATGGGCAGGGCGGCGGCGACTTCGAAAGACATGGAGCCGGGGATGTGCACGGCAAGACGGTGATCGATTCGGAGCTTGGTGGCATGCATGCCCTCCCAGAGAAGCGTGACGCGGTCGCCGGGTTGGAAGCGTGAGGCTGCTGCACTCCCGGTCGCCGTGACGACGCCGCTGGCTTCTTGGCCGATGAGGGAGACTTCGACGAGGCCCATGGCCGCCATGATGTCTTTGAAGCTGAAGATGGCGTTAATGGATACGAACGGGGCAGTCCAGTCAGGGGGTTGACTTACTTGACACCTGTTGCTTTGACATCGACCTCGATCTCTGACTCTCCAAGTGGAACTTTCATGCGGTCGTCCTCAATGAACGTCAAAGTGTCCATGAGTCCTGGCTTCAGAATCGTGAGCCTCAGGGGTCGCTCTTGATCCGCCAACCGCTGGACACGAACGGAGTCCTCCAGACAGTGGCGCACGCCCTCATTTCCCTCGGGACTGATGAAGATACGAGCAACCTGGAGCATACCATCCCGCTCCTGGAACTCATCATCTTTGGTATGGGTCGTCACAATGCGACCTGCAAGGGCTGGACCACACTGCAACGCCGTCTCCAGGCTACTAAGATGCAAGACCTGGAACTTGAGACCAGCCACCTCACTCCTCATCGTCCTCCGAATGCCATCGACCACACCCATGGACGGATTGTCGCCGGCTGTGATCCAGAGCAGGCGGTCGCTGTTCAGCAGCAGCTTGCGGACATTGTGGAAATCCGGCTCTGAGAGATTGTCCAGCAGGGGCTGCTCGAGCTCCAGCAACGAGATGAACGTCTTGCCCTCGAGGTCGGTGGCTGCACGGGCACTGATCTCGGCCCAGTTGGTCACGACCACGCTATAACCATGGTCGCGGAGAGTGGCTTGCAGAGCAGAGCAGAAAGAGATGCCGCTATTTGTTGCTGGTGGCTCGATAATGACCAAGTCGGATTTTGAAGATGTGCCGTTCGTGTTGCCGTTAGTGTAGCCGTTGGTGAGCCCGTTGGCATGCTCAGATTGCCGTCTCTTATACAGCGCCACTGACTTCTCAACATCAAAGACGCGTCGAAATCCGTTAGCCTCCAAAATGGAGGCAGATTCCCCAGATTGCTGTCCACAGCGAGAACCAGGCTTGCATCAGGCTTGCCAAGGCTTGTCAGACGACCCAGTAACACGCCCAAATCCTTATGATTGCTGACGGATTGCGGAGCGACCAACAAATCCGCCGCCGCAATGTCTGCGGGCAAGGGGTCATCCTCATCGCCCAGGTCAAAGGCTTTCCCAATCACATTTGCGGTGGTACATTGGTCCTCAGACTCGTTACCAATGCCTGCTACAGCGTATTGGATATGGCTTGGGAGAATGGTTCCGCGGGGCAGCAATGACATTGTCGCATGGTTAAGAGCCTTGTAGTCAGGCGCGAGCTCGATCACGGTGGCTGCCGGGTTGTCATGGAGGTACAGACGGATCAGCTGCAGTGCTTATTAGTGACGTCTGGTCCAAGTAGGAGCCGCACGTGCGGCTCATGCAGGATGACGGTGAGAAGGGAAAAGAAAAATTACCTCGACGACCCGATCTTCTGCTGCAACAGCCGACACCACCTTCTTGATTTCTTCCGGCTCCAGAACCTCGAGAGCATAATTCCAGCGCACTTCAGAGGTGATCTCGGCCGGATCGACCTCCAGCTGCTGGCTATCCTGTTCACCCGCGTCATTCTCCAGCTCCGAGACTCGGTAGTCAATAACGGACAGGTTGATCTTGGACACTGCACTATCAAACGCGTAGATATTCGACGACAACTCTTTAAAGCCATGTCTCTTCGACTCGCAGAGCACTGGCAGGACATACCCAACATCTCCCGGAATATCCAGCGAGATCTCCATCTGGCCAATAAACGTAGGCAAGACCGGCTTGTTCATCTCGAATCCCCCATTCTTGTACGTGCTACCCAGACAGCCCTGGAGGATCGAGTCGAGGGCACCCGCGTGGATCAAAAATGGGCGGTCCAGTTGTCCTTTGCTAAAGGTCTCGCCGATGTCGACGAGCCTCACGTCGTAGGTTGACCGGCCGTCGCCAAGATGGACATTCTCGACGCCCTGGAAGGCCCCGCCGTACTTCCAGGCGATCTTTTCGAATTGGCCGTAGAAGTCCTCTTTGGAATAAGTGTCCGGACACCCCTCGTGGACACGGTGGTAGTCGGCAACCCTAGACGCCTCCAGGCTGGCATCTTCGCTAGCCATCTGCTCACTGGTACTTTCGGTGTAGTCAATGGTAATCAATCCTCGGCAATTGTCTCGCAAGTGATCGATGCCAGCGCATGAGGATATGGTAAACTCCCACCAGGAAGCTGGTGTGGAACCCGAGGTTGCAAGAAGGTGCGGCCGCATGTGCAGGATAATCTCAGTCGGCGCATCCTCAGAAAGTGCCATAGCAGCAGAGAACGAGATCTCGCGAAGCCGAAGGGTGCGCACCGTCTTGCTGGGCTCCACCAACTGCTGTGCGGCCTCAAGCGCCATGCTGATGAGGCCAGCCGCGGGGAATAGCACAGTACTACCGACCTTGTGACCGCGAAGCCAGGGCTCGTCGGACAACCGGAGGAAGTTGCGCCAGACATGTTGGCTCTCATCCATCATCGGGACTTGGGCGCCGATAATGCTCTTTGAGGGAAATTGGCGCATCACGAGCTCCCTCTGAATCCGAGTCTCGTGGCGGAAGACCTTGGAATGGTTCCATTGGTACGGGGGAAGGTCGGTAAGTCGACGGGGATTCAGATCGCCGTTGACCTTGGAGATGTCGATGGGGACTCCTCTGAGGAATAGCTCTGACGCGAGCTCGAGACTCGTTTCAAGGGTATTGCGTCCGCGTGTAAGCATCGACTTGTAGGCGACGTCTTTAATGCCGTGGTGCCCTAGAATTTGCTCCACCGGTCCGCCAAGGGCGCTGTGTGGGCCAACTTCGATCAGCAGGTCAACAGTGTTGTCGCTGTGGTTACCACTGCTGTCATCATTATCATCTTCTTTTTCATCTTCGGCTGGGGAGACCATCTCCTTGACCGCATCGGAAAAGAGAACCGGAGAGACCAAGTTGCGGACCCAATAGTATGGCCTTAGAAGCTCTGGTGCGACCTCCTGGCCAGTCACACTGGATACCATGGTTGGAATGCGTCCATCTTCGTTCTCGTTCTCATTGTACTTTCGTGGTATAGGCTTAAGATCGGCAATGAGTTCAGCGTAACTGCCAAACACACGATTCATATGCCTGCTGTGGTACGCCATCTCGACTTTCAGTCGCCGGGCAAACACCTTACGCTCGTCTAAGATGGCTCGGAGTTGCTCAAGTGCGTCAACATCGCCCGACAGCGTCACACTGGAAGGTGAGTTGACACAGGCGACGGCAGCGGTGCCATCGAGCTTCGACTGTTGGATCAATTTCTCTGCTTCGTCTCGCGAACAGCCGACAGCCATCATGCCGCCCTTGAGATTTGGCGCATCAGTTCGAAGCCTGGTAGCAGCCACGCCCCTGAAGTAGGCAGCTGCAACTGCGTCGCGGTGGCTAAGCGCTCCAATGCTGTATGCAGCTGCGATCTCGCCGCTGGAATGCCCAACCACTCTGGACGGTGTCACGCCCCACGACCGCAGCTCGTCGACTAGGGCGATCTGGAGCACGGAGCAGATCGGCTGACTGATCTCCGGCTGGCTCAGGCGGGAGTCGGCTTGTGTCTTCTTGAGTTCTGCGACAGGATCCCAGGCACAACCTATCTCTCGGAGGAAGTTTGCCGATTGCGCAACCGAGTCCCTAAAAACAGGGCGGTCGAGCATCTCCACGCCCATACGCGCCCACTGTGCACCTTGTCCTGTGAAAACGAAACCAATTCGTGGGGCCCGAGTGGCACTGCTGGCGTCCCGGGAGGCGCCTTCCCCTGGATCGGTGCTCAGATGGTCACGGAGCTCAGTCATGTTCTCAGCAATACATGTTGCCCGCCACGAGAGGCTGGATCTGGCCCGGGAGAGTGTGTAGGACAGATTTGCCATGAAGTCCGAGCTCGAGGCCACGGGACCGACGGTGTCTAGATGTTCAACCAGGGCATCAGCATTCCGCTTGAAGCCGGCCTGGTCGTGGCTGCTGAAGACGAAGAGTCTTTTCTTGGCACGCGTCCTCTCTAATTTGGAAAAGCCGTTGATCGTTCCAGACCCATTGGCGAAACGGGTCGGGTCGAACGATTCCAGGACTACATGGCCGTTGGTGCCACCCATGCCGAAGCCGCTGACGCTCATACGCTTTGTATGAGCAACAGGCCAAGGCGTCAATTTGGTGGGTACAGCAATGTTCCATTCGTCAAATGGAATCGCGGGATTGCCTTTAGAGAAGTGAAGATTGGGGGGATAAGATTGTGCTCCATCGATAGAATGCCTTTGATAATTCCCGATATACCAGCAGCTGATTCGAGATGGCCAATCTGATTTTGAAGTCAGCATCCTCAGATATGATGTCGGACAATCCACGAGACTCACGTTGGGTTTCACACTTCCTATCAAGAGCTTGCGCGGTTTTGGCGAGCCTTTCCCGATGGTGCTATAAATGGCCTTTGTTTCAATTGGATCTCCAGCTTTGGTCCCCGTACCCTAAGGCTGCGGTTGGTAACGGTAAACCCCTTAGGTCTGATAGGGCTTTTTGCTTACGTGTGCCTCGACGTATTGTGTCGAATAGTCCAACCCGTTGGACAAGTAGACGTGTTCTATGAGTGCAGTCTGTGCTTCCAGAGACGGCATTGTCACTGCAAACAAGAGCGTTAGCAACTCTCGGTTCAGATTTGGAGACGCAGAATATTCTACTGCATTGAGAGCCACCAGAATATACTTACCACCCTGTGTAAAGCCATCTGAATTAGCACCAGTGGCGCGGATGACGGCACGGATGTCATCGCCATCATGGATTGCATCAGCCAGCCGTTTCAGGATGATGATTCCGCAACCTTCACCACGACCGTATCCACCTGCGCTCTCATCAAATGCTTTCGACAGGCCCTCAGGATTGAGGAAATTCAAGTTATTCAGATGTGTCGTGAAGTCCGGGGTGAGCATCAGACTCACGCCACCCGTAATGGCCATCTCTGATTCGCCCGACTTCAAGCTTTGGCAGGCCAAATGGGTAGCCATAAGACTGGACGAGCAGGCTGTCTGAACCGTGGCACTAGGGCCGTGGACATTAAAAAAATGAGATATGCGATTGGAAATCATCTCATCACCGGTCCCGAGGAGATGGTATTTGGGATTGTGCAAGAAGTCGCGCTCAACTGCCCCTCGATAGTCGCTTGGACCAGAGCCGATGTAACAGGCCGTCTGGGTGCCAGAAATCCGTTGAAGGGACATGCCCGCGTTTTCAAATGCCTCGTATGTCACTTCCATGGCGATCCGTTGTTTGGGATCCAGGGCGATTGCTTCCGTAGCGGTGATGTTGAAAAAAGCGGCATCGAACACGTAAGGATCTTCTTTCAGAAAGTGGCCTCCTTTGGTGGGTAGTGCGTTCAATCGGGTGTCGCCTGGGTGGTAGAAAGCGTCCGAGTTCCATCTGGGTGATGTTGGTGAGTAGGCATCTAGGGCTCCTGTCAGTGTCCACTACCAATGCAGCGTACTTCGCTGCTCACCTTTGCCGTTCTTCAGCATGTCCCAGAACTTGGATGGCGAGCTAGCGTCGCCGGGAAACCGACATGCTAAGCCCACGATCGCAATTGGGACATCTCCCGCGGTGTGTGTAGAAGTCATCTTGATGCCCGAGAAGCTCTCTCTTTACAGCTCTCTTTTTGGGAAGAGAGGAGGAGAACCGAACAAGATAACCACCTCGCGGAAAGAAAGGCATTACACATGCGGGTGCTCCGGCTCGTATTCGGCTCCTGGAGATGTTAAAGATAGCTACGTTACAGGAAGAGCTGCTGTATGTCAAACGAAGAAAACACGGCGGCGGTGCAAGATACGACGATGAAGATATCATGCAGTCAGCAAATGTCGAGGCTAACGGTCGAATTCACCCCATGGGACCCGCCGGTCGCGGGTCCAATACGAATATTATTAATATTATTCACGTACTTAAAAATCAACTAGGTAGTCAATCAACTCTCTTTATTTAGCTTTTGTCAGCAGTGCGGCGCCACACGGCGGACGAATGCTTGCAGGGCCAAGATATGCACAAGACGGCGGTCGAAATATCTAGTTCTGTCGGTTCGACCGTGTCGATCACCGTGTCAATCGCGGGCTTCGCTGTCCATTTCCCTCCCTCACCCTTTCTACATGGCAGCAACATGTTCTTTTTCTGAATCCAAGACTACAAGTTCCAGTCGCAACTCTCTCTCAACAAACCTCCATCTGTCGACGGGCTGTCCCTAACGCAGGACATCCAAGAATCAATGGCATCCAGTTCAGACCTCGAGAGCAGCAAAAAAGCCGAGCTAGATGGACGTCGGCCAGGCTCGACCAGTGATAGCGAACGTTCTCCAGCCAGGGCCGACGGGCCCCGAGAGCAGAATGACTCCAACGAGACCCCGCCCGAGTACGAGACTGGCATCCGACTAATCCTCGTCATAGTCACTATCTTCGTGAGCACCATCCTCGTATCACTGGAGATTGGGATCATTGCGACCGCAATCCCCGGCATCACCAACGATTTCCGCCGCCTTGACGATGTGGGCTGGTATGGAAGCGCGACTTTCATCCTCGCAGCCTCTGCCTCGCCGCTGTGGGGCAAGCTGTTCAAGTACGTCAACGTCAAGTGGACTTTCCTCGGCGCGGTCGCGATCTTTTTGGTGGGCAGTGTTGTGGCCGCTGCAGCTCCGAATAGCGTGTCTGTCATTATCGGCCGTGCCTTTCAGGGTTGGGGAGCCTCTGGGGTCCTCGGCGGCACCCTCATCGTCATCAACTACGTGGCCCCGCCGAGGAATCATCCGCTTCTCATCGGGACTTGGATGGCTGTCTTCATGGTGTCGACCATTCTTGGACCGGTGATTGGCGGTGCATTCACGAGCGGAGTTACCTGGAGATGGTGTTTCTGGATCAACTTGCCCGTTGGCGGTCTCATCATCGGTCTGCTATTGTTATTCCTTCGCATCCCCAAGCACATCAAGAGTGTCCCGGCCACGTGGAAGGAGATCATTCTCGCCCTTGATATTCCCGGCTTCTGCCTGCTACTCGTCTCTCTCGTATGCTTGACGTTGGCATTGCAATGGGGTGGGCAGACGAAACCGTGGAACCATGGCTCTGTGATCGCTACCTTGGTCCTTTGGATTGTCCTCAGCATTGCTTTCTTCGTTACCGAATGGCTACAGGGCCCCCGCGCCATGGCTCCCTTTAGCATTTTGAAACAGCGCACGGCATGGAGTAATGCCTTGTTTTGCCTTGTGTAAGGGTCGCTTCTTCTTCCTCGCTATACTATGCAATCTCCCAGCCAATGACTAACACCAATGATCCCTCATTCTAGCTCCTACGCCGCCCTCTACCAAGTCATGTTCTACCTCCCCATCTACTTCCAATCCATCCACGGACAATCAGCTGTTAAAAGCGGGGTCAACACCCTCCCGTTCCTGGCCTTGTTCGCCGTCGGAGCCGTGGTCAGCGGTGCCGTCATCGGAAAGACCCGCTACACACAACCCTACGAGCTCCTCGGTGCCCTCATCATGACCGCCGGCATGGCCCTGATCTACATCCTCGATGTCGACTCCTCCCAAGCCATGTACATTGGTGCCGAGGTGCTGTTTGGTTTCGGCGTTGGTATCTGCAACCAGATCCCCATGACGGCTGTGCAGGGCTTCTCAAAACTTGAAGACGTCTCCAGCGCGACCGGGATCATGGTTAGTAAGTATTGCCTTCCCTATGCAAATAGAAATTCGCCTCCGAGTACCCTATGTATGTGTACTAACAAATCCCCCCCCCCCAACCAGTGTGCCAAACACTCAGCGGCGCCTACTTTGTCGCCATCGCGCAATCCCTCTTCGCCAACCGTATGCTCCAGACCGTCCTCAGCAGTGCATCCCACCTCAATCCGGCGCTGATCCTGGGCACCGGCGCCTCCGAACTCCAGCAGGTCTTCAGCGGGGACGATCTGACTGAGGTGATCGCCGCGTATATGGTGGGCATCAAGGACGTGTTTGCGTTTTCGCTGGCGTGTGCGGCGTTTTCGGTCCTACTGACGCTGGTTATCCCTTTTAAGAAGCTGCCGGATCATGGGAATAAGCTGCCCGCGACAGAGGTTGCAGAGGCGAAGAAGACAGAGGAAACCGATGGGAAGGAGTAAGTGGTTTGGTTGGGTAGCGCTGCAAGAGACATGGCAGACTACGGGCGAGTTTCTGGAAAAGGGAAAAACCAACACTATCGGTTCCAATATGAAACATCAGACTTAGGTATCTTAAGTATTAGTTTTGTTTTAATATACTGGATTGTTTTCTTTCTTGATCTGTTGATCTCGAATGCATCCAACCCAGCATGAGCAATTGGAAATCCTGTGTCATCGCGCCAGTATTCGCGTAAACATACCGAGTGTTGGGCGTGTTATACACACGACCACGACGCTCGCTCACTACTAGCCCACCAGGCGGAGCGGTCGTCCGTGGTACCTCGAACGGACACGGAAAGGGACCGGATTCGCTCTCGCAAGGACCCAGCCACCGCAAACGCAGGGGCTCAAATATCCCCCCCAACATTCCTCATGATGTTCTCGAAAAACGCCATATCCACTCCCTGAAATGCCCAGTCCTCGCCGCCTGCTGCGAGTTCTGGATACCCGCCCTGCATCAGCGGGGATGGTGCCAGAGAAAGACCTGAGTCGGAGAAAGCGTTTTGACATTGTTGCTCCTGTTGATGGTGCGGGTGCCGGTGCGCGAAAGGTGCGGTAGATTCATGGGAAGCGGCTGTGTCGGCGACGGGGAAAGAGAGTGGGTTGGGAGTGTTATTCGCGGAGGGGGTTAGGGTGCTGGGGTGTGTCAGGGAGAAGAGGCGCAGTTGGGATTCGGAGCTGCTGCCGGCGGTGGAGGCGAACCGATGCATGGTGTCAATCGTCACAGCTGCCCGTTTGGTAGGAGCCTCGCGTGCAATCCGAATAAATCCAAAGTACGGAATATGCACACGCACCACGCCCTCTTCATCCTCCTCCTCCTCCTCCTCGTCCTCCTCCTGCTTCTTTTCCTGGCCCATCCCATCCTGCTGCAAGGTCCCCTCACCTCCCGCCTCCCTCACCCTCACACTCACCCTCCCATTCCCTTTCTCCGTGTCAATCGCCAACAACGCCTTCAACAAATCCGCACTTCGCGCGCTCAGCTCATCCGAATTCAGAGTGTTGATCTCGTTCATGTGCTCCTGCACCTGCTCGATCATCCCACGATCCGTCAGATACTGATTAGCGAGCAGATTGTCCGCCCCGTCGCGCTGACTATCCATATGTGCGAGGAGGAGTGCCATGGCCGCCATGAGGGCGAGGAAGTCGACGGTGCGACAGCTGTAAGCGATCCGGTTGAAGGTGCGGAGCGCGATGTAGCGCGAGAGAACCTCGCGCGACGCATTTACGCACGTGATTCGCGAATACTCGTATTTGCTCTCCGCGGACGAGTGGCGAAGCATATACGGCAGATGCAACTGGTTGAGTAGGTTGTAGTGGCAGATCTGCAGGACCAGGCGGCGCGTATCCCAGAATACGGCTTGCAGGTCGGTGGAGGCAATGTCGAGTTTGGGGACCAGCCACCACTTGCTCGGGAGGCTGCCAGCGGCTTTCTGCAGCTCCAGGTCGATGGCGCGGGTGTCGGCGAGGTCTCGGCAGCTGGGCTTGGATGCATTACGTTCTAGGATTCGGGACATGACGCCACAGTGCAGGTGCTCGAGACGCCCCATGGGGCAGTCGTTGGTCAGCAGGGTCTCGGAGGCCATACTATGGTCGGTGTAGCCTTGGGGCAGACCTAAGAGGAGGCAGAGATGGCGGTCGAGATTGATGACCCGGAGCCACATAATCTGTGGGTTGTATTTCGTCTTGGGGTCGAGCGCCTTGTATCGTGTCTGGTCATCCGATCGATGAAGGCCCATCATCTGGGCTACACTCATGGCTCTCCGACCCGCGACCCAGCCCCGTCGAAGGTTCCCAATGTTCACCTGGTATAAACTCTCGAGCATGACGCACTCGAGGCTCTCTATGCTGCCGACAAGTTCCTCGTTTGTCGTGACGTGATAGATGGCAACATCAGCTAAACGTTCCATGATGACTCTGGGTGGTTCCGACAGGCCTTTAATCTCCTTGTGAAGATCCGGAGGAAGATGCTGTAGGAAAAGGGCGAGCCGGAGCATGTGACTCGCGATCAAAACAGGATGCATGTTTGGTTCCGGGGTCATCAGTAAACTCGCGGGCGTTTGGAGACCGTTCTGGTAGAGGGTAGTGTATGGCATAGTCAACAATTCGTGGGAGAGGATGGAAGAGTGGCGACTGGCGTTGCAGATACTCTCGATATCTTCTCTCGACGGGAGTAATTGATGCAAGAACCGAGACAGCCTCACATATTTAGGTGGTGAGGTATCATTCCCGGTGGTTGTCAGATATTGCTGGAAAGCAGTCAGCAACAATCATACAAAATTGGGGAAAAGCGCTGGGTAGACACGGACCTCGGAAGGTTTATGGTATCGCGAGGGCTCCATGTTCGTTGACAGAGGCGCGAGAATACTAGGGTCTGCCCTCCCACTGGGCGTGGCAGCGCGAGTTCTGCCGTCAAAGGGAGTGCCATCACTGCTGTTGCTAGATCCCAAGCCCATGGGGACATATGCGAGGTCCTCGGGGAACTCCTGGCTGATACATGGGGAGCCGCGTCGTCGACAGCCGATGCAGGAGGCACTGAGAATGCGCGGATCGAATCTACATTTCATCTTCCGCCGCTTGCATTCCCAGCAACTGTGGGTGCCTTTGCGCACCTTTCTCCGCATGGCTCGCCAGTAGTCGTCATGTGACGGTGCAACATGCGGAACAGGCATCATTGTAGATGGACCTGGACATGGACATGGAAATGTATGTGTAACGTCGTGGAAGCGGTGGGAAAGGATAAAACTTACTATTGACGTTGCGGTGGTGGTCAGATCGAAGAGGGGGAGACGGCGGTCACCTGAATCGGGTGATCCCCAGATCAGTTAGGCGATTTCGACTAAAGATAACGTAACTGGCAAGCCGATAAGCGAGCGTTTCATTGTCAGACCATGCCACAATGCAGCAGCGTAAGCTCGACATCTTAGGGCGCCGCTATTTCCAACCCTCAGGCCACATGCAGCCCCAGGCATCAGGGCCAAGCCTTGGCTGCCGTATTACCTAATCCATTAATATAACTACCTCGGCGCCGCTGGCCACAGGCCTTAACACAACCATTCCTCCCCAGATTCCGTCAGTCCGTCTTATATATATATATATATATATTTGCATGGATCTTAGGCGAGTGCACTCACTTCCATCTTCATATTGTATATAAAATAGCGTGTTTTTAAGTATAAATATACCTATTTTTAATACTAGAGTTGTAAACAGATATATGTAAGAGTGGGTAAGATATGGACATGTGGGAATAGACTATTTTATATGCGTAGCAAAATCTACGGTTGGTCACAGGAGGTTCTTGGCATAAAATAGAGAGCCCCAAGTAAGGATTGACTAAGCAAGCCAGATCATGGACTTAGTTAGAGAATAGAACAGAAAGCTGACAGACACGCTTGTCATCTTATCTAGCCCCTCACTAGAGAATATCAACTACTCCAACTCCCAGCGCTTAGCAAATATTCATAGCAATGTAGACTGCATTTACTATGTGTTCTAGAGCCGTGCGCGTCACTTACGGCAATTGATAAGGACACCCGAGGTTACAAATGAGCTGACACCACCCGTACTCATGACTCATGGCCTGCTGTGGGATTCGAATCCATGGACTTTGCGTAATCCGTAATCCGGTTCCTATAAGCGAACTAGAATTCGGCCACATGCTCTTCGGTCGAATTCGACCGAAGAACCACCCTCCGCCGTGCCCGTATATGACTCGGAAAGGCGTGGGCTCTCGCCTTCAGGGAACCCCATCCCAGTTAGCATGTGTCCATCATAGCCTCTGGGTGGATATGCACGTCAGCAGGGATAATACGACAGAGGCGGCTCAGAGATATCTTGGCTAATGTCGCAAGTAGTTAGGGTTTACGAAGAAAGTGTCAGCCTGCATGGCTTCTCCCGAACGAATGTCGCCACGCATCTCCGGCAGCAGCAATACTCCACACCATCCTGGTAAGGACGCATTAGTACAATATCATTATACGAGTTGTACCGGGGGGAGGGGGGAGCTCTGCGGTATAGCACGATTCCCTTCTCTCAAACGCAGCAATGTTCAATGAGACCAGAACACTGTCTTGCTCGCATTTCTCCGTCTCACTGTCAGATAAGGAATCTAGCACGTTCGCCAGGGATTCCCTTGTTATGCCGGTTCCTTGGGTATAAATAATTGAGTGATTATTCTCCCCTTGAAAAACTGAGATTGTTCAGTGGATTCAAGATTATATTGTTCTGTCTACTTAGAGGTTAAGGTGTTTCATTGCTTAGTATCCATTATCTCGACGAATGGAGTCCAACCATCCTACGGTGCTCCTTTTCGGAGACGTCACAGACTCATGGGTTGACGGTATTGATCATGTCTACAGTCAAGCCGCAACCAAACCATGGCTTCAATCGTTCTTGGGTGACCTCTTCTCGGTCCTTAAGGCCGAGACGAGGGCTATGGACCGAGTCTTGCAAGACAGCTTGAGGGACTGCTCCAGTTTCCAAGAGCTCGCTGAGAGATATCGACACACCGGCGACGAGTTTGGGATGGCGCATGCCATGCTGATTTATGCCATCAGAGCCGCAGTCCTCCTGGAGTATGTGCTTTGTTACATTGTGACCTGCGGCTTATGTACCTATGCACTGCTGACCACTTAAAGGGCTACCACCCGCGAGCCACAATTGCTTGACCCGAACCGGCCCAGACCGGAGTTGATTGGCATCTCCGGGGGTCTATTCAGTGCTGCAGTCGTGTCCATATCTACGAATTTCCAGACTCTCTATGACGCATGTCTCGAGGCGGGTCGGGTGTGGGCAAGACTCTGTAACCTCACCTTGGTGAGATCAAGAGCCATGGAGGAGCGCCCTGGGACCTGGGGCTGGGCTGTCCTTGGAATACCGGCTGAGGAGCTAGATAAAGCCCTGGAACAATTCCAAAATGTCATGGTAGGCCTTTCTTTCCCGTTCCCCCCGCTTTTCTAGCCCGCAGTGGCAGAACTGACTCAAAGACCAAACAGGGAGTTCCGTCTGCCAAAAGAGCAAGGGTTGGTGTCAATGGAGACAGATGGAGCACCGTCATAGGACCGCCTTCTATCCTGGAGCTCGTCATGAACGGATGTCCTGCACTGAAGAATCTTCCAAAGAACGCGCTTGATATCCATGCCCTTCAGCACACCCTAAGCATCTCTGAAGCCGATATTGACTACATTGTCGGGAATTCCCCAGTTCTGGACACACCTTTACCCCCGGGGTATAGGATATGGGGCTTGGACGAGGATCGTCCCGAGGCCGCTTACTCCAATTGGAGACATCTGCTGAGGGCTTCAGTATCACAGACCTTGTCACGGCCTCTGAACATTGTGCAAGCCGTAAGCAAGCTCAACGCCAACCTTGGGACATCACGGCATGTTAATGTCAAGATCATGGGTCCCAGCAGCCACGCAGTATATCTTGTCAAGGCTTTGCAAACTGCAGGAAGGGAAGTCTCTATTCATGATGATCTATCCGCAAAGCCTCCGTCCTCAGATAGTCGAAACGGTATCGCCATCATCGGCATGGCAGGAAAAGGACCAGGGAGCGATAACCTCGAAGAATTCTGGAATGTTATACTGAAAGGTCTTGACCTCCATAAAGAGGTCCCCTCCGATCGCTTTGACTTGGAGGAATACTACTGCCCCAAGCACCCCGCGGCAGGCCCTGGCAAATGCACCATGACCTGCAGGCACGGGTGCTTCATGAATAACCCAGGACACTTCGATTCTAAATTCTTTCACATCTCGCCCAGAGAAGCCCTGTTGATGGACCCCGCTCATCGGTTGTTCCTAATGAACGCGTACGAGGCCCTCGAAATGGCCGGATATTCGGACGGCCAGACCAGGTTGACGGATCCGACAAAAATCGCTACCTTCTTCGGCCAATGTAATGATGATTGGCATGTAGTTGGCCATCGTACCCTTGGATGTGATGCCTACACATTACAGGCTGTTCAGCGTGCATTCGGACCGGGTCGACTGGCCTTTCAGTTCAACTGGGAGGGGCCGACTTATGCGCTCGATTCTGCATGTGCAGCGACAAGCTCCTGTATCCATCTCGCCTGCATGAGCCTACTCACAAAAGACATCGATATGGCCGTAGCAGGAGCCGCCAACGTACTGTCCACCCCGCATTCATTCACCAGCCTGAGTCGATCGGGAGTCTTGTCCGATACTGGGAACTGCAAGACTTATCGAGATGACGCAGATGGTTACTGTCGCGCCGACTTCAGTGGCGCTGTGGTGCTGAAACGACTCGACGATGCCATTGCTCACAACGACAACATCCTGGCCGTCATCTCATCCTCGGCCAGAAATCATTCTGGCAATTCTACATCCATCACAACATCTGATGCTGCTGCCCAGGAACGGTTGTTTCATAAGGTCCTTCGGAATGCACGGGTGAGCCCGGAAGATATCTCATATGTTGAGATGCATGGAACAGGTACCCAGGTTGGCGACAAAGCAGAAATGGGAGCGATTTCCAGTGTCTTTTCGAAAGGACGTGATGGGGAGCTCCTGCCGGTGGGAGCCATTAAGGCAAACATCGGTCACAGTGAAGCAGTGAGTAACCAGTCCCCGACAATTTCACTCCATTTACATGAGGCTAAATTTCTGGCCGAATATAAAAAGGCTGCAGGAATGTCTTCCCTGATCAAGAGCATCCTCATGTTTCAGAAGGGTACCATACCACCACAGGCAGGGATGCCTCATACCCTCAACCCCAACTTCCCACCACTACATGAGATCAACATCAAGATCCCTTCGGAGCCATTAGACTTCAAGGCGGCAGGTGGCAAGCCGAGACGTATTCTTCTCAACAATTTCGACGCAGCGGTAAGTTATGCTTGTTGGGCGGTTACTGCTCCGTGCAATGCTGCTGGCTGACCACGTAAAACTCCAGGGTGGCAACGCATGCTTACTACTGGAAGAATACATGCATACGAAACATAAAGAAGCCGATGTTAGGTCGGCTCACACCATTGTGACCTCTGCAAGGACACAGTCTTCGCACCTCCTCAACAAACGAAGACTTCTCGAGTGGCTTCGATCGAATCCCAACACCCGTATTGAGGACCTTGCCTACACAACTACGTCGAGAAGGATGCACCACCCCATCAGATTCGCGCTGACTGCATCCACAACACAAGAGGCCATTTCAAAACTCGAGGCCGAGATTGAACGCAGTACCAACTCCTCGGTAGTGCGGGATATCCCTGTCGTTTTCGTCTTCACTGGACAGGGGTCCCACTATGCAGGTATGGGTGCCGAGTTATACCGTACAAGTCCTGTTTTCCGTGAGAGGGTTGATTTGTGTGTGGCAATCTGCGCCAGCAACAAGTTCCCCCCATTCTTGGACATCATCACCGATGGTGGAGTTGATTTATCTACAAAGAATGCTGCACAGGTACAACTCGCGGTCCTCACCTTGGAGATGGCCCTCACCCACTTTTGGCGATCAGCAGGAATTGAGCCTGCTATGGTCATGGGCCACAGTCTTGGGGAGTACGCTGCCCTACATGCTGCTGGAGTCCTGTCGCTGGCAGATGCTTTGTATCTGATTGGCCATCGTGCCCTTCTCCTCCTGGAACGATGCGAATCCGGGTCTTGTTCCATGCTTTCGGTGTCGACTTCAGTAGCAAATGTGCGGGACCACCTTTCCCGGCTCCAGTCCTCTTCCTGCGGAGTGGCCTGCATCAACAGCCCTAGTTCTACTGTCGTCAGTGGGACTGCTGAGGACTTGGCACAGTTTCAAGAAAACATAACGGCGCAGGATGTAAAGGTTCGCGCGAAGACGTTGTCCATCCCCTTTGCATTCCACTCATTCCAGATGGATCCAATACTACACGACTATGGCTCTATCGCAGCAAGTGTGACTTATTCAGCGCCGAAGATTCCTGTGGCATCAACTCTGCTCGGATCTGTCGTCCATGAACCGGGTGTCTTCGACGACGACTACCTGGTCCAGCAGACACGCCAACCTGTTGACTTTGTCGGTGGACTCCACGCCGCAAGGTCCAAACTGAGTGACCCAGTCTGGCTTGAGATTGGGCCTTCACCGGTTTGCGTATCCTTTGTGCGCGACACCCTCTCCTCTTCTCCGTCCAAGATAACGCATACTCTACAAGCGAACACCGGCAGCTGGACGTCCATTTCTACGTGTCTCGCGACGGCTTACACCAACGGTGTCGACATCGATTGGGTCGCACTTCATACGCCGTACGAGAGAAATCTTCAGTTGTTGACACTCCCTTCCTATGCGTGGGATGTAAAGGATTTTTGGATCACCCATACCGATAGAGTCACCGACGTTGTGTCTGAGCAGTCTCCGACCACAACATCCGGGCCGTTTGTCTCTACTTGCGCACAGTACCTTGTCTCCAAGTCGTCCTCCCCGAAGATCCAGGTCGTGTTCCGAGCCTCCATTTCTGACCCAGGTTTTGTCGGACTCATTGATGGTCACAAAATGCAAGGGATCGGACTTTGCTCTGGAAGTGTCTTCTGCGAGGCAGCTTTTGCAGCAGCCAAGTTTGCCCTCGAGTACAGTGGCAGAAAGAATGTGACCCAGCCCTGGCTAACACTTCATAATCCCGAGCTGCTCTTACCCCTCACAAAGAAGCTTGTTGGCCCAGATGGTAGTCTTTTCACAACTGCCGTGATGGATTCGCCATCTGCAGACAGGATCTCAGTTACATTCAGGGCTACATCAGCAAGCGCATCGCACGAGCTCGGCTCTTGCGTAGTCAATTTCCGTGACCCTGGTAAGACTCAGACAGACTGGGACCGAGTATCGTACTTCATCCAAGCCAAGATGGATGAGGTGATCAAAAATGCCAAAGAGGGACCGGGACATAGAATGCAACCGGAAGTGTTTTATGCGCTCTTTGGCAATGCCGTCGAATTCAGCCCTGATTTCCAGGGCATCAATGAGGCATACATAGCCAAAGACTTCCAGGAGGCTGCAGCAGTGGTTACTCTCCCGCACGATCCTGCCGGTACTCGGTTCACATTCTCACCGTATTGGGGCGAGGCTCTTGTGCATCTAGCTGGCTTCATGGTGAATGGAAACCCGAGCAAATCACCGCAGAAAACCTTTATTGTGATGGGGTTCGAGAGCGTTGAGCAGACGGTCCCTTTGGTGCCTGGAAAGCAGTACCTGGCCTACACTCGTATTTCCAAATGGGTCAAGGACACGGCATACTGTAACGCGGTTGTCTTTGATCCTGAGACGTCGAGCATCGTCCTTCAATGCATCGACATACGATACCAGGAGCTCCCCAAAGCTACCTGGAAGCATATTCTCGAGGGGCCACGAGAGACTCCTTCGGCGCGCATCCACACAGCACCTGTGAAAGAAACCAACAAAACTGGCAAGGCCAACGAGGAAAGTCGGCAAAGTTTGGCCGTAGCGCCAGTGCAACCACAGTCAACTCAGGCACAGGAGGAGGAGGAGGGGGAGGAGTACCCGCCAGATGAAGGGTTCGTTGATGCAATCTTGGACAGCATCTCTAAGGCTACGGGTAGCGCCGCTTCTGAGTTTACCGACGACACTATGGTAGCCGACCTCGGTGTCGATTCTATCATGGCTATCGAGGTTGTCGCCACCGTCAAGGCTGAATCAGGTCTCGACCTACCCGCTGCATTCGTTCTCGAGTATCCCACAATTGGCGACCTTCGCCGCGCCTTTGGAACGAGAAAACCAAAGGCCGCAGAGTCCCAGCCCAGCTCAACTCCCCCCAGTTCCGAGGCCTCCATTTCACCAAGCCCCAGTCCCGAATCCACTTCGATGTCTGAGACAGCCTCGTCAGTGGGCTCGAGTCTAGTCCCTATTGAAAAGGAGGAAATCGCGGCTCTAAAACACCAAGAGAACACCAAGCAACAGGAGAAGCCACCCATCGAGGCCGACATGGATACATCCCCAGCACCCACCGTCAGAATTACACTGCTGCAAGGCCGTCCAGGTCCTAAGAGGACACCCCTCTACATGATGGCCGACGGGACTGGGACCATCGCGACCTACATCCATCTACCGGCTTTCAAGTCCAAAATGCCCGTCTACGGCATTGACTCGCCATTCCTCCGCTGTCCAACCCGACTGACCAAGGAGGTGGGCATCGAGGGGGTAGCGAAGCTCATTGTTGATTCACTCATGGAAGCCCAGCCCAAGGGGCCCCTCATGATCGGCGGCTTCTCCGCCGGCGCCATCGTCGCATTCGAAGTCTGTCGCCAGTTAGGTGCAGTTGGCCGCAAGGTGGACGGTCTCGTGCTCATCGACATGTGCTGTCCGCGCTCCAGTCTCCTCGACGAGGCCAAGATGAACTCCGAAGATGATGCCAGCTTCACCATCTTCGAAAATGCCGTGTCCAAAGACGGCCTTTGGAGCGTGGCAAGCACCACCCAACTCCATTTCCGCGCATACCATGTTGCCATGCACGCATATCACCCACCTTACATGACTGCACAGGAACGGCCGGCTGGCACAGCTGTCATCTGGGCTGAGAAGGGCATGGTCAATCGTGTGGTTGACAACCCGAAGTTGATGCAAACGCTGACGGACCAGGGGATCCCGACTACATCGTATCCAGGCTATATGGAAGATCCCAAATTAGGTGCGTTCGCCTGTCTTGTACCGGACAGGACTAAGGCGGACCTGGGACCAAACGGCTGGGAGAAGTATACTGCTGGAGAAGTTTTGGCACTGTCAGTGAATGGAGACCATCTTGATCTGCCCATGCCTGGACATGTTCACTTGCTTCATCAGCAGATGGAGAAGGCATTTGCTTATTTTGAGGGATCAAGTTAATTTACACCTATGCTAGAAACACGGCAAAGTGAGGAAAAAAGCATAGTGGATAGAGGCACACTTATAGTGTATCTGAGCAGAACAGCGCTTGTATAGACAGTGGGTCCTTCCATTAAAGCAATTGCTAGTTTCAGGGGTTCCATAATAGAACCTAGGGACGTTTTTGTACGGTAGGAGAGGCATTAGAGATCTACGACGGACGGTTATTTTGCCCATAATTCATGGCCATCTTTAATGAATAAGACTAGTTTACCCCACCGGGAGATTCAAAGGCACCTTGACGTTGATCATGCTTGGAGACGGCCCAGATAGGGTTCAACAGTAATAGGAAGATGAAGCCAGATGTCAAGGCTTATTCGAAAGTATCCGTGTCTAGCCATCCTTCGACCTGCTCGGACTTGTTACATTACGTTATCGATTACTCTGCGGTTAAGGACGAACCTAGAGGTAGGTAGCAATATATTACCCTTGATCTGATCTCGAGTCCTGTAGATTAGCTCTTGACGATCTTTGAACAAGCAAAATTTTAGTAGGTGTGGTGGGCACCTCTCATGGAAGGTCCATGCCAAATGTGATATGCCTGAGTCACTGGCTGTTTGCATAAGCTCTTGATATCAATGAAGATGTTCTCCATGTATAGCCAAAGATGCAGATAGATTCGAAGACTTTGTAGAAAGGTAGCGGGGTATGTTAGCAGATATCCTTGCCGAATTTTGCGCTTTGCTTACATTCTAACATTGTTTCACTGGGAATGTTCATGCATCGCCTCACCGCAAAGGCCGCCTGGTCCGCTTTTTGTGGCATCAGTTCATTGAGCAGCAGAGGCCAGAAAATCTCCCAGAAACCTCCATCAGACCCTCTCCCCATAGCTTTTCACCTTCCAGTGGTTGATTATCGCAGGGAACATATCTGCAATCCTAATAATTAACTCATCATGTGTAAGGACAACTAGGATATTATCCCTGGTATCTAACATTCCTAGCTTAGATTAAATCTCACGCCATATGCTTGTCAGCCATGCTCTATTCCAGCATCTGGTAGAATGGCTCATTGCAACTCTTTTAGGGGTGTATGTGTTGGGAGATTAATCTAGGATATACGTGCGCATAAAGCTTAGGTAGGGACTTAGGTAGTACTCTTGCAACAGAGGGCGCCATTCAGTCAGTCAAGAAACACTGGGGTAGTAGTAGATGCCACCTATTACAAGAATAAAGGTATCTTCACCAGAGTCTTTAGAACCTGATATAGCACCTAATGTGACACATGCCAGAGCAGCAATATGGCCTACTATATGGCCTAGGGCATTAAGGAGGTAAAGACTACCATCTTTAAAGTAATTAATTACTTTAAATGCACTGATTTCTATAGTTAATTAACAGTTAAATTAAAGTTTATTAATAGTACAGTCTTTCTAGTCTCCCTGTATTAATAAGGAGTAAGGAATCTCCAGCCATCTAGATAAATAGGCCTTCTACGGCGTCGAACCTGTGCTCAGCGAGCGCGCCCTGCTCGCCGCCGACGGCAAGCGGACCTAGACACCGCGAAAGAGGGCGGCGTGGCACATGAGGTCGGGAGCTTGCGGATGGCGGGTGATGGAAACGGAGTCTTGGACGCGGACCTCAGGTTTGTGGGATACAAGAACCTGTACGCGTGCGACAACCCGGTCCTTTCCCATGTCGCCGGCGGGAAATCCGAGTCTCGCTAGTGGCGTTGGCGAAGCGGTTGGCTGACCATATCCAGGCTAACCCTGCGACATGATGGACGACGGCAGACAATTTGGCGCAGGTCCTCTTGGCTTATCCTGTCCTGATCAGCCGCGAGAGCGACTCCACAGTGTGCTCCCACGTCCTGTCTACACCTATTCCCCACTCCCCGTTTGATGAAAAAGGTCCCTCCCCAGAAATACCCGGGTGGGCCCCAGAAGCATATGTACCCCAGACGTTTACAAGGTACTACTCACATCAGAGTCATTAGTTAAAGCCATACTAACTGTCCTGCAGCTCCCCCAGAGCCCCTGGCCTAGGGATCCAAAGCTCAAGGGACTCAGTCGCTACCACTAAGTTAACATGTTTGAAGCCGTCGGCCCCTACTCATTCACCCTATTTACGCGGTATCTGGGCTGGTCACACCCTGAGATCAAGGTCCTCGTCGCGGGTATGCGCAAGGAACTGCGCGATTTCTACACCTACCATCTCTACACTGAGGTACATGTCACTTACGGCCAGCGGCCGGAGACAGATTGATCTCATGCGGGCACGATATATACAATTCGGTTGACCGATGCTTGATGACCCTTTACTCTTGGATTACTTTTGATATCATCTTGTGCTGTTGAGTATGTTAATCTTGATTCCCACATTTTTGTTCATCACCATGACAGCGTATTACTAAATAATTGAAATGACCTGCATTTAGGACGAGCTTATTGCTCGTACTGTATGAATCTTTAATCAACAGGGTTCCAGATTGCGAAACACTTTTGTACCTCATCTGTTGCGGTCGAAGGACACAGTCATCAATGAAGTTAGCTTGGGCATATATCAGAGTAATTATAGCGAGCATACCAGCAACAGAGCGCATACGTGCAGCCTGGGAAATACCGTGCCGCAATTGCACACCTGAACCGGGGGTGTTCACTGCCTCCGATCGGACACCAAATGCTAGCCCGATATTTGTCCGCACTCGGAGAATTGCCTACCATCTAGGGCGGCGGGGAAGGTACCTGGACACCTATGTACCCTAGTATGATCATTGAGTTAAATCTGTGCGGTAAGACCCCGAGATATACAGTTACCGCTTATTGTTTTTTATGGAAACCGAGTCTTGGATTGGTCGAACAATTCCTGCATGGAGCGCGCTACGAGATGTCGACGCATGCCAGCGAGCGGGGGAATGTACAAAGTGCTTAATCTCGGCGTACTAGGGGTTTCTGCGGACTGCTGCGGTCTTTTTTGCGGAGCGAAGGTTTGACTTTCTCCGAAGAAACCCAGAGCAGTGGACCTCGATGCCAATGTCGTTGGCCTCCTTGTTGCAGAGCTCTCGCCCAGGAAAAGAACGACCGCATAGTGGTAATACGAGAGAAAGCTGCCATACGCTGCGCCGAATAATAAGCGTGGCGCTTAACATCCACCCAAATTCGGGGTAATCGAGTTTCTCCAGATATGGTTTCCCCGGGATTTGTGAGACTGGAGAATGTTTGGTGCCTGAGGATTCAAAGTTGAATGGCTTGCATATAAACATGCTGTATCATGCAAGAATCTTCAGAAATTATCCTTTCACACAGTATATCCTATCGACCTCACAATGGTTCATCTCACCAAGGCCCTTGCGGTGGGTATTTTGGCGGGCGTCGCATATGCCTTCAACTACGACCAGCCTTACCGTGGCCAATATCATTTCTCGCCCCAGGACCATTGGATGAATGACCCCAACGGTCTTCTCTATCACAATGGGATCTACCATCTGTTCTTCCAGTACAATCCTGGCGGTATCCAGTGGGGCAATATGTCCTGGGGCCATGCTACCAGCAAGGATCTCACCCACTGGAAGGAGCAGCCCATCGCCCTTCTTGCCCGGGGATATGGCGGCAACGTCACCGAGATGTACTTCAGTGGGAGTGCGGTCGTTGACGTGAACAACACTAGTGGCTTTGGGAAAGGTGGCAAGACACCGGTAGTTGCCATGTACACGTCCTATGTGCGTACGCCTACGCCACCGCTATAATTTCCTGGAGTGGAAAGACTAATTCTCTTTCTGTAGTATCCCGTTGCGCAGACATTGCCGAGTGGTAAGACTATCCAAGAGAATCAGCAGGCCCAGTCCATTGCCTACAGTCTTGACGATGGTATGACCTGGACCACGTACGATGCCGCTAACCCGGTCATCTATAACCCTCCCGCCCCATACCAGGATCAGTACAAGGACTTTCGTGATCCCTTTATGTTTTGGCACGAGAAGTCCCAAAAGTGGGTTGTTGTCATTACTCTGGCCGCATTACACAAGCTCGCAATTTACACCTCCGAAAATCTCAAAGACTGGAAGTTTGAGAGTGAATTTGGTCCCTACAACGCACAAGGCGGTGTTTGGGAGTGCCCTGGCCTTTTTAAGCTGCCTCTCGACGGGGGAAGTCCACGAAATGGGTTATGACGATCGGACTTAACCCCGGTGGTCCCCCAGGCACGGTCGGTTCCGGAACCCAATACTTCGTGGGCGACTACGATGGAACCACGTTCACTCCCGATAATGATAATGTATACCCCGGAAACTCAACTGCTAACTGGATGGACTGGGGCCCAGATTTCTATGCTGCGGCTGGCTTCAATGGCCTCCCTGTAGACGCCCACGTCCACATTGGATGGATGAACAACTGGCAGTATGGTCAGAACATACCCACTGACCCCTGGCGCAGCGCCATGTCCATTCCTCGACACCTGGCTCTTGAGACTATCGGCGACAGGGCGACTCTAGTTCAGCAGCCCCAGGAAGCCTGGTCTTCTATCTTGAGCAAGCGGCCGGCCTACTCGCACAGCTACAAATCTGTCCCGGAAGGCTCCGTCAACGTGGGCACCACCGGCAAGACGATCAAGATAGACTTGAGCTTCTCTGCTGCTTCGACGGCTTCGGAGTTTGCGATTGCTGTTCGAGCCTCCGCCGACTCCACTGAGCAGACCCTTGTGGGTTACGACTTCATCAACAAGCAAGTCTTCATTGACCGCACCAAGTCTGGAAACGTGTCGTTCGACAAGACTTTCGCGAGCGTCTATCGCGGACCTCTCGCACCGAGCGACAATGGCGAGGTGAAACTGAGCATATTTGTGGATCGGTCCAGCGTGGAAGTTTTCGGTGGTAGGGGCGAGACCACCCTGACGGCTCAGATTTTCCCGAGCAAGGACGCGATCTACGCCCAGCTGGTGTCAACTGGGGGAGTTACTAAGCGCGTTCGCCTCAACGTCTACAATGTTGCCTCGACATGGAACTGATGGTATTGAGCGGCTAAGCATGGTAACTCGTCAAATAAAAGACCATAAAACACTTTCGAGGTTGAGCTGGACCTTGTCCAATCGAGAAAAGGGCATTGTAATTAGAAGTGGAATAGGCAAATTCTTAGTATGAACGAACTGGGAGTTCTCTGATGCGCACTGCATGCTAACCCCAAACCCGTGCCGCTGAATTTGGGTTATCATATTCTTACGGATACTTGTATGGGAATGGTGGGGGTAATGGAGGACACGGTACCTCAAGAAACAGGGTTTAAATAAGTAATTTCGCTGAGAACATGTACCACGCAAGTGGTGATTGATCGTCCTCGGCTTCTGACTTGTGTTCTGTCCCTGTTCTGATAGCGGATAATGATGAATCTTAAGCCTTGGAAACACAAGCAACAAAAAGATCTATCATAGAATTGCTTCTGGTGACAGCGCCATTGAAAGGAAATAAAGAGATAAAGATCTCGAAATGCTATATGAATATGTGGCGAAACTATTATGAGATTTTCTTTGCTGAGGAGTTGGCCTCTTTTGAAACCCAATATGACTCTAACACAACTACATGTTCAGTCTCTGAGTCATTTGTTCTGGGTCCACCATGCAAGCAGCGTTTTATAATCAACTCAGATAGAAGTTATATTCAGCATGAAGACTCACTGCTATAGGAATGACCGCCACTAAAATGCATAGATGAGTGCTGGTGAGTGTGCGGGTGGGTATTGGGAGTATAGGTAAGCTGATGTAAGGTCGGCCATTTAGGTCCGAGGTCAACTGCTAAGACCAGCGCGGAGGGAGCAAGATGACCGTATTGCCTAAGCAAGGAGAACTAATCGCTGAGTTGCCAGATACTCGGTTCACCCCTCGAGGCACCGTCGCCTGACGATGAAGGGCCGGGTAGAAGTTGGAGAGAGTGCCCAACATTACTACGATACCTGCGGATGAAAGTAATTCTCATAATAGGTGAATTTTAAAAGCTTCTTTTTTTAGTAGCTCCAATCACACTCCCGGTTAGGTACTCATCTACTCACCTCATCCAGACTGCCCTTAGAAGCCATGTTGAAAGAGATGACCCTTGATATATTTGCTAATCAGTCCGAGCTAGCCGTACATAATGGTATGCTTGACCCGTTTGCTTGTAGGGTTAATAAGTAAATAGCTGTGCTGGAGCCTAATGAGTCTGCCTACTATATAGCGAAAGCCCAGCCTCGGCTCGGTCTTCTTTATCAACTTAGATTGAATGTAATGGGTGATTCATGGTACATACATTCCAGCGACACTTCGTTGAATTGGCTGAGCCCCGTAACTAGCAGGCGACTACGATCAACCCATCGTAATGAGGCATGGTGCATGTGAACAATCTGTCGAGGCTATTCCTGAATGTTACCTTTAGCGAAACATGGATACTGTGTTTCTGATTGTTTTAAAAGGTTACAGCCGCTTCACCCACCGGACGGGCACGGCCCACACTTAACAGGCCCAGCATTTGCTCTAATGTACTGTATCTCGAACCTAGGCAGCTTCTATCCTAACATCACAGGGTACATCAGTGGTCTTACTTGTCTTGCACGCAGCATCCAGGAATACCAGGGTAGGTGGTGGCCTACCGCAAGGTTCTCGCTGATAATCAACCAAAAAGATAGCATCGGAGGCGCGGGACTAGATCCTGGATACAATGGGCCAATGCAGAATATCACTTTTCTATTTCAGATAGATCACGCCAGCTCTATTATTCCTTTCATCGTACCCTCTCATCGCCTCTCCCATTGCAGAAAAGCCACAGCAGCCCGCAGAAAGCCTTTGCCCAAGAAGTTTCTAGTTGGCGTACTTGCTCCACGAGCGTAGACGCTTTCCATACTGTCAAATAATTAGCCAATGGTCCAGGTTCTGAGGCGCTATGCAAGTATCTCACCCGTTCCAGAATGAAAGGTAAAGGGACCATCGCAACGGAAATAAAACCTAATATGCTCGATGACCATCCAATGCCAAGCGACTTCAACATTTGAGGAGCAGCTAAAGGCAATGCTCCTCCGAATGAGCTCCGGAAGAACGTATTTCCAGCAAAGACACTTGCTACATATCTTGGATAGGATTCCCCCAGGTAATTGAGGATAGATTGAAAGGTGAGATAAAATCCCGGTGCAAAGAAAGCAGTCGCAATGATAGGCACGATCCAATGTATGCTACAAACGTGGTGTTAGTGCTCTCTTCAATACATGCAAAGGGCTATGATGTGCTTACCTCTCTCGAGACGTCCATGCAAATAGAAAGAGGCAAATAGGGATGCAAATCGCTCCGACCTGACCGGGGACAAGGCGAGCTTCAGGCTCCACGATGGATTCTGGCTTTGCGACCCGCGGCTGGTATGAAAAATATAACCATAGCATATATGCAATGACAGATACTACGGCACCAACGAGGATCCCGAAGAATGCAACTAAAATCCAAGTTAAACCAGGTCAGAGAGGTTTTGAGTCAACACTTACGGCCTTGTTGGATGGCAGTAAAATGGTAAATTCCATCAAACACTATCGCCAGAGTTAGTTGAAAGCAACTGCAATCGCAGCGTCTGATTGACTCACCGAATGGGAAAAACTCAAACCACAGGTACAGGACGCCATAGATCAGCATCGTATGCATGTTAATAAACAGAATTACCGGGTCCATGCAAGACAGTTTGAAGTCATCAATTGTTTGCCCCATAATGCGCACAGCGAGATTTGCCTCCGGTCTATCTAATTCAGCTTGACTCCGATATGCAGGGTTCCCCGTCTGGCGGCGGAGTCGCTGTGCTCGGCGTAGAAGGATATTGGCGTTCAACGTCTCGGGCAGGAAGAAGAATATGAACACCGTTGTGAGAGCCGTGACACCTGAGAGGAGCCATAGAGTCGCTGTCCATGTTTTCCAACGCTCTCTGTGTGGTCCATTAGCCTATTCAAATATCGCCTGCTTGGGTTAGGTAGCTCTTACAACACAAGAGTCCCAAGAATCTGAGATGACCTAAATCAGCTCGGATGCATCAAGTAGTTCAAAGGCAAGTGACATACTGGTCCTAAAATGGGCCCACAGACTCCGCTGACCGCATACAGAGCAATGACATATGGAATCTGGCCCGGATCATAGACCTCCATCAGTGTAGCACCGCCCACACTTATAGGTGCGCTCCCAGCTAGGCCTCCACAAAAGCGCAGAATTAGAATTGTTTGCAGATTCCTCGCGAGGGCGGTCCCGATATTAAACAAGCAGAATGCAAGGGAGCCAAGGACATATACTGGAGTACGTCCAATTGACGGCATGCTCGATAGGGGAGAAAGCTGGAATCGTTTTGTGATTAGCAGACTAGTAGGACATAAGGTGTGACTGGGTGATGTAGACGTACAATGAGAGGCCCAATGCCATACGCTATTACGAAAAGGGAGAGTCCCAGAGTCCCCTCGGCATTTGTCGCATCAAATACCTCCTCGATCTTGGGGATACTCGGCGTGAAAATTGCTGATGCCGCATAGAAACTGAAGTTCAACAGCATCACATCGATCATGACAACAGTCTTTGCCAACATTGGCCAATTCCTGGGCATGTCGGGGTCTCTGGGGCCGTTGAAATCTACCAGGACATGGTCAACAGTATCGGAAGAAGCAGCCGACAAACTTGGGTTTGTAGTTGCTTCACTTTTCGATATTGGGATACCTGATGCTGGAAGTTTGTCATCAGAGACATAGTTCAGGATTCGTCCGAATGTGCTTTCTCGCAATATGACCTCCATCTTCGAAGTCGCAACACCCGCGTAGAAATTGTTTCTTATACTTTAAGTGAGTCAGGTTATGAATGGTGCACAGTAATTGACTATTTGGAGAAAATTTAAAGGAGAAAAGCAAGCTTAGCATCCTCCATGATCCTTCCGTTTGAATATTTATAGATGACTTGAACGAGCCTTTCGGATTTCCGTCTCGGAATTCCGAGTGTGTTTGCGAGTTCCTAATATGACCTCACGGCAAGCGGTCGGAGTACCCGGTGCTCATCGAGTTCGCTCTCTGACTGTTTTTCAGATCTGATTTCATGATTTTGGGATCTTCTCCTCACCTCTGTGAAATTCCATATCGTGGGCCATGATCAGATCCATCACATCCAAAAATGAGGGTCGTCCTCCACGCAGAAAAGCGTGTAGTAACTGCATCAAGTCCAAGGTTCGGTGCAATCTAGAGCGACCCGCGTGCTCTCGGTGCGGATCGACTGGCCGGATCTGTGTCTATAGTACGACAGTTTCAGTCTTGGAGAAACGACACTCTCGGCCGCAAGAGGGAGACAGGGAAGAAACCGAACCCCTAGAAAGCCACAGGACGCCTCTGCTTTCAGATCCACATCTCGGCTCAGCAATGTTACAGACGCCACACTCTCTGTCCTATACCCCGAGTCCTCCTGCCAACGCTCCTCTTTGGAGTTCGCCAGGCCAGCAGTTCCAGAGACCCCCCCTCAGAGCGTTGCCCAAGGAGAAGGAGCTTGACTTCGAAGAGATCAATATAACTCCCACCTCTAATGCAGAGGATATCCGCGACCGATGGCTAAGGCCCTTTTTCATGTCTACGCTCGGGCGGAGTGAAACCCCAAAAGCCTACCACCCTTATACTGTGCAGTTTATTGCGCGGATCCTGAGAACTTACCCGCGATATATGCTGAGAGACAGACTAGTCCCTCCCATTATTCATCAAGCCCAGGTCAGGGAGAACGCGACTCCTCGAGCACTGGCAAACTGCTACAGTCTAGTACGTATGTGGGAACAGGCAGTCCCAGGGAGTGAGGAGATAGTTATAAATACATTTGAACGGGAGATGGAAAGGCTCGCTAGTGAGGTATGCACATTTCTTTGCTGGATGAAGTAACACACATGTGTAACGAATTTATAGACTTCCAGCCAACATGACTACGAACTCCTGTCTGCCTTCCAAGCTTACCTGATCTACTCGATCTTGATGTACTTTTCCCCCCAAGGTGGTTTCACGGACACGACTATGGTAACCCTTATGGAGATGGCATTTCGGACCGCTCGAAACGGCCTCTTCTGTGCCGCTGAGTTAGCACGGACTAGACCAACATGGGAATCCTGGATTGTGGCGGCCGCGAAACGCCGTGCGGTCTTCACTCTATACCTCTTCAGCAGCATCTACAACGAAGATCGGTTGCTGCCCAATTTTGTCGCAGAGGAGCTGAGAGGCGTTTACGCACCGGGTAATAAGGCATTATGGGAAGCCAATGACCGAGAAACGTGGAATAAGGAGTACGATCGGTACCTATTAGACTGGGAAGATGGAAGCTTGGAGATATCCGAACTATGGGCATCCCCGGAGACAGAGGAGCCCGAGCGAAGGAGAAGAATCGAGCGTTGGGTTCAAACAGTCGACGAATTTGGGATGATGATATTTAGCGTTTGCGCCCATATCCATGGTTGCTGACTTGCAATTATCTGATCTCCGGCAATCGTATACCTACTTCGTTTCAATCCGCTGTCACAAGTAAGGGATGTGTACATAAGTATGTGCTGACCTTTCGCGCTCTCGGAGACCCGCGGCTCCTACTAACTATCCTTGTACATGCTATTCCTCATGACAATTCGTATCCCGTCGAAACTCGGCGCCTCGCAAAAGCTGTAGTCCTCTAGGTACCTGGATCCTGTTTCTGCGACCCTTGTGGCACGCGGCCTTAAAAAGTCTCTGGCATGCCTTTCCCAGTCAAGTACTGCACATAAGCTGCTACCGCCTTGCTGGCCATCAATTTACCCTTCTTACGCGGGAGAGTGCCTCCTCCAATCATGCTTGAGATGTTGTTGAAAAAACTGTTTTACTCCTGCACAGCCTGCTAAGTCTAATGATCTTAGTGGTGTACAGTCCTTAGTATCTACTAGGTCAACATCTGGAGGGGGCAAAAAGAAGTAACGTCTGTAGTTCCAACTTATTAACAAATTAAAAACGAGTGCGATAGTCATGGTTATACTATCAAGTCAATCATAAAATGTCATCTCTTAGATTGAAGCACCGGCTATGCGATATGTTTGCAGGATCAATCTGCGAGAGACCGATATTTACCAATGTTCGGCTTGTCAGTGTAGTACTCCGGATCCTCCTCCATGCTTACCCCAGCTTCCTCCAGTAAATGAGGGAACCACCTCAGCATTCTGTCGCGAAACACTTCGTATCCAGCTCCTTTCCGCAGCACCTTCATATTCTCTGCATCGAAGTTCACGCCACCGCGCTTGTACGCTTGCCATTTCTGCAGACCGTAATCCACAACCAAGTCTACCGCATTGATCACTTTTGGCTCAATATCCTCAATCCGGAATCGCTGCCCTTGGCCGGTCAGATTGGCAGAAGTTCCGAAGGTTAACATGCCCTGGGGGTCCTCGTCACAAAGGCGACCGAGTTCCCGCAAAAATGGGCCTTCAGGAACTGCGATGCTAACTGTATTGCCCTTCGTGACCTGCGATAGCGTCGCCGGATCAAGAGCCGCCAAACGTGGGTGAAGGTTTTCGGTATCATATTTAGCAATGATCCCGACAATCATCGCCATGTCCTCTGTCAGGACCCGCGTCATCTCAAACTTGGCCTCGGAGAGCACATGGATGTCCCGATGTTGTTTGTATGTCCCGATGATGCCGATGCTGTGGCCCTGCCGACGATCTTTGGCCGAGAAAATCCGCTGGATTCCGGCCTGTGTGGTGGCCAAGAGTGCGTAGCCCACATCGGTTGGGATTATGACGACTCCGCCGCCTTTTAGAATGTTGTAGGCTTGTTTAGCATCATGATGGACGTTGGGCGCAGTGCCTTGTTCGGGTATGAATCGGGGAGCCATTCACGATCAACTTTAGTAGTATTATTAGGGGGCCGAAGGATGTAGGCAGCAAGTTCACTGAACATATATTTGGCGGGATTTGAGAAGATTTCTCTTTTCTATCAGTTCGCCAAGTTCTCATTGGGTATTCGCGACCACCATTAAGATCTTCATTCGGTGTCGTTCGACTTTCTTCTCGCGTTGAGTCGAATTAAGCCACTGGCTCCACGCCTTGTATTGTTCTTCTGTCGTTGCTTCGGTAGAATAGGAAGAGCCGACATCGAAGATTCAAAACGCAACGTACTCTTGAGTACATGAACGCGAGATTACACGAGACAAAGTAAAAATATGTGGTACGAGTAAATGCGACAATGCCATGATGACGTCGACCTCACCACGCATACACCGCTTACTCAAGAGTATGCCTTGTTGAGTGTGTTATGGAAGAGCACGGCATTAGATTACTAAATATTTCAGAGTCTTCAACCTGCCGGTCTTGTGAAGAAGCTCCCTTACTAGTATTGTGGCATGGTTTGAATCTTAAAATTTACCCACATTATGGCGCCCTCACAATAAATAATTAAATAATTCTATAATAAAAAATAAAAAAATAAAAAAAGAAAAAAAAGAAAAAGAAAAAAAAGGGAAGAAAAGCACGTAAGGCTATCAATCCCAGCTGAGAGCTTAGTTCTTTAGTGTACACTTTGTCGTGAGCAGGTTCTAGAGAGGGCGCCATGGTTGGTTTCGATGGCCAGTAAATGGTGTCTGTGGCATTCTGTTTATATCTTTCTGTGTATATGCCTCTGTACAGACTTGTCGGCCGAGTTCGGGGACTCGGAGATAGTAGTTTTGATATACACCTGGCGCAGGATAATATCTATCCAATCCAATGTTTTCCTTTCTTTTCTGCTCCGGATAATTTTGAACGGCGAATGACTGTAATAACTGGTGACCAGAAAAGCTAATAGATGTTTAACGATCGGAGTAAAGCCATCTTGCACTCAATCCCCGATGCCGGTGATCGACTCGGCCAATTGAACAGACTTGGAGCGTCCGTCTTGCCAGATTACGTTCGTCGTCAGTGGATATTATTGTGTACGATGACACACATGCGATCTCGTCGCTCGTTGAATCCATAACGGATTGATTCATGATGACATGGCGCCTTTGCGTATAGTCAACAATAAGATGGACTTCATCAAGCGCATTCATGTCATTCATGTCATTCATCAGACTACAACTTCCCCTTGGCAGGAGCGCAGCAAGCAGCCGGCTCCGGATGCAGAGTTGACCGGTTGAATGACTGAGCCGACGCGGGAACATCCAGCGCCGGGTTCTTGGTAAAGAAGCCATCCGGCCTGAGCATGACACTGACCCGTTCGACCGGCATCACTGGGAAATCCTCCACACGAGGGTTGTGCGTAAGGCCAAAAGCTAGGACTGTCAGTGAGGCCTCAACGAGGATTCAAAATCAGACTTACTATGCCACAGGACGAGATCCTCATTTTCAATAGGATCATTGCGCTTCACCCACTTTTCCACACCCTCGCTTTGCTTGCTCTGGTTGGTGAACTCTCCAGCCGCATACAGCTCGTCATCCTGATACTTTGTCACCCAGATCGGCTTGGTAGCGAACTCGGCCCGCTTGTAGCCAAACGACCTGTTGCCAGCCAGAAGCATCTGGCTCGGCGAGGACTGCAACTTATAGGCGACCGGCTTATACGTGATGGGGTTGATGCAGGCGTCATTGCGGATCTTGAACACCCGGTGGCGCTCCACGCTGGTGTTGGCGCTGCCGCTAGTCCGCAGGACGGTTTGCTCCGTGGTGTAACCCACCAGATACGGGTTATTCTCATCCTCGGACATGGGGACGCTATCTTCGTAGTAGACCGTATTCTTGAACCCATCCAGGGCGGGGTCGATACGGAAGGAGAACATGTGCTGGTGGAAAGGTGCCATAACACCAGGCCCGACGTTCGTTCCCCAGGGCACTGTCGTCCCGAATTTCTCATTGTCGAACGGCACAGTAGACAGGATGCCGGTCGCGCGCACCTCCAGCTCGATGTTAGCGGCCTGGTCGAAGATAAAGGCAAAGATGTACTCGTAGTTGGAGACGGTGCAGATCATCTGGACTACTAGCTGCCGGTTGCGGACCACCGTGGCAGCCCCGGTGCGGTAGTTGGTGTGCTTGTGCTGCAGACCATTATCTTGCTCGTGCAAACAGATGACATTCTTCAGCTGCACGGGGTTGCCCTTGGAGTCGGAGCGGTACCCGTCAAAGTACTTGATGTGACCCAGACAGTCGCAGCCAATGGAGAGCTGGTTGGCAGTGATGCCGAATCCAACGTCCCCGACGTCAAACGCCTGCTTGCGGTGGTACGGGGCGCGCGGGTCTATCCTATTAGCAACTTCTCTAGTCCACAATCATGGATGATCAATGCATACCTCCATATGGTACGGTCATCTCGGACACTGAGAGCCGATAAAACACATTGCGTCCGTCATAAGTGGTGTTGTAGATGACCAACCCTTCACGGGTGTTGAAACCCACGCGAAACTTCCACTTCTGCCACGAGACCAGGTTTCCCTGCACATTGAATGATGGCCCCTCGGGCTGCTGCACGATATAAGGCTTCAGATCCGTCCGTAGCGGTTCTGTGAGCAGATCATGCGCGTACTGAATGGTCTCCACCATCTTCCACGGCTGAGTCTCGGCGACCTGAGCGTCCGCCCCACCCGGGAGATAGTCCATCCGGACAAGTTCGCGGGTGAGCGCATCGAACACCGGCGAGAATTTACAGGGCGCGGAATAGTGGTTATTTTGCGGATGGTCCGTGGTCACCACGTACATGTAGCACTGGAACAGGCGGCGGGATTCCTTGGGGTCGTCCGTCCCATAGATCCATGGATCATTGCAAACCGTCACCCCCTGCGGCAGTTGCATTTTGGCAATCTCGGCCTGCACGGCGGGGTGGCTCAGACAGAGTTGCTCGATTTCGATCAGTTCGTCGGCATCGACAGGGCCCTGATTGAGTCAGAGACATTCTCCGGAGAGTTCATCGATTGACATAGAACATACCTGAACCTCTTTGGGCAGCTGTTTGGCATACACCACAGACCTTTTCTCCGCATTGAGCAAGGCTTTGTAGAATGCTCCATTGTCTAGCCGATGGAAAAGAACCTGCAACAACCGGGATGGGGCTGTCGGCAAAGGCTTCCCTAGTCTCTCAGCTTCTATGTACGGTACAACCTCCCTTTTCAGAGGTTCATTGATGTCGATTTTCTTGTATCTCAGAGAGACTCCGGGGAAAGCTGCTTCCAGAATCTTGACTGCCAACTGGATTTCCCCGGGAGTGATGGGGTCAAAGGGATGAAGAGCCGTCATGACGTGTCTACACCGGATCGGAAAGAACAGAATGATTTGACATATTTTTGGACCAGAGCCATAGAGTCTTTATACCCTTTTGTACGACAACTCTACCTAGATAGTCTGGGGAAAAGATACGCCCTCCCACACCCTCGTGTTGTACGAGATGTGTCATAGACAACTGATTGGTGGGCGGATGCCTTGCCCCTCAGGCAATCGGTCACGTGCAGCCTCCTATTGGCCATCTCTGCCCCGGCGTATCTCTTGCCCAAAAGGGTTAGCGCATCACGAGTGTTATCATTTCCTGTTTTGTCCAGAGTGACAGAAGGACAACTGCACGAGGAGACGCTTCGTTTCATTTGACATTCATTATTCATTAGGTTTTATCATCGCTGTTGTTCGACGCCAGCGTTATGTCACAACAAGATAAAGATATCCGCCCAGCAGCACCCCCAATGCCCCCGTTGCGACCCACGCGACTACTCGGTCACCCATGGTGATGATACTAGAATCGTCGGGCACCGCAGTTCTGTCCGAGGAACCCCTCCCCGCCGCACTGTTCCCCTTGCTCGTTCCTCCAGTGCTATTCGTCAAGGGCCCCGCGACCGTATCGAACAGATTCGCCTGAACCACCTCCAACGCCGACATCTGCTGTCCCACCCCGGTCGTGCCGTCGTACTCGCCCGTCGTCCATCGCATTCCGCAATACGTCCCTGTCTTGCCGCCGACACATTGCGCAGCTGCTGCTGTGGCCGAAGCACGCAGTCTGGTCACAATGGTATCGCGAGTCCAGGGTGCCAACCGCGCAACATCCCCCATCCAGCGCGCCAGATACGCTTTGAAGGAGTACTGGTCGGTTCGACACGTGTTGATCGTCTCGCAGGCGTATTCATAAAGCACATTCTCGGATGACTTGTTCAGCGAGAGGAAGATCCTCTGCGCGTCGAGGAGACCCCCGATGCGCGCTTTCCATGTGGAGTTGCCTTTGGTCTGGCAGGGTCGTCAGCTGTTTCCTCGCTCTCGGAGGACTTGCAGACCTACATAATTCCACATATGGGCGGCCCCATGCAGAAAGACACCATTGTTATACGTCCATTCGACTCGATTGAGCTCAGAGCAATTGTCGCTCTCGTACGCCCCGTCGAAGACGTAATATTCTGGACCGATCAGCCCAGTCTCTATGACCCAGTCCCAGACCTTGTTCGCCCATTCGGCATACGTGGCATCCCCTGTGTACCGTGCGAGCCGGGCTGCGATATTGAAGAGCCCTCCGTTGGAGATGGAGTTCCGATACGTGTATCCGTTGTTGAAGGGAAAGATCTGCCACTTCAGTCCTCCTCCACAGGTCCGATCGTCCCAGCGTGAGACCTGCTCGTTGAAGACCGCTTGCGCCATGGCCAGCCACGACGGCGAGTCTTCGGGTGGGTTGGGGAAATTATGTTCGGCCGCCATGAGTGCGGTAAAGGCCCAGAAGGCCTGGTCATCGTTGCCCTCGGTGCGGGTTTGATTGGAAGGCATGAAGTCACCTGTTCCGGCCTGATGCAGAATAGCCTGCATGGTGAGGTTGTTGTAGGTACCGTCGCCGGTATATCGCCAGTAGTTGACGAGGGTGCCGAAAAAAGCGCCGGCTTCCCACCAGTAGTAGGGGGCGGGA